TTTTTTTTTTTTTTTTTTTTTTTTTTTTTTTCCGGGACCGGCAACGGGATCGCAACCCTCGGTGTTGCCCCCGCGCCTCGCTCAGCCAGTGAGCGGGAACCGGTCTGTATGTGGGATCCGAACCCTCGGCGGGAGCGCCGCCACGCTTCCCAAGCGGCGCACTAGCGCAGTGCGCCACCGGGCCGGCCCTGAGAGTTTTGACATTTCTGTAAGTCATTTTAAGAAGTAATACCTGGTAGTGCTAGAAAATGAAAAAGCGCATTCTAAAAGTACAACAACTATTTTCTTTTTAAAAATTTAATTATTTTAATTGTTTAACTGACATGTAATAACTGTACATATTAATGGAGTACAGAGTGATATCTTGATACATGTATACAATGTGTAATGATCAAATCAGAGTGATTTAGCATATCCATCACTTCAAACATTTATCATTTCTTTAGGTTGGGAACATTTGAAATCATCTCTTCTAGTTATTTGAAAATTTACAACTATTTTCATTACAGGGACAAAACGGGGTATTTAATACAGGACTAGTTATTTGGGACTTACTTCCCATTGGGAGATTTATCAGGACACATTCTGTGGGAAATAAACATGGATCTTTCCTAGTCCCCACTTCCTCTACTCAGGTCTAGCTCATAAACAAAGTCCAGTAATTTAGAATGTCTTAAATAAAGAGATACTTTCACATTTTTACATTGTATCAGTAACAGGTAGCAAAAGCCCTGCTACTTTTGTCTGAGCTCACTTTTGTAGTTTTTTTCGTTTAAGTCATTATAAGCATTTGAGGGGAAAAAAGCATTATTCCTCTCTTCTGTCTTGGCAAAGTCCTCAAAACTGGTGAATCACAGAGGTGATTAAAAAAAAAAAAAAGATGACAAACTCTGGAGATGTGAAAAGTCAACCCACCTGGGGGGAGGCAAAAGAAATTATGAGCAAGGGGAAGGAAAGAAATAAGTGGGTGAAAATAGAGTATCTTTAAAAATGTCATGACAAGAAAAAACATGCCAACAAATTTCAGATAGCAGGGAGGTAAAAAGTCAGCAGCACCCTTAGGAACACACACTGTACAATAAGATATAAAGAGAAGCTGAACCATCCGAGGTCTGATTACTGTAAAAATGGTTATAGAGTAAACCTTTTCCCAAGGGATTCTTTCTCATGGCAGAATAATGTGAGAGAGGGGAAATACGTCTTCATGCTAAAACTTCAGTCAGTACTCAGCATCTGGAAGATCTCCTGCAGTCAAGGCCCTGAGTAGGAAAATTCTTTCATTTGTTTTGTCTTTGTCAGCTTGCATGGAGACACTGGGTGCCTGTGGAGTACCAGGAAGGGCAGGAAATTTGGGTTTTTGGAGGGTTGCGGGGGATGGAGCTGGCCAGCAGAGGGATCCAAACCCTTGACCTTGGTATTACAAAGCTGGGCTCTAACTGAGCCAACAGGTCAGCTAAGGACAGGAAATTTGGAATCATAGCATGCTAGAACTGGAAGGAACCATGGAGTAGTGTCCTACTGCTGTGTATATAACTACCACATACTTAGCTGCATAAACAAGTTTATTATCTCATAGTGTCCATGGGTCAGGAGTCCAGGCACAGTTAGGTGGGTCCTCTGTTCAGAACGTCACGAGGCTGCAATTAAGAAGCCATCTGCAGCTCAGGGTGCAGCATGCAGTTGTAGGGCTGAGGTCCTCATTTTCTTGCTGGCTGTTGGCGGCTCTCGGCTTCTAGAAGCTGCCCTTGGGTCCTGGCCCCATGGCTCTCTCACAATATGACAGCCTACTTTTTCAAGCCAGCAGGAGAATCTCCCCAGAGTCCGCTACTAGGGAGTCTTATAATCATGTAATTATGATTAAACATGCATTCATGGGAGTGATTATCCATTATCCTAGTTATGTAATGTAACCTAATCCATGAAGCAACTATCCCATCATATTCATATTCCTGCCCACACTCAAGAGCAGGTAATTATACAGGCCATGTACACCAGGGGATAGGAATATTGGGGGCCATCTCAGAATTCTGCTCACCAAAACCATCAACACTATCCAGTGCAACATTCTTATTTCGTAGGACAGGGAAACTACAGACCGTGGAAGTTACACTAAATTATCCGAAGTCATGAAGAAGTTATCGGGATGGAAAGATTAAATCCTGGTCTTCAAGCATGGTTAGAGGTAAGGTTGTTTTCAGGAAAGAAGAAAAAAAAGCACCATGACGATCCTCTAACCCACTAATCACAAAGATTCTATGAATCACAGAAAACCTCAAAAGAGCTCTCACCTGGAGGGTGCTAGCATGGTGACTCAGTGTCCTTGAAGAGTCATACTCGGCAGGATTGGCCAGCAAACGACTGGTATTTTCTATCCAAGCCTCAGTGCTCTTCAACAGATCGCTATATTCCTCCATCTTAATTGTGGCCTGTGAGGGAGACGCAGGACCAATTTAAGCAGGATGCCTCTTATCCGAGTTGAATGGTTCTTCAATGAATAGTTAGTTGCTGTTAGGCAGTGGCTGTCAGGCCTTGCTCCCCATGGCTGGGGCCACTTGCCCGCCTGCTCCAGGTTATAATTCTTCCAGCTTTTAAGACTAATCCTGACCATAGGTGGAAAGGATTTAAGAAGTACTATCCCAACACTATGAGCCTCAGCAAGAGTTCTGAGTTAGCCTCGCTACTATTCTGGCTCGCATTTTGTGCTTCATTCTGAAAACTGCACTCGTCTTTGTCCAGTTCCAGCTCCTGTTCAGGATCTTGTGCCATAGTCCTCCTAAGACTAGTATCCTGCCTCACTCTTGCTAGATCGCACACACAACCCAACCCGGCCACAGCCCCTATCTGGAACAGGGGTGGGAGGGTATCCTGTTTCTGAATGACAGTCTTTCTCACTGCTGGCTCCTACCTGGACCCCTGAGATTGCCTGTCCTAAATTCCCATTACCGGTTTTCATCCACTGATTGGGAAGCCTAGAGCTTGCATGGACTCCTGCTATGGTCTGAGCTTTTTTGTTTCTGTTTTTTGTGAGTGGCCCCACAATTTTTTTTTTTTTAATTTATCACTATACAATGTAATCGATTTTCATGGCCCTTTACTAATTCCTCCCTTCTCCCCTCCATCTCTCCCTTTCCCACTCCCCACAACCTCAGTCCTGTTCTGTTCTCTTAAAAAGTTCAATGAATTATTGTGATTGTTCTATCTTTTTCTGTTGTTTGTTTGTTTTTAAGCTCCTACGGTTCTGCCTGCACGATCAGACTTCCTGTCTGAACCAGCATTGAAATCTGGCCCTTCAGTGCCCATGTGTGGCTCTAGCTTTATCCGTATAACTGACAATTCAATGGAAACTGGCTGCCTCTGAATATATTATTCTGTTTTGTTTTAAGCCCCTTTCAATACCACCACATGCTACGTAGCTAGCATGTGTTAGGGCCGCACCTTGTTTAACTGCGAGGTTCTGGATTCTGCTCTCTGTGATACTTGCTGATACTGCTGGAAAGGAATCATCAAGTTATCCATCCATTCTTGAGCCTGGCCTGGGTCCTGTTCAACAATGTCCTGAACTTCAGAATCCAGTTCATTTAGCTTGGAGTGCCAGAGATCTAGCTCATCCCACGTTTTCTGGAGAAGAAAATTACAAGTCAGTTTGAATGAGGATGTCATGGTTTATGGTGGTAATTCCTAGTTTTCACATGGTATTTGCATTTGTAAATGCTACCAAAACATCACAGAAACAACACTGCAGACACAGTGATTAGTTTATACCTAGCAATCATTTGTGATTGAAACTGAAAAACACTATTTCTGAGCTCTTCCAACTGTAACTATTCATTTCAGTATAAATTAGCTGTAGGGGAACAGAAGACCTGGACAATTCCAGAGATGGATGACACAGACAGGGTCAGTATAGCCCTACCCTTTCCAGAGTGATGAGGTAAACATTATGTTTAAAAAGGGCTTGGGTAAACACATGAACCTATTCAGACCAGTACATATGTACTTAAGCTAGAAAAAAATTTTATTAGGGGCAAAAATAAAACAAAACAAAAATATCTGCTGACTTGGATTAATGTAGTGGCAAAAAGTTCTAGCCACATACAAGGAGTCTTCAAAAAGTTCATGGAAATATTCGTATTACATTTTAATTCTATTTTCCACAAACCTTTTGAAATACCTTCGTGTACTAGTCAAGAAACCAATAGGTTGGATTTGAATCTGAACTTGTCTGGGAAGAGGAAAATTTCAAAGGTAAAATATTCAATTCTTACTTAATATTTGCTTAAGAACATAATTTTGAGAAATGGGAAAATATGACTGGTTAAATTAGGCTCCTCTCCTCACAAGTCGAAGATTTCGTCTAATAGTGAGCCATATTCTGACCAATTTTTAAAAGTCCCCTATTATATTAGAGTATTTCCTTAAAATGCAGATTAGAATAAAAATCCTTTCCATATGCAGTAGTTTACTTGGGAGTTAAGAGGTAGAATATAACGTTTACATATGGTTTTATCTAAGATTTTTCCTAAGACATTTGACAAGGAAAATAAATTTGAAATTTTGGGGTTTTTTTGTTTTTGTTTTGTTTTGGGTTGTTTTTGGCAGCTGGTCAGTAAGAGGATCTGAACCCTTTACACTGGTGTTAACAGCACCATGCTCTAACCAAGTGAGCTAACTGGCCAGCCTGGAATTTTTATTTTCCTGTTTTCCACCTTGGTAGTCTAAAGAAAAGCTGTTAATACTTTCCATATCCTATTGAATTATTTTTTATATCAGTCTTCCCAAGATAAGATCTTTCCTTTACTTGTGAAAATGCCAGTTCACAATCAAAAGCTCTCAGGAGATGGGCATATACCTATCATGGAAAAATGGAGAACAAATCTTAAATGCAACCTTCTCTACCAAGCCTCCGTAGGTGACACTCTCAGTAAGGACGCCCCTGTAGTCCAGTTTAGGGTCTCTGTGCTTCAGATTAATCCAAAGAACTCACCTCATGATGACCAATGAACAGGGGGAGATATGGATCAGAAAAACCAAATGCTGAAGGGAATTAAAAGAGATGTTACCTTTTGAATTTCTCGAGCTTTCTCAATGTTTTTGCTTTTCTGCTGCAACATCTTTTCAATATTATGAAGTCCATTGTTAATTTCTTCTATCTTTCTACTCATTGCATATGATGGTGAGCTTTTCAAGACTTCATTGCTAACCTGTTACAAGGGAGAAAGATGCATTTGGCTTAAAGAGGATTTCTGTACTCTACTCACAGGTTCAAGGGACTAAAGGGGTAGTTAGTTACTCTGTTTTTACTTGTAAAAATCTTAAAGGACTGGTGGGGGGGTGGAAGTTCCAATCCACACTGGCCAGTGTGTTAATGAGAGGGTTGATTAGCAACTAGTGAATGGCAGCTGTGTTTACTTGACCTTTCAAATCTAATCTTTGAATGAATTTTATTTTATTTTATTATTTTTTTTTCCTTTTTGTCTTTTTTCGTGACCGGCAACGGATCGCAACCCTCAGTGTCGCGCCCGTACCGGACCGGGACCGGCAACGGGATCGCGACCCTCGGTGCTGCACCTGCACCTCGCTCAGCCAGTGAGCGGGAACCGGTCTGTATGTGGGATCCGAACCCTCGGCGGGAGCGCCACCACGCTCCCAAGCGGCGCACTGCAGCAGTGTGCCACTGGGCCGGCCCTGAATGAATTTTAAAAAGTGGTTTATCCATACACAATGGAATACTATTCAGACATAAAGAATGAAATCCTGTCATTTGCAGGAATATGGACTGGTCTGGAGGACATGATGTTAAGTGAAGTAAGCCAGGCTCAGAATGACAAACACTATATGACCTCATTCATTTGTGGACTCTAAAAAAAAAAGTTGATATAGAGACAAAATCGAACAGTGCTTACCAGTGACTGGGGAGGGGAAAGGAAAAGAGCAGACAGGGAAATGTTGGCCAAAGGGCACAAAATTACAATTAGATAGGAGGAATAAGTTCTGATGTTCTACTGCATGGTATGCTGACTATGGTTGACAGGTAAGTTTTGTATATTACGTAATAGCAAGAGGAGAGGCTTTTGCATGTTTTCACCACAAAGAAATGATAAAGGCATAAGATGATGGTTACATTAACCACCCTGACCAGATCATTATACAACATATATATGTATCGAAACATTAGACTGTACCCCATAAATATGTACAGTTACAATTTGTCAATTAAAATAAATATTTTTTAAAAAGAAAAAAAAGAAAGAAGAATTTGTTGAAAGTAATCGACAATATGTACTACAGATGCTATTACTGGGCAACACTACTATGTGGACTGTTTGAAACATACCCCCATGGATCAAATGCTATGAAAAAAATACCTGGGGGATAAATTATTTATTATACAATCTCTCCACTTTATGAGAAAATCCTCTGCATAGATGTTTTCACTAAAAACAAATTTATTCTCAAGCTAACGTAAAAAACATGTAATTCCCATCTTAACATTCATTTGCATAAAACAACCTTCTAAAAATAGCTATTTCCTGAAAATGCCCAGGCTGTTTCTAGTGCATGTTTTCCCAGCAATCACAAATCTAGCAGCTGAACAGTGTAATTTTTTTATCTAAATGATTTTCTTAAGAAAATAACTTGTGCTAGGAAAGATAATAAATGAATGTGGAATGTATCATTTTCTAAATACCTGACTAGTTTGTGTGGGGTTTTTTTTTGCTGTGTTGATAAAGCTTTCTCCAAGCAGCTACTAAATAACCAGATAATACTATATGCTTCTGTATAATCCTTTAAATCCCCACTATATCTATATAACAACTGAGACTAAAACCACCTTATACAGATAGTACACAGACAGAGAAACTGAAATACAGGCTAAGAGACTTGCTACGTACGGTCACATGTCATGAACTTGTCCCCAGATGCCCCCAAGTCCCCCGACTCAGAGTCCCAGGCTCTATTCACAACATCAGGCTGTTTATACTTTTACATCATGTTTTCATTCCACAGACCATACCACAGTCGAGATTATTTTTTAAAAAATCCCACTTTGATCCTGTATTAGTTTTTATTGCTGTGTAACAAACTACCACAAAATGAAGGGTTTTTATTTTTATTTTTATGTTTTGAGCAGTTATTCTGGTAGAAATGCATACCCATTTAGATACATTAGAAGAAATTATGATTTAGGTAACATAAGTAGCCATATGAATTATATAAAGTAGTATTGTGTGTGTTGTCTGGATCCTTGAACTTCCTTTAGACTCATCATACTATAAAAATCAGTTGCTGCTTGTTACAAATATACAAGTTCACAGTGGAAATTTTCAACCTTGAATTTGAAAGACTGATTTTGATTATTAATTTAATTTGTTAGGGATTTTCACATAAAGTATTTGTGAGACTAACAATTAGTCTCTCAAAACATTTAATATTATTCTCTTAAAATAAAATCAATAGTGTATGATCCTTGAGAAAGTACCTAACAACTGGCTTACTTGTGTGTTAAATCAAAAAGATTTGTTATGAATATATATTAGAAATTTACATGCTCTTTACACAGGTTAGATTTTCTAAGAAATCTGTCATAGAAGTCAACGACAAATTCTAGCAACTAAGTTTGCAATCTGATTTTTCTGTCTGCATTTAAGATCTATTTTATTTATCAAGTTATAGGTATTGCAGGCTTCAGAAAACAATACAAAAATCCTTTGATGCTGAACCAAACAGAATTTTCTTCTGTTGGATTTGGGCTGCCCTTATACAGTCCCTTAAAATTACCTTGGTAAGTCCCGAAGTCTCCAGCACTATAAAATACTTCCCACCTTTCTTCAAATCTGGACATTCAGGTATAAAGATTTGCTCAGATACATTTTGCGAGAATTCTGTTGTCACCATCATTAGACAGATATTGCGTGCTAAGTACCATTCCTAGTGAGTTGTAAAATTCATGTTCTTATTGCCCTTGGTGGCAATTTCAAAATGTTTCAGGTAATATGTTTTAAAGCCAAGTATTATTAAGGCCCCAATTTTTTAACTGGTTGTACAGTTATTTAAAAAAAAAAAAAAGTAAAGATAATGTATAACTTTTTCAAAATGCAAGAGAAGCAAAACCAAGCATCTTGACAAAAATATACAGATTATGTAATTCTGTTATCTACGTCACATGTTTAGAGCATCTTTATCTCAGTAACCCAAACACAAAATTGTCACTTTATAAAACCAGTCATGCTGAAATCAGAGCAAATAAAAATGTGACATTAAATGATATTTTCTTCTTTATATTCATTTAACTCCTTAAATAATAACACTAGTATGAAAATTATTATTACCTTCTCGTCTATGTCTTCTAAAGCTTTTCTGCATTCTTCCACCTGGGATTCAATCTCTGCAGGGACTATGGTGTACATTTCAGAATACTTGATTCGCAGTTTTTCCATAATACTCTCAAAAGTTAGTTTCCCTTTCTTAAGAATGCTTTGAAGCTCCTAAAAACATGAAGAAAAGTTTCAATACGCAGGACTGGGAGAAAAGTTTAACTCTAAAAAGCGAAAGCAGCTTTCCAGCACATCCTTATGATTTAAATGAGCAAACTTTGCATGACAAAACCTCACTATTGATACAAGTTGATTAAAGTTTGAGAGATACTCGGTTTAGTCAGATGATGCTTTCTAATTTGTTAGAATTAAACTTGATATCTCTACATAGTGTCAACCATTGTCTGACCAAAGACATTACAACATCCCCTGCTTCTAAAGTAAGTCTAGGATTTAACTGTATCTCAGTTGCAGTCCTGATCTAAAAAGCTGCAAGTAGCAAAAAGTTTCAAAGAAGTTTTTTGTTATTGTTATTAACTTGTTGCCATTTCTACTTCTTCCTCCATTATCATCACAATGATTCAAGGCCACTAAAAGCCCCATGCTTGGAGCAGAAGTGTCTGCTTTCATGTAATTAGACGGCCCAGCAGAGCTCAACTTCTTTCAAAAGGGAGGGTTCCAGTTCCATGCAAAGAATGTAGGTTTTAGGAGATAAAAGAAACCTGAACAAATAGTCTATTGGTTGTGGCCTAGAAACAAAATCTGATCTACAATCTCCTGCAGTAATTATAAAGGACAAACTCATTTGTTTGGGTAAGCTTCCCAAAGATTAAGTGGAAAAATACTTCTTGACTTTACTGTGGCTTTTTTGTTGTTTGTTTTTACAGTAGCTGTTCAGTAGCATTATTTGTTAATGGATTGAGTCACTGCACTGAAGAATGATTACAATTTTAAATGACTCCATGATGTGTCACTGTTTTCCTTTTCTGAAAGTTAAAGAACAATACCATTCAGACAAAGGTGGAGTTTGAGGTATAAGCACCATCCTGTTTTATCTAGACCCAGTCCAGGAGTGCAGGTCTTCATCCAGTTACATCCTGATGGTTCCCCCTGAAGCTTGCTTCTGTGAGTGAGAGTAAGTTTCCTTCTTCAACATTAATAACCAAAAGCTCTGACCTTTGAATAAACTTTAAAATGTCATTTTGGCTTTACCTACCATTGGACTAGAATGAGAGAAGAGATCATTCTGAAGAAATGACCCTTGGCATGGGCATAGCCCCTATCAGAGATAAGACGTCGTGCCCTACTACAGGAGTCGTCGAACACGCTGCGGAAGAGTAGTCTGAGGCCCTGTTCATCAACACACTTGAAACATGGTTGAGAAAGGGGCTGCTTGGTCAAGACTGGCCGACCTCCCAGTCTGGTCTCCACACTGATCTTCTCCCGTGGTCCTGCGCACACCATGCCTCAGGGCCTTTGCATGTGCTTTCCTCCCTCCCTAGACCACTCCCCCCCTCCCTCAATCACCACGTTAGCTCTGCTCAAGGACTCTGGATATAAGATTGTGGACCTGTATCAGCCACATTCACTAGTTCACGCCTCACTTACCTTGAGATGTTCTGCCTTTTCTGGGTGGTCCTGTACTATCATATTTTGGAAAGAAGTCGTGGACTGTTGAAATAAATTCTTCAAAGCAATTATTTCTTTTGTGAAGGAACGTCTTTCCTGAATTTCAGTCTGTATCAATTCCTTATTCTTTTGAGCTTTCTGAAAAAGCCTAAAACAGAACATCAACACAATTTTCAACACTGTTTCTCTATCCTGCTCTTCTGTGAAATAGTTGTTGCTGAGAGGTGAGATTAAAGGTGGGTTTTTATATTAATCTTTACAATTTTCCACATTCTCTAAATTTCCTATAATGAATATGTATCACTAAATTAGAAAAACAACAAACATTAAAAACAAAATTTGAAGGATATTCACCTTCAGTAATACTGGGATGAAGAACATATGCTTGTTTTAATTATAGTATTGCTATAAAAAACCATCCCTTTTCTACCCATAAGCATTGACTCAAATCAATTGTCACATCATTTGCCATGATTCTATAATATTTTTTAAATTTATGTTTTCTAAATTTTGAGCCTGAGTTGTCAAGCACATTTCCTTAACACTTTTTCATAAATCTTACTTGTTGCATCGTTCTTGCATGGATGTAATCTCTTGAAATGCTGGAACAGTTTCCATAGCCCCCGAGCCTTCAGGAATATTCTGGATACTCCTTACACGCTGAAGAAGTAGGGTCAGTAACAGCTGCTGCTTCTCCACATTCTCTTCATATTGGGACAGACAGTCTAGCAGCTCACAGAGTTCCTCTGTGGCGGCTGCCTCTTTTGTTTTGGAAATTTCAGGAAGTTCTTCTTGAAGATTATCTAAAATAATTGCTTCTCGTTCAATCTAATACAATAAACAAAAAAGGGAGCTAAAATAAGTAAAATACACTCTTACCATTTTAGGAGCTAAAGCATACCCTGGAAGTCATCATTTTAAAATATTCTTTCTTCAAAGTCTTTCTAATGCCATATCTTAGTTCAAAGTACTGTCCTATAGCTGGGAATATTAGTCCTCTACGGTCAAAATCCTATACTTCCCAGCTATCGCTCGTGTAGATGTGTGATTAAAAATAAAGTATTACTCTTGTGGGCTGACAAAAATGCTGTTGAATTTTTTCATAAATAACTTATTTCTCCTTCAGATTTCTGTTACATAAAGCAGTATTTCTCCAGAGATACCCATAAGGTAGTTAGAATGAGTTCCACCAAACTGCTTCCACTCAGTATAAGAGGTTGGGCAATGACTGGATATGGAAAATTTTTCTGCAGGTCTCTTTTCTTTTACTTCCAATCCCTATATGCTCAAAAGGTAGGTCTAGTAGATTTTCATTACCCTGACACCCTCCAAAAGGAAACCAACTCGAATTATTGAACCAATGTATTGAACCATGTGTTGATCAACCACTGGTATGTGCAGAACCCAGAAATACATAACCAATTACACCATGTATCTGGAAATTGGAAGTTCCACCAGCCCTGAACTCAGAACAAGGACATAGAAAAAAGTCTCAAAGACCCTTGAATTAGGTCCTCCTTATGCCCCCCCCCCAACCCTCTGGTCCTCCCCTCAGCTGCACTGCCTGTTTATCACATCCTGCCCTAGTGCAATGTTAACTCTCCTGCTCTGCGATCAAACAAAGTTGCAGATCTGGCAATCTTGACATTACAGAATATCACAATGATCAGCAACATTTATGATATTATACTAACTGAAATAGTGAGAAAGGATCTGGATGTCCAACAAGATGTGCCAGAGGGTGGGAAAATAAAGCCTATGAAGATTCGGGAGCCCCAGTATCAATTAAGTTCTCAGGGGCCCAATAGTCTGCGGCATGCCAGGGCTTCTCCTCTAACATAAAGGTCAAGGTGTTCAATCTTACAAATCTACCACTAAGAAAAGGATGGGCCTTTTTGGATTTTGGAGGCAGTATATCCTAAACTTGAGATTACTGTTCAGATCCATTCATCAGAATGCTGTCAGTATGGAGGGGGGCCTGGAGGAAAAGAGGCACCACAGCAGGGCAGGCTGTGCTATAAGCTATGCTGCTGCTTGGGCCACATGATCCAGTTGGGTCCGCAATCGCTAGAATACAGGGTGAAGGTATAGACTGGCCCCTCTCCAAGAGACCCAGTTATGGAATTTGTGCTTCTCATCCCCTCAAACATAAGTTCAGCTGGATTAGAAGTCCTGGTTCTCAGGCAGCTACGCTTCCACCGGGGAATGAGGTAAGGGTTCCACTGGGTTGTTCTCATCCCACTGGAGAACCAGCATGCAGTTAAAGGAATTGCTACGCTGACAGGGGGAATTGTACATCCAGGGGTTCCAATATGCACTGGTGTTGAAAGAACTACACGTGCAGTTCAGGACTTAATAAAGCATTTTTTGGTGCTTCCATGCCCTGTGATAACCACAACTTAGCAAATGCAGCAACCATGACCTAGGAAGAATAAAGAGATGAGGGGCTTAGACCTTTCCTGTTTCAGTTCTCCTAGTCCCCCCTCCTGTTCTCTGGGATCACTTTCCAACATAAACTACCTGCTTGCAAGCCCCTGTCTCAAGCTCTGCTGTAAAGGCGGTAAGTGATTGTGGAGGGGAACACAAAGGGGAGAACAACTTTTATTGGGACAATAATTTTACTGAAAAGCCAGGCAATTCTTCAACTTGTGAATGAATAAACAAACTGTGGGACATTTGCCCAATCTTGTGCTACTTAGGAATAAAAATAAATGAACTGCAGATATAAGCAGAGTCGAGAATGAATCTCAAGTGCATTATGCTTAGTGAAAAGAAGCCAAACTCCAAAGGCCACAAACCGTATGAGTCCTTTTATATGACATTCTGGAAATGGAAAAACTACAGGAAAAGAAACAGATTAATGGTTGCCAGGGGCTGGAGGTGATGGAAGGGGTTGACCACAAAGGTGTACAAGGGAAATTTCGAGATTACGAAAATGTCCTAAATCTTTATTTGGATGGTGGTCTTGTGACTGCACAAACTTGTCAAAACTCAACAAACTTTATGCCAAAAAGCACAAAGAACAGCCCCCAAATTAGTAAAATAGTTGCCACAAAAACTAAGTGAACTTCATTCACTTCTCCACCTAGAAGAATGACTGACTGTAAACCACTGACGATTTTCCTTAAACAAAGAATCCTAATCAAACTTTAACTTGTAAATTTAAACAGGGCATTTTTTTCAAATATGTACTTATGATGGTCCAACATAATGATTTTTTTTACTTTACAATGGTATGAAACTATTGCAGTATCAATGTACTTCAAATTTTGATCATTTCCTGGGCTAGTGATAAGTTTTTAAGTTTTATTGTAAAATAACTTTGTGTTAGATGATTTTGACCAATTGTAGGCTAATGTAAGTGTTCTGACCACATTTAAGGTAGGCTAGGCTAAGCTATGATGTTCGGTGGGTGAGGTGTATTAAATTCGTTTTCAATTTACAGTATTTTCAACTTAGGATGGTTTTATTGGGATGTAAACCTATCATAAATCAAGGAGCTTTTATGCTTAATTTCCATAGCTAACAATTGTAGTTAATTTCAACATTAGTTGGTTATTATGTATATAACCTAATACTAACCTTTAGTATAATGTAGAGACAGTTGCGCCGCCGCGCTTCCCAAGCGGCGCACTATCCAGTGCGCCACCGGGCCGGCCCCAGAGACAGTTATTTTTAAGAGGGTTAACTTATTTTTACAGAAAAGATTTTAAAGCTCGAACCAGCAACGTAGTCACTTATTCATAAGAATTATTTGATACCAAAAAAAGTGCCACTGTTATGAAAGAATCTGAATAGTTTCTTGGAGATTATTTTAATAGACTCTGACATCTATAAACAATTATGTATAACATATATGTGATATACACAAGCGATACAGGTTAAGAACTTGTTTTACATAAAAACAAAGTGAAAGTAATAAAACAATTTAAATAACATTTGTTAGGAAACTGTATGGCGTGACTACTGAAAATGAAGCACTTACTTCTTCACTGACAAATTTCCACTCCTGCTTCAGTTCTTCACACCACAACTCCCACTCTTTAGCAGCTTCTAGCAAATTCAGCCATTTCTCCCACAGAGCCGACATGGTTCTGAGCAAACAGATGCCATTGTTTTCTGTGCACCTAGGTGTCAAGTGTCTGAGGACCTGCCGTAGTTTCATTAACTCTTCTTTGGTTGATAAAAGATTTGACACTAAGGCCTTCAGAAAGAAAATAGAAGAAACATAATGTCTATTTTTTTTCCTGAAGTTTATAAACTATTTTAAATCTTGAACAATTAATAATTTTAATTGTCCCTAAGTATTACATGACCCATCCCTTATCCTGTTGAAAGTCTACTTGGGCAAGGTGAGAATTATCTATATATTATTCTATTCTGCAAAAATTTGGGACTATGGGGATAAATAATGACCCACAAACCAATTTTTCCAAGTAAGAAAAGGTAAATATTTAAAAAGTATATTTTGGGGCCGGCCCTGTGGCGCACTCGGGAGAGTGCAGTGCTGGGAGCGCAGTGGCGCTTCCGCCACGGGTTTGGATCCTATATAAGACTGGCCGGTGCGCTCACTGGCTGAGCACGGTGTGGGCAACACCAAGCCAAGGGTTGCGATCCCCTTACCGGTCACAAAGAAGACAAAAAAAGAAGTATATTTTGTTATTTTAACTGAAGTCTCATATTTTATGAGCTAGTTCTTTTGCATAATACTTCTTACTGTATTGACTACCAACACCGTATTTGCGGGGGGTTTGATTTGTTTTTGTTTTTGTGGATATTAAGCATAGATGTTTTAGAATGTCCTCACGCAAATCCTAAAAACATAATACCATAGATTCTAACAGATGAAAATAAGCAAAAGCTAAAATTGCTTAGTAAGAGTCTAAGAAATAACGAGACTTTAGAGCTTATGACAGCTGTAGTAGGCACTCAGTGGTCAACAAAACTCTTGTCATTGATACAGCAGCATCCCTCAGAAGAACATGAAAAGTGAAGCTTCAGAAAGACCATCAATAAGACTTAAGACAAGTGAGCAGATATGATGTGGATGGGTGGGAGTGGGGAGAGAGAGAGGGAGGGAAGAATCAGTAAAGGGACATGAAAATCAACTACAGTGTATATTGATAAAGTAAAATAAAATAAATTAAAAAGAAAGGCCATCAATAAGAACAGGATGCAATGGGAGATGACTGTCCTGTGAATCTAATTACTTTAATCTCTCAGAGATATTGCTTCCTTTTTTTCCCCTTGGCTTTTGGTTTGAGGGATTTTCATGGGCGTACAACTCAGTGTGAAGATTTCTGTGGGTCCTAACAGAGCCACATTCTCTGCTGCCTGTACCTGCTTGTTCTGCTGAGTTTTTGCATGCAGACTTACTGGAGACTTGCAAATACTATTACCTTGCTCTGTTCCAAGCACTCTAAAGCTTCTTTGTAAGACACTGGCAACAGGGACATGGACTGCCCAAGAACTGTCTCCATTTTGCTGAGGTTACTGCAAATTTTCTCTTTAATTTTTCTATAGCATTTGTAATCCTCAAGGTACCTAATAAGGCACAGTTAGAAACAAAGTGATATTAAATTTTAACATCATAAATTCTGAACTTCCCAGAATGAATTCTCCACACTAATTGTTTAAAAAAGGATAAAATAATTCTTCTTTTTGCTATCCTTTGCATTTCAACAAGTTTTTAATTCCCTACTCATCCCCAAAGGGACCTGCATATGGCTGTAAATGCAAACTTTAACAAGCAGATAGGAAAAACAAAACACCTATGTTAGAGAGTTTAAAAAATTAAAGAGTTCACTTCAGTAAAGGGAAAATTGCATTCTTGAACACTGCTAATGAACTGTAAATGGGTACAATTCTTGTAGAAAACCACTTATTCTTAAAGTGCTCACATCTTTTGACCCATTAATTCAACTTCTGTAATTTACTTTTGCACATTAAAACTTTTTTATGCATTAGAGTATTACTTGAAACAGCAAAAATTGGAATAACCTTTATGTCTAACAAAAGGTGTGCAAAAATAAGTTAAACAATCCATTGAACAAAATATTGTATAGAAATTGAAATTACTTTTATAAAGTGTTTGTTACAATAAGGAAAAAAGCTAATGTTATGAAGTAAAAAATAAAGCAGGATATTTTATATTTTTTATGCAGCATAATATTGTCATATATTTAAAAACACCATAAAGTTATGTCTACAAAACACACATAGTCTAAATCTCAACCTCCACTGAGAACAATTAAAAATTCTGTATCAAATATATTTTTTTAAAACTCTTAAAACTCTCTAAAATTGAAATACACAAAAATATGCAAAGCTATAGGGCCATTTTTTTTTTACCTTGAGGGCATTTACTGAGTTTCAGTTTTCTTTGCCTCCTCCTAGAAAGTAGGGGACAGAGGACAAAGCTTGGAGCCAACCCCATGATGGATGTCTAATAGGAAATCCCCTCTATAAAGATATTTGTAATGCACATAACTATAAAGAACCAGCCTTTAAGATATAGAATAAATTCCTGCAAATCAATAAGAAAAAGATGGACAACACAATAAAATTGGGTGAAGGCTTGAGTACGCATTTTACAGAAGAGGAAATATGAATGACCAATGAACATTCAAAAAAGAGATCAAACTCATTAGCCGTAAAATAGAAATGCAAGTTAAAACAATGAGACACCACTTCTCACTCACTGGACTGGCAAAAACCAAGTCTCACAATATCAAGTGTTGATAAGGATGAGGGACAACTGGAATACTTATAAACAGCTGGTTGAAGTAGAAATTGATAAAATCAACTGGTGCTAAAAATTTAACGTGTGCATACATTTTGCCTTGAGGAATCGCACTCCTAGATATATACCAAAGGGAAGCTCTTACATTTAAAAGTTTTCCTACAGACAGAACATAAATAAACATCAGGGTCATAATGACAAATTTGAAAAAATGAAATAATAGCAGTGTACACACACTAGGTGTTACTTCAAAATCATGAAAACAGAACACACAAATATGTAGGAAAAATACTACAAAAAGCAAGGAGATGGTAAATACAGAATTTAGGATAATGGTTATTTCTGATAGGAGTGGGAAAGACCAAACAAGAGAATTCAAATTAACAATGCTTATCTTTGAGCCTTGGGGTACAAAGTTGTTATTTCATTATTCTTTACACCATATACATACTTATATAAACACTCTGTTGTATGTACCCAATATTAAATAAGAAAGAAATAAAAGAAAAATCATGGTTTTCACTCTTTTTTTACTTTTCCATATTTTCCAAATTATTTCTGATGCATATATGTTAACTATAAAGAAAAAAATCTATATTTTATGTTCTTAAAGCATTACCTTTCGGGAAAAAACCTACCTTTCTATCTCAGCTTCCTCTACATTGGCTGCCTCCTTCATGGCTGAGTTCTTAGAAAGTAGTTCCTGAAAAGTACACTCAAGTTGGAGTTTGGCTTCGGGGCCGGATATAGCTCCCAATTTCTCAGTGAGGTCCTGGATGTCTGCTATTGTGGATTCTAATTCCTCTTGTTTCCAACGAGGCACTTCTAGTGATTCTTCTGGATTATCAAGGTCTACTCTATGGGATGCAATGACGGCTTCAAAGGAAGCAATGATCCTCATTGCCCTGGTGACCGCTTCATTATAGCATGTAACATTTTCACAAGCATCATTCAAGACATCCTGGTGAACAGAAGATTAAATGCTGAGACAAAACTGTCAAACTTTTGGGATTTTTTTCACTCTTGAATTTTTGTGGTGAATTCATAACATGTCTCATAAGAGTTAACATGATCATACTTACAGTATATAATACTCAATAGTATTATACTAGTTTTCATTTTGTTTGCATAAAGAAAAATTGTTTCCAGATTTTCTAAGAAATTTAATCTAAATTCAAAATGACACCTCACAAATCATATCTATTGATGTATGTTCTTCTTCTGGAACTCTTGTACTAAACTATGAATTAAATAAAATAACTGAATATGTTTAATGTATAAAACCTTAATCAATATTTGTGAACAAATGAAAAAAAAAAATTCCAAAGAAAGAGAAAGTAAGCAAGTAAGTTTCTAAATGTCTCTGCCACTAAGTTTAGTTTGGTCACATCATTGAATGTCTCCAGATCTTGATCTTCTCATTGAAATAACAAATAGCTGAAATAAATGGCCTTAAAGGTCCCTTCCAGTCCAGTTTTAATCATATTATTTTGGGGATTTATGTACATTGTTTCTCAAAACTGTATTAAAACCAAGTACGAAAGTTCTCAAATTACTCATCGTTTGTTCTAAATCTATTTAAGGAACATATTAGTAGGGTTCATAACACAACTTTACATTTCTATAGCATTTACACCTATCAAAATATTTCAGATATGTTACCTAACAATAACTCTTTGACTTAGGAAGGGAATTAATTCCCCCATTCTATAAATTTAAAGTAACAAATCTGAAAACACTATGGAGGCCTTTATAGAAAGCGCAGTGCAAATTCTAATGATGCCCAAGATCTCTACCCTACTATCAGAAGGAAAGTGAGGAGTATGTTGGAGTCGTTCTCCAACGATCACAGCTACTCAACTCTGCTGTGGTAGTAGAAAGCAGCCAGTTGATACATAAACAAATTGGGGTGGCTGCATCTCAATAAAACTTTATAACATCAGGTACTATGAGCAGGATTTCGCCTTAATTTGATGACTCCTGCTCTTTTATCAGACAGATTTCCATTTGAGTCCTGGTTCTGTTACTGTTTTAAGACCCCAACAAAAATCCTCATGTTTCTGAACTTCAATTTCCTTATTTTTAAATGGGGCTAATCATTAGCACGCACCTCACAGGGTTGCTGTGAAGATTAACTATGAAGGGTTCACACAGTGCCTAGCACACAGTAAGTTCTAAATAAATGCTAGTTGTTTGGTGTTCTTTCCCCTTACACCACACTTCTTCCATTATCCCTTCCTACTATCCCTTAAAAAGACAAAAAACAGAAAACTTTGTTCTTAGCTCAATAGGGGCTATGAGGGAAATAGAAATAAAGGTATCAGATTTGACCTTTTCCAAACTATAAGGCACCACATTTAGGTGTAAAATGAATCAGAATTATAAATTGGTTCACTGCAATTTTCTAGAATGGCTATCCTCCTGTACAGAATTTTCCTGTAAATCTGTAACTTCTTTAGAAGTGCAGAGTAAAATGTAAAATCATGAAATAAACATAGACGAACTAACTTCCTAATGAAAAAGAAAACTTACTGTACGCAAATCAATGCTTGTGTTAAGCTGCATTTGAAGATCTTCAATGTCACGTAATTTTGTCTCCAAATCACTAGTTTCAGAAGAGTTTTTTTCTCTCTGCTTCTGAATGACAGTCACAGCTTTAATACTATACACTTCCGCCTGAACTTGTTCTTGAAGGGCCTCACAATTATGCTTGTCATTTTGAATATGTGTCATGTCCAAATTTATAAGTAAAGGTTGCTGTAACTGAGATTTTATCTGATCTAAAACATGTAAGGAATTTTCTAGTTTATCTTCAAAATTCTTTTCACCCATTTCTTTTGGTTGAAATTCCAGTACCATGTTATGAAGAATCTTGTGTAACTTATCATTTTCTTCTGCATTTAGCTTTATTTGTAGTATTTCTTTCTCTTTGAATGAGTCATCAAAGGCCTTATTTTCCCTCAGTTTCTTTATTATCTCACCATATAAGCACTTGACTTTCTCAATTCTCTGATTCAAAATGTGAACACTGAGCAGACTGCTTTCTGATGCAGTAAAAGGAACTGTAAGCACTGCTTCAGCCCTTTTCTTAATCTGCACTTCCATAGCTCTCATTTTACTTAGTGATGCTTGATATTTGCCATATTCTGCCACAAATGTGTCCAACTGCTTAATTTTTTCTTTGAGTTCCTTCTCTTTTTCTAATACTTGGGTTTGTAATTGGTCAAGTTGTGAACAATCCCAGTTTAGTCCCATATAGTCAAACACTTCTTTAAGTTTCAATACTTGTGAGATGCTACACTGAATACCAGTGAGTTTGTCTTTAAGATTACAGAACTCCTCTTTAACATCTTGATTTATTTCTTGATTAAGCAGTAGTTCATCATGCTTTATATTGTCAACCTCCTTCTGAAGCACAGATGTTTTTTCATGGAATTCTCTATAGAGATTCACTTTGTGTTCTACTTTATTACATTTATTCTGAATTAGTCTTTGTGTTCTGTTGGCTCTAGTCTTAAGATTTTTCAACTGATCATCCAGAAATAATCTTTCAAACACATTTAGTTCCTGATAGGTATTTGTTAGTTCCTGAAGATGTGTTGAGATTATACTTTCAATTTCTTGCAATTCCTCCTGAAATGCCTTCAAAGTGACATGACAATGCTTTAGTTCAGCTTCTGTGGAGGTTGTTTCTATCTTGGGAATTATCAGTGTTTCATGTCCTTGAAGTGTAAGTTGAATCTTCCCTATTGTTGCAAAAAATTTGCTCCTTTCTTCCAATTTAAATTCTAATTGCTGAGATCTTTGCGTTGATTTTAATACTAGCATTTGGTATTGATTCTGTAAGTCTGCTAGGAGGTTATTTAAATCATCGCTCTCATATGCTGTAAGGCTAGGACTGTTATCTTTGACCTCTTCAACCAGTGATTCCATAGCCTGCTGTTTACCTAGAATGCTATCATGTGTCACCTTGCATTTTCTGATTTGTGAAAGGATGTCATCTGGAAGAAGGGAAATGGGCAGAATCAGTTTTCCCAACAGATTCTTGACCCATAAAATAGTCTTGTTCATCTTATTCCTGATGTCACACTTCTTAATCCGATCTTCCACCTCTAGGTTTAACGGCTCCAATTCTTCTAATTGATTCTTCAAATTATTTATTGCATCCTCCAAAATCTTCCCTTCTTTTTCTCCCCAAATCCTCTTCATTTGAAACTCAACTTGCCCCTTTAAAACAGAAAATCCATGCTTGATAGCCTGGAGTTCAGTGGCCAAGATAACCAGGCTTTGGTTCCCCTCCTGTTCTTCTGGAGAGTTCAGCCTTAACTGTAGACATCGCTGCTGTTCCTGCAGAGAAATCTCAATGTCTTGGATCTTATTCATGAGAGATGTAAATTCACCATATTCCACTACTTGCTGAGAATATTTCTTTTGAACCAGTTGTTCCACCCATTCCCAACTATGCTCAAGTTGCTTAATCTGGCTTTCCAACAGCTTCTTATCCATGTCAGTCAGAAGGCTTGATAAATTCTCCCATTCAGTCTTCAGCCTGCTTAAAGAACTTTTCTCTTTTTCTATTGAAGCAAGGAATTTTTTAATTTTGTCCAGATAGGTTGCACTGTCCATCAGTCCCCTAGAAAAGTAAAAAAATTGAGCTGGTTAATATTTAATATTTATTATACATTAACATGTGGTTAGATGTCATTAAAAGAAATTAATTCTGCTTTGAATTCATGGAAGAGATTAGGGTGTCTATAAAAGTATTCTATCCTTAAAATAAAAATCAGAATCTCCTTTATTGCAGCTTCCAATTAGTATAGAAATCACACCTATAAAATGAGTATCATAAAAACAACAAACCACAGGATAGGAGTGAAGAGAACAATGTATGTAAAAATACTTTGTAAACTGTAAAGTACCTGTACAAAGGTTAGTCCAGGCTGAGTTAAGTTACCATAATATCCAATCCCTTTGTTACCATCTTTTTAACAACAATGATATAGATACTGAATAAGAAGTTGTAACCATCAAGCTAATCTTTTGAATATAAAATTGTTTCCTCAAGGGGTATTATCGAAAGTAAACCAATTTAGATATAAGTATGAAATAAACCTCTTTATTTTAATTTTTATTTATTTATTTTTGGCGGCTGGCTGGTACAGCAATAAGACTTTTTAATAAATAGAAAATATTTAGGTATCAAGACCATATCTATCACCATCTGCCATCATTTTCAAAGTTAAAAAGAGTGCATATATTTTTTAAAAAACCATCACAATGCATATATAGTCAATATGTACCTGAAACTATGTATACCAATAATGCAGATACTAAATCATTATATACCTGTTTCTCTCCCCTCCAGTTTAGAATAAATACCTTGACAAAAAAGAATACTGAATTCCACAGAACTTAAATCTATTTTGCAGATACAAGTATTTATAGTGTGAACTGTTTAATAAATTAATTTGTAAAACCTACTCAATAAATAATTTTTTTTGCATGAAACCAAGAGTTTCCTGAAATGGCTTCTGCTATGGTATGAATGTTTGTGTCCTCCCTAAATTCATATTTTGAAACCTGATTACTAATGTAATGGTATTAGAAGGTAAGGCCTTTAGAAGGTGATCAGGTCATGTGGGTGAAGCCCCTACAAATGGGATTAGTGCCCTTATAGAAAAGAGGGCTGCCCCCTTTCCCATGTGAGGACACTAGGACAGCTAGGAGGTGCTGTCTATGAACTGGAGAGAGCCCTCACCAGACACCAAATTTGCCAGCACCTTGATCTCAGACTTCCCAGCCCTCAAAATTGTGAGAAATAGCTCAGTCCCATCCACCACCTACCACAACCAGGCCAGAGAGACACAGCCAGGGAGCGGAAGCCCCCACCCACCCACTCCCCTGCCCCTGAAGATGATGGCAGGCCATCGGACTTGGCCATGCCTCCCCCAACCAGCCAGCAAAGGAGCCAGCCCTGGGCCAGAGCCACCCTCCATTCTCCCCACTCTACAACATGCAACATCATCTTAGCATGTACTTATTAAATTAAAAAAAAAAAAAAGCTGTGAGAAATAAATTTCTGTTGTTCATAAGCCACCCAGTCTACAGTATTTTGTTATAGCAGCCCAAGCCCAAATAGATTAAGACAATTGCATATGCAACTAATTTCCATACTGTAGTTTTAAAATCGTAATATCCTTTCACAATATAAACTCTTAAAACCCTGGGCCTGTCCAAGGTAGTAGAGGCTGTGCATGAATAAAAAGAATGCAAGTCCTAAATTCTTACACTTACACTTTTAGACTTTCCTTTTCTGTCAGTAAAGCTTTCACTGAGGATTCAATTGTAGTGAGGTGTTCCTGAAAATCTTTAAGGAGACAATACTGGCTTTCTTTGTTTTTCTTCAAAGTAATAAGTGCCTGAAGCATACTGTCCAAGTGGTGCACTGAATATCTTGTATTGTAGAAAACCAAGGCACTCGTTTCTGTTTTGTTGAAACATTCGTTTTGTTCCAGTGGTTCAATGGCTGCTTTCATGGTTTCCAACCGGGTATATAATTCCTAAAAATAAGTCACGCAAATCAGTAAATATACACTCACTCACTCATGGATTCATTTCTTATCTTTCCTCCTTCTTTCAGATAACACATTCTATCCCAAGATGACGTTTTAAATATTTGATTTGCACACAGATAAGCTAAGGTCCTGACATTTAAAAGTTTTTCATTAGAATCACATTAAAATCTAGACTAACTTCACCATTGACCCAGCATTTAATATCAATTAGATCACTCTATTGTCTTAAAGGTTCTACAACGTCTAAGGTAAGATCCATCTTATTTTTATTATTTACATACATAGATATGTAAACATAGCTGTGAAAACAAAGAAGGTGGACCCCCATAACATTGATCATTAGGAAAAATATAAGGAATTTGTCAGAATCAGAAGAATACACATGACCAAGAAAAGGAATGATGACAAATCAGAATCTCCAAATTTTCTTACTGAATTAAGTTTTTAGGAACTTTGTGAAAGAGAAAGACTAGTGTACATTAATCTCGTCCACTTTTTAAATGGAAAGATTTATACAATTTACTGATTTGTACATAATTATACAGTTACCAAACTGATCATCAGGCAAAGGTTAACTAAGACTTTTCACTCTGTGCAAGCAAGTTTTTGGTAATTAAAATATATTGTGCTGCACTGGATAAAAGATGCAATCATGTTGTCAGTGTTCTTCATGTTTCCATACCTCTATCTCTTTTAATTGTTCATTTCTTAACATAACGTCTAATTCTAAAGGTTGGTTTTGCAGCTCATTGACTTTCTGCTCATCTTCAGTGTTTTTCATGCTTTCTTGAGCATCCAGAGAAAGTTGTTTTGACAAAACCATTTCCACAGCTGAATTCTGAAAACATAAAAAGATTAACTGCTGAATAGTCTACTTTCCAAATAAATAATTTTTACTTTTTTTGATGAAAACATTCCAGTTTCTTCTATTTACTTGGATTAAAGATTTTTTTAAAGTATATTTGGGCACTACCAGAGATAATTTTTCCATACAATTATTAATGCCTATACTGGTATTTCAAAAAAATAAAATGAAACTTTTTTGACAAGGTAGTACAGGATCTAGCACTGCTGAATTATATACTGAGGCATAATCTGTAGTTTTAAAGAAAGAAAACAGATATGGAAAAAAGCAAAAGTTCTGGGCCGGCCCGGTGGCGCACTGCTACAGTGCGCTGCTTGGAAGCACGGTGACGCTCCCGCCGAGGGTTCGGATCCCACATACAGACCGGTTCCTGCTCACTGGCTGAGCGAGGTGTGGGAGCAACACCGAGGGGTGCAATCCCGTTGCCGGTCCCGGTTCGGTACGGGTGCGACACTGAGGGTTGCGATCCGTTGCCGGACATGAAAAAAGAGACAAAAAGGAAAAAAGCAAAAGTTCTAACATTTATACTAACTTTCATTATGATGTAGAGGGCAAGGCAAATAAATAATAGACATTCATTGTTACCTGCCAGTAATTCAAAATATGTGCACAGATGAATGAAACACCAAGAATTCATGATAGTAAGAATAAATCATGCCTTAAACCCATCAATAGTAAGAATTCAAATCTGGGTACGGCAGAACAAGTTATATACAAGATAATTTGATTTTTTCTGAAAGATGTAAGAACTTGAGGTTCTCAGTAGGACATATAGGGACATCTACATTCACTTTATTCTTTCAACAAATACCTGTTGAGCACTTAAATGTAGCAGGTGGCATGCCAGTAATTTTTAAAGATTTTCATTATTTTACTCAGGTTAATTAGTTTTTATTTTCAGATTACTTTATAAATGAAAAACCATTTGATTTTGCCATATATGAGGGATCTTCAAAAAATTCATGAAGAGATTCATATTATACTTTTATTCTATTTTTCCATGAACTTTTTGAAGTACCCTCATACTACATGTCAGTAGAATCTTTGAGGTATCAAATCTGTGAATAAAATGTGTCCACATCTCCAAACGAGGTGGAAATTGTTGTCTTAAAAATACTCCCTAGGGCCGGCCCGGTGGCGCACTGCTACAGTGCGCCGCTTGGGAAGTGCAGCGGCGCTCCCACCGAGGGTTCGGATCCCACATACAGACCGGCCGCTCACTGGCTGAGCGAGGTGCAGGGGCAACACCGAGGGTTGCGATCCCGTTGCCGGTCCCGGTCCAGTACAGGCGCGACACTGAGGGTTGCGATCCATTGCCAGTCACACAAAAAGGGGAAAAAAAAAAAAAATACTCCCTAGACAGTAATATAAGATGGTAACAATAGGGGAAACAATGCAGGGGTATTAGGGAACTTTCTGTACCATTCTTGCAATTTTCTGTAAATGTAAAAGTATTCTAAAATTAAAAGTTTATTTAAATAAATGCTGTCTGAAGCTTCATCAATTCTAACTGGTAAGAAAATTCAGTTGTCCAGGATTACTGGTTTTGAAGTAATTAATTGGCACTGGGCACAAGTCACTTCTTCAAAAAGGTTGTGAATGATTGAAATGATTTTGCAAATTTCCTCCAGTTCCAAAATTTTATTTAGGTGAACTATGGTGACAATCTACATCAAGGGCAGCATCTCAGGTGGGAATGATCCAGGAAGGCTAAGAGGAAAGGAGAGAGGTGCCACACCACGGGCTTCATCAGCCAGTGGGTGCTTTTAACCTGTTAGACACAGTCACAGGTATAGACACCCACCTCCTTTCCACCTGACAGTTACTGTTTCTTAGCATACTCCCACAAATCGACCCAGGACACAAGAGAGTCTGAACCAAGAGCCGAGATACTAGACCTTAGGAAAGTTTTCTCTATTATTAATCATCTGTTAAGAATTCAGAGCCCTTAGTTTCTCATATCTGATGAAAGAGTGCTTGAGGACTACTGTAACACAGGAAAACACTAGCAACGTTTGTAACAGCCTCCTTTAGTGATCAGAAAAAGGATACTTACAAATCTGAAATTACCCCAAAACACCAGTCAATAACCAACCCCAAAAGCCATGTTGATACCTCGGCAGAAAAGTCAACAGAATGCCTCAAATGAACATTTCAAGTTTAAAAGGTAACATTCCTCTGCTCGTACCAGAGAGGTCAGAACACAGACTCAACGACCTGATTGGCCCCTGGAAAGGTTCTTTCATAACCAGTCATCCTTTGCTGACCAGCCCTTGCTATGTTTTATTTTGATTTTGCAAGCTCACTTAAAATACTTTGTTTTAAAGTATAAAATATTTCAAACATACATAAAAGAACAAAATATAATACACACTCATTACCAACAAAACAGATTGTAGTGATATAATTATCCATATTAAAAAAATAATTTAGGGCCGGCCGGTGGCGCACTGGAGAGTGCGCCGCTTGGGAGTGCGGCGGCGCTCCCGCTGAGGGTTCGGATCCCATATGGAGACCGGTTCCCGCTCACTGGCTGAGCGCGGTGCAGGCACAACACCGAGGGTTGCGATCCCGTTGCCGGTCAGTAAAAAAGACAAAAAGGAAAAAAAAAAATTTAAAGCCCAACCTCCATCCCTTTCATCTCTTCCCCCACAGAACCAACCACTAGAGTCCACACGTACTTGTTTTTACCTTTAGTACATATGCCAGCACTCACATAGTATCATTTTATGTTTCTAATTCTTATGGAAATTATAATCATGTGTACATCATGTTATAACTTGATTTTTTCCACTCAGCAGTATGTTTAGAGGTTTATCCATGTTAACAGATATAAATCTAGTGCAGTCATTTTAGCTTTGTATACTGTTCAGCTGAATGAACAAACATGACTTAAATACCTGTTAGACTAATATGAACATTATTTCCAACTTCTATTATAGACATTGCTGAGATACACACCCTTGTATAGTTCTTCTTGCCCATGTGGGTGAGTTTCTTCAGATCTGAACTGAAATTAGTAGTCATAGAACAAACCCCTTTTGATTCTCAATAGACAGTTATTGATTTCTTCACCAAACTGAATTTCAGTTTATATTCCCACCAGCACAGTAAAAGAGTTTATATTTTCCCAAATCCTCATATTTGGTAATAGCAGACTTTAATTTCTGCCAATATAATGGGTGTGAAACTTATATTATTATTGCTTTAATGGTATTTCCCTGATAGTAAGACAGAGCTACTCTTCATATATGTTCATTGGCCATGTGAGTCTTGCCTTCTGATGACTGCTTTTCCATTACATATCCATTGTACATTTGTTATTGGGTTGTTAGTGATTTTTAGCATTTTCATATTCTAGATACTAATCTTCCAATACTGATATAGACTGCAATTTTCTTCCAGTCCATTGTCTTTAAACTTTGTGTATGATGTCTTTTGTTGAACAAGAGTTTAATATTTTTTTTCTTTTTAAATTTTTTTTATTTTTTATTTTTTAAGAGCTTAATGTTTTAATGCAGTCAAATTTATCAATCTTTTCCTGTTTGGGCTTGTGCTTTTAGGTTAGGGCCTGTTTAAGAATTTAAGATCTCAGGGCCGGCCCCGTGGCACACTCAGGAGAGTGTGGCACTGGGAGCGCAGCGACACTCCCGCTGCGGGTTCGGATCCTACATAGGAATGGCCGGTGCGATCACTGGCTGAGCGCGGTGTGGGTGACACCACACCAAGGGTTGCAATCCCCTTACCGGTCACGACAAAGACAAAAAAAAAAAAAAAAGAATTTAAGATCTCAGGTTGTCTTGCTACAACCTAGGAACACAAAAGTATTCTTTTATATTGTCCAGCAAAAGTTTTAAAATTTTCTCATCACATTTAAGTTTTTCTTTCATATACTTTTGTGAGAGGTTTAAGATTGGTACATTTAGTCTTTGTATGAAAATGTAAGTATTTTGCCTCATCTTAGAATGAAAATTTGGCTAGGTTGACAGCTATTTTCTCCCAGCCCTTGAAGCTGCTATTTACATTGCCTTCTGACTTTCAGTGTTGAGAAATCTGCTGTCAACGTAATTGTTTTTTATACATAATCTTTTTTCTCTGATTGCCTTTAAGACTCTTCCTTTTGGCTTTGGTGTTTTACTGCTTAACTACAATGCAGTTAGGTAATAATTTATTTTTATTTAGTTTGTTCAAGGCTCTCTGTAGTTCTTGAAACTGAGGATTCATAGATTTCCTCAATTTAGCAAAATTCCAAGCTTTGCCTTTCCTCCAATCTCTCTATTCTCTCCCCTAGAAGTCCTATCAGAAATGTGTTAGACCATCTCAGTACAGCCCCTGGGTCTCTTAAAATCTCTTTCCTATTTTGCATCTCTTTACAGATGCTGGATTTGGTGATAATTTTCTCAGTCATGTATTCTAGCTAATTCTTTCTTCAAGCTGTGTTAAATTTGCTGCTTAACCTGGCCACAGCAATCTTCATTTAATGAGTATTTTTTTGTTCACTGAAGTTCCATAGAGTTCTTTTTTCACATCTGTCCTTTTTTATTCAAAGTACTTTAGTCTTTCCTTATGATTTCAATTCCTTCTTTTATATAACTAGTCATCTTATTTTATTTTGTTCTTTGGTGGCTGGACAGTATGGGGAACCGAACCCATAACCCTGGTGGTATAAGGCTGAGCTTTAACCAATTGAGCTAACCAGCCATCCTATATCACTAGTCATTTTAAACATGTTATTGTAATATCGTTCAGACTGCTGCATTATCTCACTTTCTTCGTGTATTAATTCCTCTCATTTGTTACGATGAGTAGTCTTTCTTGTAGAAGACAATTCCTTTGTGTTATTTATTTATTCTTATTAATTCTTTATTAGATTTATTTTTTTAATACACTTGCAGGCATTCCTTAGCCCTGACTGGTAGAACTGACTCCTTTGTGTGGATTTTTGCTTGCTTCTTCCGTTATTTTATTTATTTATTTATTTTTTAAAAGATGACCGGTAAGGGGATCTTAACTCTTGACCTGGTGCTGTCAGCACCACACTCAGCCAGTGAGATAACTAGCCATCCCTATATAGGATCCGAACCCGTGCCTTGGTGTTATCAGCACTGCTCTCTCCCGAGTGAGCCACGGGCCAGCTCAGAAAAAAGTCATTTTAATGTAGTATAATAAATTATCAATAACATCATTCAAGATGAAATAAAACTTTAATAAATTTAAAAATAATTCTTATTCTTGATTTATAATTTTTATGTAGTTTTCAATATACTCTATTGGAATGTTGGGCTGGCCTGTTAGCTCAGCTGGTTACAGCTGCTCCCAAAAAAGGAGTTTTGGGGTTCACAGTCAAAATAAGGTTGAGAAGTTGGTTTAAAAGTTATTAGGCAACTAACGCCCTTTAGCAATTTCACGTGTTAGGACTGTGCCCTCTCTTACAATCTATCTCGTAGAAAGCACTTGGGTATTTTTCCTTTTTCTATTTCTTTTTAAATATTGTAAAGAAAGTTTGTTTTACTACAATCTCAAGAGTCTCTGAGCCTTTAATCATTTAAGACATACTTCCTTAGCAATATCTAGCACTGTGGGATTTATAAGAAGATTTTTCTCACAGCCAGAGATGCTCCATTGGCATTTAACCTTGTTTTACACATTTCTATCTGGCTCCTTTAATCTTTCATGCATTCCTGTTCCAGGAAGACAATAAAAGTGCACGTTCTCTTCATTTCTGTTGATTACATATTCCATAAAAAGCTGATAAGAACGCACACCTGAATGGTCTCACCGTGCCAGGGAAATTCTTTCAAATACCGTTTATTGGATAGTGCTTTGTGCCGCTTCCATTTCAATCTGTAACCTATGAGAAAGCACTTTAAGAGCCACAGGAAAATGTACCCATTTGGTTGTTTACAATGAAAACAAGAAAATATTCTTCTTTCTTCTCCCCAGAGAAATTTAGGAGCCTGAATGTTGATATTCTTGCACTAAATGATCTGACAACACTTAAAAGTATATTTACAGTATAGGGTTAACATGGAAAAAAAAAAATGAAGGAATGGAACCCATCCTTCCAACAGTCTCTGATTTCATTATAAAAATCAAACAAAAAAAATAGGGCTCTTGGGTTTTTTTTTTTCTGAGAAAATGGGTAAGGCACATTTTCTTTTCTTTTGCGTCTTCTAATTTGCCTTTGTGCTCTTGACCCAAGAAACTGTATCTGATTACATATCAGAGAGAATAATAAACCCAAATTGATGGCTGACAATTCAACAGACTGAACAGTAATATTTCACCACTGAAATCCTGGACAGTTTTCTAAGGGCTCTTTTTACAAGTGGGCTTCATAAATAGCCAGTACATTGAGGATTTAATTATGAAATCAGAATGCTTGATTTGAGACCCTCTTTTCAGAGCTAAATACCTCTTCATTCTCAGACTCAGTATCTTAGAGAGTGCAATCACAAGCACTTACCTTGTTTATTTCCCTGTCTTCCTCCAACTTTTCCACTGCAGCCGAGTCCTGAGAAGACTCCTGCACATCAGAAGTGGCCTGCTTCTCTCTGCTTGGCAGAGTAAACTTTTCTTTCTTTTCTGTTGAGCATTTTGATCTGAGAACACTGTTGAGACAGTTTTCCGTCTCCTGCTTAGCAGATTCAAGTCTGTTTTCCAAATCTTTTTGTTTATACTTGAGTGATTTTATATCATGCTTAATAATCTTCTGTCCCACTGAAGATGTATTTTGCTTGATGGATTTTGCTAAAACTAAAATCTTTTTTAATGTGCCATCTTCTAAACGGAGTCTATCCTCTAGGTCCTGTGAGAGGAGAAAAGATGGTTATACAAAGTATCTGCATTCAGTTGCCATAAGAGTCAATTGTCTTTTGTACATCACAAGAAGAGTAGTCTGCTTCACTAGTGGAAAATATAAAAAACTTATCAACTCATATCAGCGAAGAAACTTAGGCCAAATTTTAATCAATGTGGTATCCCAGATAAATTCTCAAACAGATTTTATAAAACACTAGGAAGTTCGCAACAAGTAATGCAGAAAATTTTCACAGCACAGTTCTTAGAACATAGAAGGCAGTCAATAAATATTTGCTGTTGGTGTTTTGTTTTGTTTTTGCAGCTGGCTGGTACAGGGATCCAAACCTATGACCTTGGAATTATAAGACTGAGTTCTAAACAACTGAGATAACCAGTCAGCCCTAAATATTTGTTGAATATATATTTTGTTCAAGATACAGAATTTACATACAATCAAAATACTAAATAATAAGTGCCTACTATGTGCAAAGTATTAAAATGAATAAAGGAATCATTTAGAATATACCCACGTGAATCTAATGTTCACATTTAAAATCGAGAGCAAAGTTTTGCGGGTGATAAGAAATTATCTAGTATACTATTTTAATATACCAGGAAGGTATATTAAATATTTACTAAATGCACGAATGAATGAGGCTAATTTGAAAACTCTAGACTCAAAAGGAATTTGAGGTATTATGGTAGCCGATGTTACCATTAGAATACAAGAAGCCTTAAATCTACTAGGTGAACCATATAGAATTTATTAGTCACTATCCTAATGACTACAGAGTAAGTAAGCATGCATTCATTCATTCATTCGTTCATTCAACTAACAGCCAAGTACTAGGATAAGTTTTAACATTACATAAATGAGTAAAATACAGTCCCTTTAAGTTTCTACAATCTAGTGGGACAGACACAGAAACAACCAAACAATTGTAACAGAATGTGAAAAAATCTATGCTAACAAATACACACAGGTCATTGAAGCATTTTATGCTGGAAGAAAGGGTTCCATTTTAGAAAGATCCAGAGCAGCCATGGGAAATATGCACTGGAGTGGTAACACTGCAGGCAGGGAGCCTGGAAGTCTGTCTAGTGCAGGAATCTATGTGATGAGGGTGTGTTCTCAAGCAGCAAAAAGTGGGTTGATGGGAGAGAGACAAATGGTAAAGATATTCCAGAGGGGAACAAGACAGTACTTGGTATCTGACTAGCCTGGGAAGTCCAGGAAAGGATATCCAGGTTCCTGATTTGGAAGCCTGAAGAGATGATGGAAATATTCACCGAGCCAGAGAATAGAGGAGAAAAAGCAGCTCACTGGTTGGGAGCCAGGGGATGAATACGATGAGCTATTTTTTTGACACACTGAACTGCAAACAATTGTGAGGCAGCCCCGTCTCAATGCCAGTCTATTCTGGAGATGTCCTGCTTGATCCCCAGGTCCATAAGTGAAAGAGATGAGAAATTCCCAAGCTCATGCCAGTAGTGCTGTGCCCTGAGACCGACCCCATGAATTCTCCAGTCAAGGAACTGTGAAAGAGGTAGCCACGAAAATGCTTACTTTGTTTTTTCCAGAGGACCCCTCTCCGACCTGCTTATGTTGGCTGTGCAAACAGTGACCTTCCTAGGAATGTGTTTCGAGGATGTAGGTAAAGGGCTGCAGACCTCACTGTATAAGGCTAGATGTGGGGGACTCAGGGTGATAATCATAAAAGCCCTACATTTGAGAAGAGCTCTAATTTAGCCCATCAGAATGAAAATTAATAAGGTAAAAAGTATACAACTTCTATCCACCCATGGTGAAGAGTGCTTAATTGAAATATTTTCCCCTAGGTCTTGTGCCAGGGGAATCCTCCGACCACTCAGTATTCTCTGGAATGACTACGGTGTCTCTAAAGCAAAGATATCCAGGAGCTGCAGACAGGTCATGGGTAGAACTGTCTCTGAGGGCCTACTGAGGCAGGGTACTGTTCAATGGATTAAGCCAGTAAAGAAGAACATTCCCATTATTTATGATCGGTCAGAGCTTTAATTATCTAAGAGTTATCTGAATAGCACTTGAATTTCTGATGGAAGGTACTGATAAGTAAAGTTGTAATTAATGCTGATTTGTTTAAATGTCTACCCTGTCTGGACATTGTTTAATACCTGCAGTTTCTGCAATTTTTCCTCAGCTGCTCTTTGATCCACAGACTTATCAGAAAGACTGGCAAATTCCTTGGAGATATTATCCAATGTGGTATGCAGGTCTGTAACGCAAACCTGGTATGAGTGGTGTTCTTGAACATGACCTTCCAATTTTTGCACAGAATCCTAAAAATAAAACCATTGAAAATTTACTAATTATTTCTCTCTGATTTTTTTCACTCAGAAAATAATTACATGATTCATAAATATTCATTTCACAAGGTTTCATCATGAAACAAGGATATGGCTATACATTATCTAGAGTTCTTAAGATTTTACTGTTTGAGATATTCCACCACACATCCCAAATCTCTACATCCCCTGAAAAATGACTCACTGAAAACAGGTTTATTTTTCCCATGCTTCTACACCTTCATTTCTTTCCTGAAGACAATTTATTTGTCAAGAGATTTAGGAAATGAAATAGCTGCAAATTATATTGTTAAATCACAAACATCCATAATAAGACAGCTCCCTTAATTATTCTTGGCACTAAAATCAAGTACCCACATGTGGAAATGAAACTGTCTGAGATCAAACTAACCCCAAATTCCTTTCCTAAGAATCAAACTCCAAACGTGTGTGTTAAGAAAAAGTAATCCTAACTCAAGAGCAAAACCACCTTCAGTTTCTCTCACTAGGACAAGAAAATAACATGATCACACCTAATCAGAGAAGCAGCAACTATTAAACTAAACAATTTACAGGCAAACTGTAACCCCTCCCTGGCTCCTATAAGCAGGATTTCTTACCCAGGTAATCCTTACTTTGAATCTGGCTTTCAGTGTGCAAAGAATTATAAACTGTTCTATTAAGAGAATGTACTCCCTTGTGAAAAGCTGACATTTTACCCCTTAACTCTTCTACTGCAGATCACATGGAAAGCTCCAAGGGAGGGGTGCTGATGATATGGTGGATACAGGATAACTGACATAAACTATTGCAACAGATAGATGAAGGATGATAATAACTTTGTGGATAATAACTTTGATACTGTCACCTATATAAAGATGCCTAAAAAATCTAAACCCATCCTATCCGCAAAGGGGGGAACATCAATGAGAGGAACTAATACCACCATCAAAGAATACACAATGGATCCCTCTAGCAAAAGTGACTGGCCTGATTGATTCCTCCATGCTTGAGAGTTAATATTTTCATCTACAAATGATAAATTAAATGTTGAAAGTTTTTGGTTTACCAAAAGAAAAACAACAAAAAATAGTTCCAGATACAAATCTTCCATAAGCATGCATAATTATAACAATCACTTGAAATTTTATTTTGACCACTTCACCTGTAGTTGGTGGAGAAGACTTTCATGTAGATGCTTTATTTCCAACCAAGGCTCTTCACTGAAGTTAGGATTTTTAGTGCATTCCAAGAGGTAATTTCCTTGAGATTTTAACTCTTTTAGCAAGGATGTCAAATCTTGTGCTTTCTGGAGGAATTTCTTATAAATTTTTAACTGAGCATTTTTCTCCTGCAAGCCGTGTTGCAGAGCAAAGCCTGCTTCTTGTTTCTTCTTTAGTTCTGTGAGCATTAATTTCAGATCTTCCTTACTTTGCAAATACTTCTCTCCTTCTAGTAGAAGCATTTCTTGATGGCTAAATTTTTCAAAATATTTTATAAATGAAATGGCATTTAGCAAAACGGAGTGGCATTTTGCATATTATAAAGCAACATACATTATAATAAACAGCATTAAAATAACATTAATATACATAATTCCCAGAAATTCTTTTAGCATTATAACATTCTAAATAGCACTTTAGCTCAGAAATCAAGACAGAAGGGGCCGGCCCGGTGGCGCACTGGGTAAGTGCGCCGCTTGGGAAGCGCAGTGGCGCTCCTGCCCGAGGGTTCGGATCCCACATACAGACCGGTTCCCGCTCACTGGCTGAGCGAGGTGCGGGAGCAACACCGAGGGTTGCAATCCCGTTGCCGGTCCCTGGTCCGGTACGGGGGCGACACTGAGGGTTGCGATCCGTTGCCAGACACGGAAAAAGACTCCTGCCCGAGGGTTCGGATCCCACATACAGACCGGTTCCCGCTCACTGGCTGAGCGAGGTGCGGGAGCAACACCGAGGGTTGCAATCCCGTTGCCGGTCCCTGGTCCGGTACGGGGGCGACACTGAGGGTTGCGATCCGTTGCCAGACACGGAAAAAGACAAAAAAAAAAGAAATCAAGATAGAAATCATTTTAGTGTTACTAAAAAATAAATGGCTTTTGTTATATAATTTGACCAGAGAATACTTAATAATCTGAATTTCAAACTAGTGTTAAAAGTTTTTATTATATTTAAATATAATTATATTATATTTTACTTTTATGAAAAAATAAAATTCTTTTTCATAGAAGTAAAATCATTATTCACTATACTAACCAACTAACTAGTTTATGGAACTTAAAGTTAGTTTTATCTGATTGTCTCCTTAGAAAAACATAAAATTCATGTTACCAAGTATTAAATATATCATTTAAAGAGTGATATGAATTATGAATTTTCACCAGAATTATATCTATTTGATTCAGCCATTTATTGATGTTCACACATTGAGAATCTCTTAGAATAAATATTTAAAAGCATTAATTATTTTACAGTAAAACCATGCAGGTGCTAAGGTTGTTTGGGGGAAGGAAGCTTGCTACAGAAGCTAGGTATGGAAGGTGGAATGATAGACAATGTTAATTTGTTACTAAGAACTCCAGAGGGTGATGCCCCCTCTACACCAAACACTGCCACAGAGGTATGACAGAGTTGTGTCATATCTGATCTGGAGAACTATTCCTCTTGCAGATGCCCCTGACATTAGTGACTTTCTCTTCAGTAGATACTGTATCCAGTCCCAGGAGGCAGACAAAACATACTTGTTATGGCTTCATGGGGCAATGGAAAATGCTGCAAGTGGGGAAGGCACGTCCTTACCTTAGATATGTGTTGGCTAAATAGAGAGTGTTGTCCCACTGGCTCTGGATATCAGTCACGGTCTTGCGAACCAACAAGGCCTCACTGCTCGCAGCCTGTTTCATGATGGTCTGTATTTTGGCGTCTCCTTCAGGCTTTAGTAAAATGATTTCCTGAATTAAATTAAAAAGACCTTATAACTTCATTCACATTACTTAAGGATATTACATATGATAACTATTTATTTATAAGCTTTATATTGAGTTCTAACTACAGAGTATATTTCAAAATAACTCTTTCATTTTTATACATGCCCAAAAGACAAAAATATCCTCCTTTACGTTAGACAGAGTTGGTTCTCAATGAACATTACATTCCTGCTCTCTTGCTTCTCAGCTGCCTTCTTTTTATCATATACCAATAAAATCCTGGTAAATCCTCCTTCCTATCCACTCCATTATTTATAGAAGAAAAGTTACGATAACAACCTGAACGAGACATTTCTATACACCCAAGAACAGACTTAGGGCTTCCCACAGGAAAATGCAGGTCCCTCCTGCATGGAGGCCAACTCCTGCTCTCCTCCATGTCACAGTTAATCCCCATTCCCTGTCTTCTCTTTCCCTCCTTTGCTTTGACAATTAAGTTCTTCCCTTCTTGGAAATACTACTCAACATTCATCTTCTCTGGGAAAACTTCTGGATATAATCCCAAATGATTCTGATTATTTGCTAAGTCTCACCAACCCTTATAGCTCACTATTCTCGACCATTTCTTCCTCTAACAATGCTTCACTTAATGTGATTTCAATTATCTTAGAGTTCCTTTAAGCACACGTGCTTCTGTCTCCCGTATTTTTAACAAGCAATGTTTACTGACTCCCCCTTAGATAGAAAGAGAGCTTGAGGGAGCTTGAAACTTCCTTGCCCTCTAGGAACCATGCATATCCATTCTGAAGAATTCCTCTCCACCCTTGCCCTTGACATTGCTGATGCCTCTGCTGTACTGACATACGTGCTTTTTACATCCTGGCAGACTCCCACCTGCTGCAGCTCTGATCTGTCTTCTCTACTTCTATTTTTCTGCACTCAGTGAAGATGGAAAGTAACTGGGCATTGCCCTCTCAAAGAGAGGATATGCTTTCTCTCTTTCAGACGCATTTAAATCATTTTAGATCCATCACAAACCTTCTCTTTTGCAAACTCAGCGATCTGAATTCCTTCAACCATTCCACAGCAATCCAATTTTCCACTAAGAAACAAATCTTTGCAGTTTTCCTCTAAATCTTTTCAAAATTAGAGTTCACTCTGACCTCTGAAATTTAGTTTTACCTTTAGTTATAGAGTTATACCTTTATTTTCTGGATCCTTTCCTCAAGTGGCATTTTGCCTTCAGATGAATTCAAAACCATAAGGGACTCTTTTATCTCTTTTATCCAGTGAATTACATTATGTGCAAGATCTTTAAAGCTCTGGTCCTCAGCAGGTGGTAACTTATCCACTTTCTCAATTTCACATAATTGTTTCAACAAAGTCTGGTATCTATCGATCAAACATGTTGATTCCATTATAATTTCTTCTTCTTCAGTAAGCCCATATTCCTTCAAACAGTTATTCAACTGGGCCATAGATTCAAATTGTTCCCTGTAAATTTCAAATATCATCGAAAGTTTATAGGAGTCACTACACCATAAAGAAACCATATTCCCAGGTTATATATTACACAAGATCAGCTATACCTCTTCCTAGCTAAAGCTTGGCAAAATAGCTTGGTTTTCTCCCCTGATTCTTCCATTTCTTTCCATTTCTCTTCTTGATTAGTCAACCATTTACTCAGGTTTCTGTGGTCATCCTGGAGTCTAAAAGAACATTCCACATGTTAGAACATAAAATAAGTAAAAAGTGTTTAATACAAAAGAGAAGGATGGCACAAACCTTGTGAGTCAACCAGGATTTTATAACATGTGTTTGTTATTTTTTAACCAAAACTTAACTTGTAACATCAAAATTTGAATAATAATTGCCTGTAGTATAGTGAGATTCTATGTTATTAAAGCAACGAGCCATACAAATATATCATAAAGAACAGGAAACAAACAGAAAACATTTTTGGACTATACTCTGAACCTTTGCTTTATATGATAACTTGAAGAATTCTCTGAACTTTTACATTCCAAGTCTAGATTTTAACTTGCAATCAAGCATCACATAATGACGCGATGGTCAACAACAGACTGCATATACAACAGTGGTCTTGTAAGACTATAATGAAGCTGAAAAATTCCTATCACCTAGTGATGTTACAGCCATAGCAACATCATAGTGCAACACATTGCTCATGTAGGAGCAAAGGACTATACCATATAGCCTAGGTATACAGTAGGCTATACCGTCTAGGTGTGTGTAAGTACACTATAAGATGTTCACACGATGAAATCACCTAAGGACATATGTCTCAGAAATGATCCCCATCTTAACTGATGCATGACTGTATCTATTTTATTAGTGAAATTGGTGTATATGTGCATCCCAGTGCTTGCTGTACTGAGACAGAGTACATATAAATGTATCATTAGAAAATGTTATTTAGATAGGACCTTTATTTCCTACCTCAGTAGCTGCTGCAAGTAGTTATCAAGCTCCTTTGCTCGTGCCTGGCATATGGACTCCATTTTTTCTAATTCCAATTCTTGATTCACAAGCCAACTATTAAGCTCTTTCACATGTGCTTTGGGCAGATGCTTCTTCACATGCTTAAGGACAGTTTCCACCTGCTGTATTTTACTACTTCTTCCTTCAAGAGTCAAGAAATCCTTAAGACAAACAAAAAGTCAATTATGATCCACTGGGAAGCGCAGAAATGGTCTCTGCCTCTCCCATGACACTTTTCCAAATCAGTACACAGACACACCACCTTCTTAACATCCTAAACAAAAGAAGGACTATGGAGATGAGGCTAGCTCCAATAGCACGTGACTCAACAGTATTTCTAGAAAGTGTGTGTACATTTACATTTGCATCTGACTTTCTGGGAATTACAAGCAGCAAAATAATATAGTGCCCCCATGAGGGTCAGCTGGAGCAAGATCAGAAAAGCTACTTTTTCCTATCCTGGCTCTGCTCAGCTTCTCCTAAATACTTGCTCCTTTCTGGTAATCAGTACGTAAAATTAAGCAGACTATTTTCTATTTAACTTTGCCCAAATCAGAATTTTATTTCAGTGTTTATGTTTCAAGGTTTAGGTATCAATTGCTGAGTCTAATGGAATGGCAAAAATTAAAAACAACAACAACAAAAAATGGTACTTTTTTAAAAAAAAGAAGGAAAGTGATTCCATCAATAAAGAACGGTACCACCAAAGTAAGGAATTAAACAGAGAATACTAGGTAAGCTCAAGAACATGACATCTTCAAAACATTAAAATAGTAGAAAATCAACTGTAAAGTGATCGAGATTTAAGGGTGCCACAAGCACTGTCAATGCCCCTGTGCACTGTGTCTTTGATTTCAGGCTACCCTCCACAACACTTCAACCAGTAATGTATTAAAGCTCAACTACAATTTTTAAAAGAAATATGACTGGGAAAAGGCATAAAAATTAAGTGACTTCTTTCAAAAAAGTAAAGAGATTTTAAAGTCCAAATTAGGTAAAGTCTTTTTTTTTTATCAAATATGATTTTAACACAACTGAATACACCAGTGAACACTAAGTTAAACAGCATCTTAGAACAAGTGTAAAAGTAGAACTTGTTTAAAGCCCTTGCACTAAATATAGAGTTTCAAAATATTTGGGGAAAAGCAAGGTTATTTGGAAATATCTCTTATGTAAGAAAACTAGTAAGTCAAAGTAATGATTATCCTATCTACTTATATGCAGTTCTATGCCTCTAATATTTTAGTTTTGATAAATTTTCATTAAAACATATATATATCTTACAGAAAGTTTTTGTAGCTTTTGTTCCACACTCTTTTTTGTTTCTGATGATTCAAAACACTCCTTAAGGTTCATTTTACTGTTGCTGAACCAGTCATTAAAGTTCTTGCACTGATCTGTAGGGGGAAAACATCTTTATTCATTTAAGGAAAACATCATACACCTTGTTAAAGTGAGAGATTTTGGAAATTGCTTCCCATGCCATGGACACAAGTCATTATGTAAAGAGGTAATAAACTCTGCAATCCAATTTTGAGGGCTAATAAAGCCTAGAAAGCAATTATTGTATATTTTCTACACCAAACCCCCTTTCCAAACATAACAGGACACCCAAAGACACTTGTAGGGACAGCCTGCTCACAGGCATGTCCCCAGACTCACTGACCATAGATAGTAAGTAAACACAAGGACCTTGGTGACTTTCCTTTATAAAATAAAGATTTGGGACTTGAAAAAAATAGATGTAATTTATGTCAAGCCTTGATCAGTGAGTTTCCCCCCACAAGATTTGTTCGAATACTATTTACTTAAATACAGTCTGTGCAAACCACCTCTAAGTCAGGCTTAGATTAGCCTTTCTATTCACAGTACTATATTCATACTTCAAGAATCCTAGAAACAAAGAGAAACACCACACTCACCATTCAGTAACTTAGAAAAGTGATCTTGCAAAACACTTTTTTTGGTATTAAATAAATCACTGACACTTTCATATTGCTTTTTCAATTCAGAGAGTTCAGGAGTCAGACAACCTATTTGATTCTCAAGTAATATCATACTGTGCTTCTGCTGTAGAATTTGCTGATGTATTTCCTAAATATATAAACAAACAAACAAAAAACAATTAAGTCTTAAAACAGGATCAACTAGGCCAGCCTGTGGCTCACTCGGTAGAGTGCAGTGCTGATAACACCAAGGCCACGGGTTCGGATCCCATATAGGGATGGCCGGTTTGCTCACTGGCTGAGCGTGGTGCTGACAACACCAAGCCAAGGGTTGAGATCCCCTTACCGGTCATCTTTTAAAAAAAAAAACAAACAGAAAAACCAGGATCAACTAAACAAAGCAATTAGATCTCAATTATTTTATAAAAATTTAGATGATTTTCTATGGAGTAAATTCACTTTTTCTTTGCAAGTAAATGTATAATACAATGCAATTTAATATCAATTAATTATTGTCCCCAAAGCAATTCAAAAGTGAAAATGCTAAATGTATACAAACTGTTTTTCTCAGTTTTTTTCCCCCAGGCTGTCGTTTTTTTCAAACTATTTTTATTAACTTTAACAGGTCAATCCCACCAAAAATAAGTGTGAAAATAAATCTGCATCACAGAAGGCAAGCAGCTGAGCAGCACCTCTAGTTTGGTGAAGATCTCCAAGCTGTCGGAAGGTGACAGGGCTTTTAAAAGGGATTCAGTCATCCCAATCTGGGTCTTGGCTTGGTCGAGATCCTCTCTTAGCTCAGCTGTGCTGCCACTGAGAGCATAGCAGTCGGATTCTCCTGTTAAACACCTTTTTACATGTTCCATTTTATTCAAAATAGAGGACTCCATGACCTGAAATCATGAAACATATGAAGTACTGTAATGGACATTATTTAGCTAGATTACAAAACAACTGCATTGCTAGAGAATGAGTTGAGATTGCTTCATTTCAATGTTAAATAAATTCCTCTCATGGGTCTGGACTGTTCTACATCATCGATACAGCAATTTGAATGTTGCCTTTAAAGGAATAAAGAATAACATGAAAAAAAACTGAAATTGACATTCTGACGTTTTTCTAAGAGACTAAGATGAATACTTCCCCCTAAAACAAGTTTTATCTAGCAAGCCAACTGAGGTGCCATCTCATGGCGCTCATGAGATAAAACATAGAAAAACATATAGATGAGATTAAATATATAGGAAAATAGTCAGCATTTATTGAGCACTTATTAGGTAAACAGCATCGTGGCAAGCACTTCATGTACAAAACAGAGGCTTAAGAAGGTTAAGTATCTTGCCCAAGATGACAAAGCTAGTAGGTGGTACAGCCAGAACCTCACCCAGAAAGTCTGACTCCAGAGCTCTTTTTCAATCACTATGCACCTTGATCGAAATAAAAATGAAACAAATCTCTTCACACAACAGAAAATCACACTTGGGCAATCTCCCTGTTTCCCCATCTAGCAATTAATAAACCTAGGGCCATACTGTCCTTCCTACACCTGAGACAGTTGCAGCAAACCGCAGTTATTTTACATGAAAGCACAGGTAACATTTCCCCTCCACACAAGAGGCCTGAAAATAAGTGGATGGAGAACAAAAGAATGAAAAAATATAACATTATTCATGTTGAACATGGAACAAGTATAATTATACCAACTATAAAAATGTGGTTGGACTGAATATAGGAACCAAATAAATGATGATCCTAATTACACTTTAAGATTTAGAATGTATGGTTTATGAACATTATTTTAGAGGCTATAGAGAATCTTTAATTGGTTAGAGCACGGCCTTGTAATACCAAAGTCAAGAGCTTAGTTGCCTGTACTGGCCAGCCACCAAAAAAACAAACAAACAAACAAAAAAAAACAAAGAGAGAATCTTTAATTGAGAATTTAAAATAAAAATTCTCTTACCTGTAATTCAAGTGGTATTTCACTGCTTTGAAGCAGAAACTGTATTTCAGCCACTCTTCTAGAAAATTCTGAAGCTTTTTGTTCATGGACTTGTAACTCTTCCTAAAACAAATAGTTTTAAAGGAAAATATCTTTTGTATTTCATACCTTATTTTCTGGTACCTATGATCACTATTGTTGATTTATGGAAACTGAGAGAGCCCTTGAATTTCCCGTCATCACTTGTATTATGACAGAGTCCTGGGACTTACAAACCCAGGTGCCTTCAGGGGTCTGGCAAATGCTGTAAGGAGTGAAGCATTCTAGCTATAAGACAGTAGAGAAAGCCCAGGCCTGTGTGGCAAGAGCAGGCAGGGCCTTCCTGAAAGCCTTAAATTTCATAGATATGTGTATATAAATCGTAGACACACACAATTTCAGCAGCATATGGCCCACAGGCTGGCAGTTTATAATTGTTCACTTCAGATTTTTAAACAACCTATAATTCAAGAAAAATTTAAAGTATTCTTAGAAATAATTCTTTTTTACAGTAGTCCTCCCCTTATCCTCATAGGATATGTTCTAAGACCCCAAATAGAAATCCAAAACTGCACATAGTACCGAACCCTCTACACAGCATGTCTGTCACTGTAACAGAGATAGCCACTAAGTGACCAACAGGTGGGTAGCATATACTGTGTGGATATGCTGGACAAAGGGGTGATTCACATTTTGCATGGTGTGGCATAAGACTTCATCACACTACTTAGAACAGTGCACAATTTAAAACTTATGAATTTTTTATTTTTGGAATTTTCCATTTAATATTTTTACACTGCAACTGACCATGGGCAACTGAAACCACGGAAAGTGAAATCGCAGATAAGGGGGACTGATATATTTAGAAAATCAGTTTTACTTCATAACTACCATAATATAGCCAGGAAAGTGGAAATCTCCACACATTAAAAAAAAAAAAATTCAAATATAAAAACAGCTACGTGAATTAAGAAGAGAATAAAATAACAAGAATTAGAGATAAAATGAGATTTGAAGCATTAGCACTGGCATACACTTTTTATTATGTTGAACCACATATAACTGCCAACATTTGGATATTTTCTGACCTGGTGAGAAAGTGATTTTATATGGTACAAACTGATAATATGTAAACAAATAAGCAATTAGAAAGTATTCTTGATAATAAAGTCACATATAATGTTCATCCTACTACATCTGTTGACTATATTCATAATTGAAACAAATGCTATATTTTAGTTAGACATTTGTGGAAATAAAGATACAATCTTTTCCCATCCAAGGTTATTTTATCCATGAACCCCTTGGGAGTCTGTGAACTCCATATTAATAATACCTGCTACCATCTTCCTGGATATCACAAAGGAAATGATAGAGTTCAGATCCCTCTCAAAGAATAATAAAAGGAAAAAAATTATGATTTTCTACCCTGCTCCAAGAAAGCAAACTCAATATTAAAATGTCAACTGTGTACAAAAACCCCCCAAATTTTTATCTCTGTTGAATTACCATTAGCCTTTCTCTGTCCTCTTCAGTCAATTGCTGTAATTTCATTTTTCGAAGAACCTTTTCAGTCCGCTCATCAATAACACTTTTTAGGTTAAAAAGTTTGTCCCACAAAGCCAGAGCTCGACCAAGATTTTCATAGTAGTCTTCTGTCTTCTCATTTATCTACCACAATTAAAAATAAATAAATAACTCATACAGTGAAAAGTATGAAAACCATTGTTTCAAACTGTTTTAAAATAAAATTTTAATTTACCATTGCTAGTAAATAATTTGCATTATTCATCAACAAAAAATTTCGCTTCTGGGCCAGCCCAGTGGTGCACTGCTACAGTGCGCCGCTTGGGAGTGCAGCGGCGCTCCCACCGAGGGTTCGGATCCCACGTACAGACCGGCCGCTCACTGGCTGAGCGAGGTGCGGGCGCAACACCGAGAACGGTGCTCCTGCCCGAGGGTTCTCGGATCCCACGTACAGACCGGCCGCTCACTGGCTGAGCGAGGTGCGGGCGCAACACCGAGAGCTGCGATCCCGTTGCCGGTCCCGATCCGGTACGGGCACGACACTGAGGGTTGCGATCCGTTGCCAGTCATGAAAAAAGACAAAAAAAGGAAAAACAAAAACAAAAACAAAAAAATTTCGCTTTAACCTATCATGTAATTCTTCCTTTAAAAAAAAATCTTAGCTGATTTGCTGTACCTAATAAGCAACTGAAAGCAATGTCTTTCTAATTTCTAAACCACAATTTAAATTTTTAAAAGGTACTTTAAAAAACCCAGGTGGAAATATAATGCAGATTAATTTGGTTTGTAATTCATAAAAAAATCATTACTACTCAGATAATAATTATTAAATATATAGTTGAACAACAATATTCTGCATGAATGGATAATATATTAAATAGTTTATTTTAAATAAATTGAGTGTGTATTTTTATACCTGGAAGATTATATATCCATTTGTTAGCGGTGCCTAACTCTGAGGGTGAAATTAATTTCTAAGTTATAAACTTTATATTATTTCAACATTTTTATGAGTATTTTTTAATTTTGTAATTACACAAAAATACTAGAGGTGCACACACAAAAAGGCCAATTGTTATAAAATAGAATTTGCAGTCAATTAAATGATCACATACATCAAGCCATCTATCCACAATAACATTAGCCTCTTTTTCAAAAGGGGGCTCTTCAAAGGTTTTCATTTTATTTAGATGAAATTGTAGATTTTTGCAGATCTGGTTTATCTTGTCCACAACTTCTAAGTGTTTGTTAAATTCTTCTTTGACCGTTTCTATCTGTAGAAGAGATATGAAAGATGCTTTTGATATACTGACATAGACAAACTGGTAAGAATCACAATTTTATTATTGGCTATTCAGCTTAAAAATATCATATCTTTCTTACACGGTTCTTTAAAGCAAGCATTTATTGTCCCAATTTCTCAATGAAGAGTTATCATAATACTAACCACTGTTTAATGATAATTCTACACTCAAATTTCCTCCCACTCTGCATGATGAAATACTTATAATGGTTTAAAACCATATTTCTTGTCCATGTGAAATAAGATTCTATCAAAAAAATAAAAAGCATCCTCATTCAATGGTATAAAAAATGATAATTCCTACATTCCTCTAATAGGAATCATCTTTTTAATGTCAAAGAACCTAAGTGCTTATCTGAACAAAATAAACAGACAGAACTCTAAAACATCTCTAATATGACTTCTAGTTTAATATTCCATGATCCTAACTTCGTCATTCCTAACATGGAAGGTGAAATGCTACTTTATCAAAAGGAAAATCTCCAATCATTTGGAAACTAAATAACATACTTCTAAGCGTGGGTCAAAGAAGAAGTCTCAAGGGAAATTTTAAAATACATCGAACAGAATGAAAATGGAAATAAAACATCAAAATGTGTGGAACGCAGTTAAATGTTTGCTAAGAGGGAAATTTGTAGCACTCCAATGCATACATTAAAAATGAGGAAAAGTCTCAAATCAATAACCCAAGCTACTACTTCAGGAATCTAGAAGAACAAAATGAACCCAAAGCAAAGCAAAAGGATGGAAATAATAAAAATAAAAACAGAAATCAATTAAATCAGAATAACATTAAAGAAAAATCAATAAAACAGAAAGCTAGTTCTTTGAAAAGATCGGTAATATTTTCAAACCTTTGGAAAGACTGACAAAGCAAAAAAGAGAGAAGAAAGCAACATCAGTATTAGGAATAAAACAAGAGAAATCACTATCGACACTATAAACATCAAAAAGATGACAAAGGGGCTGGCTGGTTAGCTCATTTGGTTAGAGCATTGTGTTACAACACGAAGGTCAAGGGTTCAGATCCCTGTAGAGACCAACCACCATTAAAAAATTTTTTTAAAAAGATAGTAAGAGAAAGCTATAAACAACTCAACACACATAAATTTGAGAATGTAGATACACTTCAAATGAACCAATATTTTGAAAAATAGAAACTACCACAACAAATTCAACATTAAACCCATAAGTGAATAGCCCTATTAAGGTAATTGAATGTACGATGTAAACTCCCCCAAAAGAAATCTATAGGTCTAGATATTTTCACTAGAGAATTCTACCAAATATCTAAAGAGGGGCTAACACCAATTATACACAATCTCCTCTGTAAAGCAGAAGAGGAGGGAACACTCCCAATTTCTTTTATAAAAGCAAGTTTTACTCTGATAGCAAAACCAGAGAAAGACAAAGCAAAAGAAGCAACTACAATACCCCTCATGAATATACACACAAAAATCCTTAACAAAATATTAGCAAATAGAATTCAGCAATATATAAAAAGAATTATACACCATGACCAAGTGAGGTTTATTCCAGGAATGCAATCCTGGTTCAACATCCAAAAATCAATCAATGTAATCTACCATATTAATAGGCTAATGAAAAAAAATTTCATGATTATATCAGTTAATGTAGAAAAAGCATGTATGTAAAATGCACAGCCACTCTGGAAAACAGTTTGGCAGTTTCTTTAAAAAATAGACATGCAATTAACATACAACCCAGTAACTTGCACTCCTGGGCATTTATCCTTAAGAAATAAAAATTAATATTCACCAAAGACCCCTATACAAATGTTTATAGAAGCTTTCTTTATAATATCCAAAAACTGGAAAGAAATTAAATGTCCTTTAGTGGGTGAGTAGTTAAAAAGTGGTATATCCAATCCATGGAATACTACTCAGCGAGAAAAAGGAACACACTATCAACGTACGCAAGGACCTGAGTCAGTGTCCAGAAAATGATGCTGAGTGAAAACGGCCAATCCAAAAAGGTTACACACCATATGATTCCATATATATAACATTTTTGAAATGACAAAATTATAAAAAAGGAAAATACATTAGTGATTTTTAGGGGTTGAAGAGGGGATGGGAGCAGGAAGGAAATGGACATAACTATAAAATGACAGTAAGAGGAATCCTGGTGGTAAGGGAAATGCTCTTTATCTTGACTGTATCAATGTCAATATCTTGATTGTGACAATGTAGAATAGTTTTATAAGATTTTACCACTGGGGAAACTCAGTAGTCGAGTATGCAGGATCTCTGTGCATTATTTCTTGTAATTGCATGTGAATCTACAACTATCTTGAATAAAAAGTTTATTTAAAAAATTGAAATTAGGGCTGGCCCAGTGGCGCACTTGGTAGAGTGCACCACTTGGGAGCGCAGCGCCGCTCCCGCCGAGGGTTCGGATCCCATGTAGAGACCGGTTCCGCTCACTGGCTGAGCGCAGTACGGGCGCAACACCGAGGGTTGCAGTCCCGTTACCGGTCAGTAAAAAAGACAAAAAGGGAAAAATAAATAAATAAATTAAAAAAAAAAATTGAAATTAAATAAAATCTTAAAAATGTAAAAACAATAACAGCGGAAGTTTCTGTCTTCTGACCAGATTGTAATACACTGGCGGAGCTGAGATCCAAACCCAAGTCTCCTTTCTCCTGTTTCAGCATTCTGTTTTGGAGTATAATAAATGTTCAATTAAATGAAATATATATATTATAAATGTATATATTTGTGTGTGTGTGTGTGTGTGTGTATGTATATCTCCCCTAATATTTTCACACGCAAAGAACTTTCTTGTTACACTGGAACAAGTTACCGCTAGGTGAAGTTAAAAGAAAGGGCAGCAGTGGGTAAGTTTAGCATTGACAGGAACTGTGGATTTTATGCTTCAGTGTATGGAAGTGGTAAAACAAAGGGAACTAGGCCCACTCTGACATTTCACAAACTTTAACAGTCCCCTGACATTCCAGCCTTCTAGTCTTACTCTTGCTCTTCTTTCATTAAAGAGAGTGGAAACTTGGCAACATATCCTAGATAAACATCCAGGTTTCTATGGTTTCGGAGGACAAAAGTTCTCAGTGGTATCATATTCCAGCCACAGGTGCAAAGCATCACAAAAACACATACTACAGAAATTGACTGCTTGTGAAGACACCTAAGTCATCACAAAATTAACTGAAAGCTATGTTAATAATCCGTACTAACATTTTCTATTTTCTGACAGTTTTTTAAAAATCTGAGACAAGAATTACACACTAGCATACTAAAACTTCTATATTTTCCATACAAAATAATATATTATTTTGGCAAATACATAAAGTGCCCACATGCTAGATGCCATACTAGATATAGAATTCTCAATAAAATAAGAATAGTCCGGACTGTTATATACTTCTTTTGTTTGTTTTCTTCTTCATCTTTTGAACTGTTATGCATTTCTTAAAGATAATTTTAGTTTTATTAATTCTTAAAATACCTTTTGCAACCAAGCTTTTACAGTGGAGTAAGGACTACACACAGAGCAAAGTTAACCAATTTTTTATGTCTGCTACATACATATTTGACATATGCTTCCAGGGCAGACAATTTTATGCAGTGATGGAAACATGACATCGTGATAAGATCATCCTGGACTTTCATAAGAATTCTTCCTGTTATTAACCATGTAATCTTGGGAAAGTTACTTAACTCCTATTCCCACTTTTTTTTTCTTTTCACAGAAGCAAGTTTATATGACTGTCCGAAATTTCAAAATGTAAATTGGACCACATTTATGAGTGAGAAGGATCAGTATACAGGAAAAATTCAACACAGGGATATGGTTCTTTTTTCTGCCTCATGTTCCTTCCTCATTGTTTAACGGATAAGATGAGTTATAGTACCTTAGGACTAGCATTTTGTACCTACATTCTCTCCCCTGCCTACATATACTGAACAACCTAGCATACAATGACCAAGACATCAACAGCAGAAGTTATCCTCAGCATCATCCTTTTACTACTAGTAATAATATTCCTTAAAACCTCAAGCCCACATGATAATTCTCTTTGGAAATAAAACAAACTTTTATGACTTCAGGGTTTTTTGGCTTCTGGGGCAAATGATTTACTGGAGAGGAGGGGATATGGTTAGACCTGTGAAGAAAAAGGAAACTAAGGCTGGCCAGTTAGCTCAGTTGGTTTGAGGGTGGTGTTGATAACACCAAGGTCCAGGACTCAATCCCTTACTGCCAGCAAAAACAAAACAAAACAAAAACAGAATTTCACTCAAAGGATAAGGAAAAGGAAATTAATAACTTTTTTTTTTTTTTTAAATAAAAGATGACCGGTAAGGGGACAGTGAGCGAACCGGCCATCCCTATATGGGATCCGAACCTGGGGCCCTGGTGCTATCAGCACCGCACTCTCCCGAGTGAGCCACGGGCTGGCCCGGAAATTAATAACTTTGTAAAGTGCTACAAGGAACATCTCTGGTATTAAGCGTTTCCCATGTTTAAGATTATATCCTTGATAGATGGATTTCTAGAAGTGAAATATTTGGTCAAGTGGTAGAAAGATTTTCAAAGATCTTGAATAATACTGTCAAAGTGTTTACTAAAAAAGCGGTATGATACACTCTTTCACCAGCAATGTAGAGTACTCACTTCGTTGACTATCAAAAGGTGTGATAATACGAAGGGCAAAAAAAGATATTGTCTAGTAGTTTGGGTGTCCTCGGATTACTGGTGAGGTTGAACTATGTCCCTTTTTTTATTATTAACAATTGTCAATTTATTTCCTATGTACAAATTACCATTAGGATCACAGTATTTTTCTCAATAATTTCTATGAGTTCTCTATATATTATTGCAAATCTTTCACTATCGTATTTATTGAAAATATTTTTCTACTCTATAGCATTATGTAAAATAGCAAAAAATTAAAAATTTATTATAATAATAATTTCCACATATGGGGCATGTTTAAGTGAGCTGTGTTATTAGTAAACATTAAAAATATAAAAATATGGATACAATGTAGGGATAATTTATTAAAAGCCCACATCATTTGATTTATCCATGTTTAAAATTACTGCTGAAATGAGAAGCCACAAGTTTTCATGTTATTTAAGAAGGAACTATATGAAAGAAACAACAATCACAATAAGACATTGAATTCTCAGGAGAGAACAGAACTGTGGTTACTAGAGGTTTAAAGGGGGAGGGGAGGGGGAGAGGGAGGAAGGTTAATGAGAAGCTGGCTAATGGACACAAAGAATGATTACATATTGTAATGATGAATAAGCTAACCATCCTGATTTGACCATCACATACTGTACACAACTACTGATAGTCGACTTTGTACCCATAAATATGTATGATAAAAAATAAACAACTAAATATATAAGGAACTATAAGAAGGTCTTGTCCCAAGTGGCATAAAACTGGATGAGCCATTAGTTTTTGCTCAAAGATAATAAAAAGGTCATCAAATATTAAGATGCTAGTTTCCATATTTTTAAGTTAAATCTATATTCACTCTATATTCTGTAATCATAAAGTTGGGTTTCTGTTTAAACCCACTTACTAAAAAAATTTTTAAACTCTTTTGCAATATTTAAAGGGTTGGTTTAATAGCTATCTTGCAAGAACTACAGATTTGTAACCTTGAGACAATATATTTGTTATGAGAAAGTACCCCTATTAGCAGGTAATAAATTTTTTTAGTAAAATATGAAAAAAAATTTTGATATTCAATGTGTCTTACAATCAATGGCACACTACAGTTGTCAACTATTTTTTCATGTTTTATAGCAGAAATTGAGGTGTAACTTGAAATATGGTATATTTGCCATTGGAGGTTGTCTTTGCTCACCAGGTTTATAATGAATAATCATGCTGATGAACTTAGTCACCCAGAATTGAGCACTTATTTCATGAGTTAGAAATGTTTTTTTAAAATTGAAACATAATTGATTGTACATATCTGTGGGGCATAGCCTTGAATATCAATACCTGTGTGTAATAAGTGACGCTCAAATCAGGATAATTAGAAATGTTTTTGAAAACATTTCTCCCTTTCATAAAGTCTATGGATTAATAGTGAAGAATCTCTAACAGATTATAAAATCTTTTTCTTTCACAAATTTACAAACATACAGAAAATTCTTATAATGTTAAAGGAACAACCTAGGATTCAAAACTGTGTACACACACACACACTCAGCAGGTATAAGACATCCAATGGAAAACGTGTTTAGTTTTTGTTTTACATTCTTCTACTAGCGCATAACAAAAACATCACAAGTTTAACATAGTGGATTGACTATACATGTTTGTCTCTGTTCTCTCCCCCAAAGCTACTATGACAGAAAAGAATAAAAATGGTACAAACCCACAGAACAAAGAGAACAGGATGACAACACTCTCAGGTGAGAAATGAGAAGGTGGAAAGCTTAAGAATGAGTGGCATTGGCTTAACAAACTAGAGAAAGCTAAAACCTTAGCCTAGAAGGAGATGGGGGTAGGGTGGAGAGTGAAAGGGAAAAGTCAGTAAGAAGTAAGTCCATTTGTGCCACAGAATCTCGAAACAGCCTAGAAATTACCTCAAGGTACCCATGAAGGCAGGTGTACAGAGTCAGCCACAAGCAGGACAACTGGATGACATTTTTTAAACGAAAACACATTTAGATTCTCAGGCCTTTCTCCACCTAGTTAGATGACCTCCTTCCATACCCTGGTAGAAAATGGGAGGTTGACTTTCTGGAGAGGCTCTGGACTTGAGGCTGCTAAGCACAGCTGAGGACAGAGGTGGGGTCCTGTTCTGACAGCCATAGAGGAGCTAATGATGACAGAAAGGTTGAGATCTGGGCCTAGATTCCCACTAGGGAGACTCGCCCAGGAAAGAGGTGACCTGCCTGTAGATGATGGGAGGAAGTTTTATTAGTAAGATAAATAACATATCCAGAAAGTTCAGTTTATACGTTATATGGCTATGGGGTAGTGGGAAGAGCTGCAGATAGGCCACACACAGGGTGGGGCATCATGGCTAACACTAATTAAGATGTTGACTAAGTCCAAGGCACCGTACCTAGGTACCTCTGCTAGGTAATTCACAGATGCTGTCTCACCGAATCAGGAAAGGTAACACTGGTAACAGGATCCCACTTAACAGGGCTAAGGCAGGGCTCCAGGACTCAGGAGGACTCGCATAAACAAAGAAAAGCTGCAAGTCAAGAGGAACTAGCTAGCTGGTCAGTCTATAAGGCAGGAACTCAGGGTCAGTTGAATAAGACAGAGACCTTGATCCTGAAAAAAGAGTACAAGGCAGGAGACTGGTATCAGGGGCACAGCAGAAGACAGCTATGGGAACTGGGACACAAGCTTAAGGGGATCTTGTAAGGCTGAACATGCTGGATTGTCTGAGAACCAAGGAAACCAGAGCTCTTTAAATCCACTAGAATGAAGACAAAGTCCTCCTAAATCTCAAGACCAGCCAAATCCAAAATGTGCCTTCGATGGATGGAACCAGACAGGTTGCATCTGAGGAACTCCAACTGACTCCCTGCTCATGGTCTTGGTGGCTTCAATTAAGTCTGATAGAAACCAATTACACAGTCCCATATTGTACAACTGGTGTCCAAACAGGGCTCTTTCTGATTGGTCAGCTCTAGGAAACTGAGTCTGAGAAAGCGGGTCACAGACAAGAGCTATTCCTGACATTCTCGGTGTCCATTTGAGCTTCAGGGTTAACAGTTCTAGATAAAGACTAACTTGTCTGTTAATATGATCTGTTTAAGCTTCCACTGATATTGCTCTTAGCAACTGGGAAGCTTAATAAAACTGATTTCTAACATCCAGGTGTATCAAGCAGACTACATTTCACACATACTTGTGATACCTTGACATTAGCACTTTAGCTTAATACTCACAAAACCAATAGGAAAAGCAACTTTCTGGTAGATAGTTATACAGTGTAATGTATTCTTTTCTAACTATTCCATTCTGCCACTCTGGTTAATAACTACATAAAACCATAGAAAACAATGACACCTAGTGTCCAAAAAATTTTTATCTTAGAATATGAAGTTGCAAGTGGTGAGGCTATGAACACAGATGGATTGACTTGGAGATGAGCTTACACATCTTTATAGAAAAGGAGTAAATAAAAATGTAATTTTTCCTTCATCCACTAACAACAGGGGAGGTTTTCCCACCATCTTCATTTTCTCAAAGCTGCAATGAAGTCCCAGGTTCCTTTTAGAAGGCTGGCACACAGGCTGTTACAACCTTGCAGAGGTAGCAGCAGGACTCCGGGTTCCAGCAGAACCACAGCCCGAGTATCAAAACCCAAACAGAAGCAACCCAGCATCAACCTCAGGAATGATTTTTTTTTCAAGCCCTGGTGATCAGTTCAATAAATTCTTAGACACCTGTTAAAACAGAGTCACTTGTAACTTCTTTTAAAACAAGTTTCAAAAAAGACTTCATATCCTTTTTACTGTCAGGCTTGTAAATGAGGTGACTGGGAAGAAATTTTTCTTTTGGAACTTGGACTCACCTCTGCTATTCTTTTCTTCAGGTTCTCCTTTCCCATGTATGAAGCCTGGAGGGAGATGACGTTCTCTTCTTTTTGAATCAAAGTTGTCAAGATACTTTTAAAATTCTGATACTGTTTTAAGAGCTCCAAAACTCTTCCACATTGTTCAAGACTAGGAAGAAAAAAAACAAAACAGCTATATGTCTGAAAATAATGAAACCATTCTTTCTCTTTATAAGCCTCCTACAATAAGGATCAATAAGTTAGAACTTTTCCTCTTAAGATGGTCTACAATGTTTTACCAATTCAACCTACGAGTGATAGGCACATACATTTACCTGGCACACAGATGGTATAATCACTAGATTAGTATTGTCAGCAGATCAATATTTAAAAGTCACCAGATATAAGCTCTAAAAACACAGGATTCATAACCCTAAGGAATCAGTATCTTAATTTCATCATTAACCAAAAGACATCTTGGAAAACTGTCTCCCCAGCATTATTCTAGGAGATTATTTCAATATTAATTCAGCAACAGGTTGCTTATGGGGACATCTATCCTGCTCATTCTAGATTTAGTCCTTCTAAAAAAGTAAAGTAGTACAGATAATGTGACAGTTAGGACATCTGGTTTCTAAGAGAGCTGGGCACTAATTAGTTGTGTGACTTTGGATGAATCACTTTAGCTTCTTTGGATTTCAATTCTTTCCTCAGTAAAATCATAGAGATCACATGCCACAGGCAGGCATTATCTTACTACTGCACATTAATGTTCCAGTAAGAAACAGGAGGTATACTCAGATGGAATTCAGAAAAGAAGGTGGTAAAAGGCCCACTGATAGGGGAATTGCCAGGGAGGCTGAGGCACCCAGGGACTAAGCACAGCAAATAGGTTATGCCACGTGGCCTCAAGGAGAAAGAGAGGAAAGTGCCCAGAGCCGTACAGGGGGGCACCATCAGGAGTTGCTGGAACCACATGCTGAAACCAGGCGGGATGAGTAGGACCACCCTGACCTCTCCCTCTTCTTGCCCTCTCATCTCCTCCCAGTAACCCCCACTTCCTAACCCACTGGAACCCTTGGCCTAGATGACACAGTCTATAGGATCAGCCCTCCCCACCCCTAAGCAGAGGGTAAGGGGGAGAAAGTATGGATGGAGAATATTCTGCAGAATTTACAAACCAGACACACACACAATTATACAAAAAACCAAGTCCCTCAAAAGCTGCCTGGCAAAGTAATAAACAATGTCATGTCCAAAAAAAATTACCACTAAATTTGTGGTAACTTATTACAGCTGCAACAGGAAACTGCGTATCTGTTGTCCCTTGTAGAGAAGCTCTTAGGAGCACTCTCGCTACAACCTACAATTCTAGGTCTTGTCCCAGCCATCAGTCCCGTAATCCCCAGTGTGAAGCCTTATGTTCGCCCTTCCTTTAGGCCCACAGGCATGTTTTCAACATAAAAATTTCAAAAGTTCATTGTGCTACAGACAATTTTTTCAGATTCAGGAGAGATTTTTTTCCTTACCATTCGGCAACCGAAGCTTTTGTGTTCTCCCACAAGAGGACTGTATTTTGACACTGTTGATTCAGAGTTTTTTCCCTGCCATCTTTGAATTGTGGAAGAGAATTCGCCATTTCTTGTAAGTGTTTCTTCTCTTCCTCATATTCATCTAGATCCTTATCCAGTCTGATTAATGATTTTTTCCTGGATTATGAATGATACAAGTTTGATAGCCAACTGTTAACCAATTTGATTCAATGCAAGATGGGTAATTTGGGAAGCGCACTAATTTTAATTTGTCCTCATGAGATTAAAGCCAAAATTACACATTCCTAATAAAGAGTTCAGGGGGCTTTTTGCATTTCCAGAATACTAATTTGATGTTTTAAATAAATATCATAAATAAGCAAAAGCATAAGCAGTAAGGTTTCTCTGTGATGAACGCACCTGAGAGGTGTGCACAGGCATGTGAGAGGAGAGAGAAAGGGCACGCATGTGCATATGTGTGGGGAAGAGAACATGGTATGGCGAGAGGAGATGGATGATGGAGCATCAAGGCTCCTAAGGGAGGGTGGCGTGGCCAAGGAGAAAGGAGACAGTGAGGGAAATCCTGCACTTCTACCCTATGTACAAAAACTCTCATATCAAAAAGGAGTCATTTAACTAAGGATTTTAACCTGTCCACTAATCCTGGAGAGAATAACGCTATTTGCCTATATCTAAAATTGCTAAATTGTGCACTGCCTCTCCTTCCTCTCCTCCAATTCTCTTTTTCCTCCCTAATTTGTCTCATTTAAATTAATTAATTCTTATTTTTTCTTCTAATTATTTAGGTTATAATTTTACTTTATTTTTTTTTATTGGTTATGAATATTCATGGAGTACAAAGCTAATTGTCACCACTTGTACCCAAGATGTGATGGCCAGATCCTTACTGGCAGCATGCCCATTACCACAAATTGTGATTATTCAGATTCTCTCGAATCTTCTCCCACAAGGCATTCACTCTCTACCACTCCACCAAACTGTGCGTCAAGATCTCCAATAACCTCCACATTGCAAAATCCACATTCCAACCTCAGTCTTCACCTTACTTCACTAGTCTGTGGCGCCTGACATGGCGCATCATCTCCTCCTCATGGAAATGCTTTCTTCACTTGGCCCCCAGGACTCTCGATTTTCCTCCTGTTACACTGGCTGCTCCTTCTCAGTGTCTGTGGCTGATTTGTCTTCACCTCCCTGATCTCTTAGTATGGAGGGCCCTAGAGTATACAAGCGGGGCCTCTTCTCTTGTCTACCTAAACTCACTCCCTTCGCAACCTCACCCAGTCTCCTGGCTTTAAATAGCATTCTAATATGCTGAAAACTCTCAAACATATACCTCTAGTCCAGACTTCTCTCCTAACTTGTGATGCCGTCTATTTTTAAGAATCTTGTTGACATCACTACTTAAATGTCAAAGAAGTATTTTGGACCTATCGGTTCTAAAACTGAGCACACCTGAGCTTTCATTCAATACCTGACAAGCTTCAGTCTTTCTTCTCTCAGTTAATACTAACGCCACTCTTCTAGTTGCTCAGGCCAAACGCTGGAATCATACTGACTACAATCCTTCTCTTACACTCCATGTCTGATGTGTCAACAAACCTTGCAGACTCTATCTTCAAAGAATATAGAGAATCCTAACACTTCTCGCCACCTCAGCACTGGTCCATGCCAGCAACCTCCCTTACCTGGAATACTGGAATAGGTCAGACTTCCTGTGTCTTCTCTTCACTACTACAGTCTGTTCTCAACACATCAGCCAGAGAGAACCGGTTACAATGAAAACCAAATCATTTCCCTCTGCTCAGAACCTTCCAATGACTTCCCATGTCACTCATAGAAAAAGCCAAAGTCCCTCCATGAGCCAAGCCCCATCACACGTGTTACCTCTCTGACCCCTCTGTGACCTCTTCCCCTCAGGGCCTCACCTTCTTACCTCCTGGCCTTGCCTCTCATTACCTGGCCTTTGCACGATTGCTCCCTCAGCCTAGAAGGCTCCTCTTCCAAGGCTTGCTCTCGCGTGGCATTTGACTCCAAGGCACTTTCTCAGTAAAGCCTTCCCTGATGACTCCTGAACTGCAACCCTGCTCCTTCCTTAGTTTTTCTCCATAGTTTTTATCACCACTAGACATGCTAACTATCTTACTCATCCCACTAGATAATAGCTCTACAGGGGGCAAGATTTTTTGTCTATTTTGATAACTGCTCTATCCCCAATACCTGATACAGTGCCTGGCAAACAATACATATTTGCTCTATTAATAACTAAATAATTAAAGTAATATATTATTTATAAACATATAGCTTTCATTCATATATTAATATTCATTACTTAGTATTTATAAACCTATAACTTAAACTTATTAAAGTAATAACTAAATTAATAATTAGTTCAACACATCATTATGAACTGGCGCACTCTAGGAATGAAAGTCTCATTGGGACTGAGGGTACAGGGAAATGTCAGAGGGAAGGACCTACTTAGCTGTACTGAGGGACTTGGTCAGCTAAATACCCTTAAGAGATGACAAATACCCTTAAGTGCCTGACAAAGTGGAGGGAGGAGGAGGAGGAGGAGGAGACAGAAAGTGGGAGAGATTTAGAAAGAGGAGGGGATTCTATAAAAGTGACACTTGCTAATATTTTAGCTTTCAGGACCGGGAGGCCATACTCTGAATGCTGGAATTAAAACAGCAGCACTTATACAGAAGGCTGCCAACCTCAGTTTACCTCAATTCTGCTCAGCCTCCAGAATCAGTACTAACTTTAACTTGCCTCTTATATTTAGTCCCATGCCCTCCCACTCAGTCCCCACCCTAATCCTGCTGAGAAGAGCAGAGAACAAATAACTAAGGAAGAGGCAGGAACAAGGTGTGCACATTCTCCACCACATGCTTCTTTAATATCAAAGGTGCGCAGGCTGGGCGGTTAACTCAGCTGGTTAGAGCACAGTGTTATACGGGTTTGGGTCCCTGTACTGGCCAGCCGCCAAACATACACACACAGAAACAAAATGTGCGGAGTTTGCCAGTCTTCCATCCTTAAGAGAACTCTGTAATAAATGCACATAAGTACAAGAGACTTTGAAGTACTTTATAAATATCTTACTTCACCACTCTTCCATCCATGAGAATACATACTTTAAAGAGAAAAAAAAATATTACATAACATTTTATAAAGGCATATATCAACAAAAAGGAAACTTGCTTGAAAAGCCTACAGAAGTGAACGCTGAACACCAAAGAGAGATGCAAGAGAAGTAGAAGGACATGGAAAGTATTTGTTTCAGCTAATAAATATCTGAAAATACAGAAATGTGTCACCTTGGATGGAAACGAATGGAAACAATACTTACCGATGTTTTACAGCTGGAATGGTAGGATCCTTAAGACCAATTTTACTGATTTCACTCTGCACTTCTTGAATATTTTTAAGGAGCTCATTATTTTTGAAAATACAAGCCTCTACTAATTTGTCTTCCTCAGTGAGTTCCTCCTGCACACTGTAGTCATGTATCTCAAATAACTTTATGGATAAGGCATCAAGAAGTTTTTCACAGGAGGTGTCTTCACCCCGTTCGGCAGCTTTTAAGATTATATCAAGCATCTTCAGACGTTTATCCAAATGTCTGGCCTTGTCTTTCATCAGATAAATTTCTCCCTTTTTATTTTTTGCCGTTGCAGTATTTTCTGGTGCCACCTGTGTATCTGAGGCTGAAAGGTCTGTAACGGGCTCAACAGAGAGTTCAGCTGTTCTTAGAGAAGCTAAAAAATCTTCTAGAGCTCTGAGGGTATCCTTAGTTGTCTGCACCTTGTGGTTCATCTCTTCCAGTTGTGTTTTGTATTTCAGTATAATATTCTGCACTGCATGTAGATCAAATGGGTGTAATTCCTTTAATGCAAAGTTGCCCGACTCTTCTAAATTGGTACATATTTCAATCTGTTTTGCTATGGAATCTTGGGCATTCTAAAATAAAGGTAAGAAAAGCTGAAAAAACTGAGGCAGAAAGAAGAAAGACTGCACATAAGAAACTAACCCCAAATTACATGACTAGATTTGATCTAGAAAGATGCTTCTGAGTTTAACCAAAGGTGACGGTTTTGACATAAAGAACCATTTTAATTATGAATGATCAGATGGCCCAGCTGTGTCATTATCTGATGCCATTCCTAATGTCCCAATCCCCAAAATAAAACAAGTATATAAATGTATTGCTTCAAAGCAAATAATTAGAGATGGAACTGTTTGATAATCTGAAAAATAAAACAAATACTTTTCACTTAAAATGAGATTTGGAACAAGTAAACTGTAGAATATCCCTATTTAAGCATATGAGTCTACTATGCTACTTAGGAATTCAGTCATTGAAGAAGGCATTCATAAACAAGGTTTCACTTTGAATTAAAAGAAAATACCCCAATATTTACTCCATTGGTACCTACTCCAAATTTGCAAGAAATTAAAGAGCTGAGAAATAAATAACAAGTCTAAATTGTTGAAGGTTTTTCTGTATGGCTTATATTCTAAGCTACGCTATGAAAATCCATACACATCTATAAATCTGTGAAGAATTGATTATTCTGAAAATACACTGTAAGAAAGTATATTTACCCCCAGGTTTTGATAAATGCTGTCAGCATCAGTGAGATGAAATTCCTGGATGGCCAATTCATTGAGGGGCTGGTCCAAGCCACAGAGAAGGAGAGATTCCTTCTCCATAGGTAACACAGCCTGCAGTGCCTTCCCTAAAGACTCCATTCTGGGTAAAAAATAAACCAGACATGAGGGGAAAACACAGTAGAAAGGTATCCTGTCAAACACATTAACACCATTATTTAATCAAGAACATAAAATAATAATATGTACACATCATCACATTAAAACCCAAACCCATTGATCCAAAATGCCAAACAATGAGCTGTTTGCTATATCCAAGTATTCTTTTTTTTAATCCATCCATTTATTCATTCATTTACTCAACAAACATTTATTCAATGAGAGGCAGCAGAGCTAGGCTAACTATACGCCCCATTGGCCCAGGACAACTTCAGCTTACTCCTGCTGTTTCAATATCATTACTACAGATCTCTTCTTTCACTCTCAAAAGGGTCCTGATGTGCAAGTATTCTTAATAATTTAATAGATACCACACTGAATGGAAAATTATTGTAACACACACTAAGCCTTCACCTCTCTTTTGAAATACAAAGATACCAGATGCAATTTAACTTTGCCTTGATGACTAAGAAACCTCATAATTATGAAATAATTTATTACTGTATATAATGTGACTGTGAAGAAGTAACATATAGGCTCTGAGCCTCAGTGTCTTCCTATGTAAAATGGGGATATGTACTGGAGATACATATCCTATGTATGTGGGATAATAACAACACTTCTGCTTTAGAAATGAAGAAATTGTTGCTCAGAGAGGTTATGTGACCTGGCCAAAGTCATGACCAAGTAGAAAGGATGGGAAAGGCATGGCCTTTGGAACCTGACAGGCCTTAAGTCCCACTTAAGTCTCTGGCTAGTGGTGTGGCTTGGTTATGTTATTTAACCTCTATGAGTATCAGTTTCTGCTGTGGATTGATTGGAGTGTATCCCCAAAGTTCATATATTAGAAGCTGAACTCTCACTGTAACTGTTCAGGGTGGCAAATCCTACTATGGTATTTGAAAGGCATGGCCTTGAAGAGGTGATTAGATTATAGAACCATGCTGTAGTGAATGGATTAAAAATGGTAGCCATGGGTGTGTGGTTCTAAGGGCTTGAAAAGAAGAGCACATGAGAGGTTGGTCTCTCTCTGCTTTGCCATTTTCTGTCATGTGAGACCCCTGGGTTTCTGCTGTCACAGCCAAGACCCTCACCAGATGTGTTCCCTGGACTTTGGACTTCTCAGCCTCCAAAACTGTGAGCAATAAATTTCATTTTCTTACAAATTACCCAGTTCCATGTACTTTGTTACAAGCAACAGAAACGGACAAATACAGTTTCCTTAATAGTATAATGGCAATCATAATGGTAATCTCTCTTATAGTTGTGCCAACAAAACAAAATAACATACTTTAGTATAGTAACAGTTTAAAATGGCATTTAAAAACTTAGTAAATTTATTAAATTTGTGGTTAATACATTTCAGAATTTTACCTGGCATTAAGAGACATCTGAAGCTCTCTTTCTTTTCTCTTTAATCTGTCTCTTGTCTTAACTATAAAAGACTTCTTTATGTCACTCACAAGATTTTCTAACTTCAATGAAGTGATTTCGAACTCTTTCCAGCAAGCATCAGTTTCATTTTTTAAGACCTAGATGAAACACATAAATTAATTTATCAACTTAATGGGTGAATGGGCACAAAATGAGACATTCACCAACTGTGGGAGTAAACAAAATGTTTCACATGAAAATGTGTTTAAAAATATTTTCCAACCATCCACAAGTGAAGTATTGTTGAGGGGACAATGATATTAACTATGCTCTCAGAGGACCCATTCAGTGAAGTCAAGGCAGTCCACAATATGGCTTTCAAAGGTATCCAAACTTCCTCCCTCTAAAGTAGATACATAGAGAAGAATTCAGAAAGATACATATAAACATAAGAACAGATACTGTCTTTCCTCTACAGAGTAAATCCTTGTTACCTTTAAACTAAAAGAATATTGGAGTGAAGCAAAACTGTTTCTGAACAAATAAAAGGTGAATTAATTTATGGTTTATAATTAAACATCTATAATTCTATACAATTCCAGCTACTTATCTTGGTGGATAATCCTCAAGATAAGGAAGATACTTATTTGCAGAGTTTACACTTTGTGGGCTCACCACCTATAGACTATTTTTTCCCTAGCTCCTGAGTCAAATGCGATATTTCCTCTGAAGGCTTTTTAGAAAGATGATCCATTAATTAGAGTGAAAACTCCCTCCACTGCTTGCCCCTTGTTGCCCTACAGTTGGTAACAATTGGTATACAGCAATTTTAGACAATGTGACAATTTGGTTGAGATGATGAATGACTGAAACAAATACTCAGAGTCCCTGGTTTGTTAATTTGGAGAAACACAGGAGCAAGTTGAATGTATCTGAACTGCCTTCAGACACACTGTTTTTGACCAAATCACATGAAGTCCTAAGCACCATCAAAAACTCTTCAAGTGCAACATGGATGAACTTACAGAAAATTATGTTAAGTGAAATAAGTCAGGCACAGAAGGAGAAGTATCGCATGTTCTTACTTATATGTGGGAGCTGATAAAATAAATAAAAAAAACATAAAATGATACAACGATCACAATAATTCATCGAATTTTTTAAGAGAAAAGAACTGAGGTTGCAGAGGGTGGAAATGGGGAGAGGGAGGAGGGAAAGAGAGGAATCAGTAAAGGGCCACAAAAATCAATTACATTGTATAATGATAAATAAAAAATAAAAACATAAAATAAAATTTTAAAAAATTAAAGAAAAAACTCTTCAAGCAATCATATCTGGAGTACCAGATTACAGCATTAGCAATAAATTAGGACACTGAACCAAAGTCTTCCCTGGGTTTGAAAGCAAATCACTTTCTGGAGTATGGTGACATTAGAAAAGCAATCCAACAACGTGAGTTCTTTGGAAACATCTAGCATATGTAACCTCAATAAAAATGGTGACATCTATACTCGTGGTGGCATTATTTTCAAATAAAAGAGATAACTAGAGAAATAATATTTTTGGTAATTACCTGTAGAGCTGTCAGTTTATCCTGCAGACAAGCACTAGTCCTCTCCTTTCCACTAGAGAAATCAGAAGTAATTCTGTGTTTGTTGTTTTGCAGGTGTAATTCAAGAATCTCTCTGTGTGTATCATAACTGGGAAAAAATGAAATGCAACATTACTTAATTTTAAAAATGACAAAATTTTTTCTTTAATTTCTGTCAATAGTGCATGAGGAAATCTCATGGAAATTCTCTTTAGGTTACTGGACCAAATGCACAAATTCTGACTGAAGGCAAATAAAACTTCTTAGAAGAATACCATGTTTGCACTGATGAAAGATTTTGGGTAGGTCTTCCAGTTGTTTAAAAAGAGCTTACCTCTCTAGTAAACTACTTATAGATGCACCATTATCCTTTTCGTACTTCTCCATACTTCTTTCTTCTTGTTGAGGTTTTAACTCTGATGCTGGGCTAAAATTCTTGGTTGGTTCCATTGCCTAACAAATATGCAAAATAATACATATAATATCTTAAACATACCTAATAATCAAGAAAAAGGTAAAAGCTTTATGCTCAAGGATACATCATTGATTATTTATACCCCAAGCCAAGAGATAATACAATTTCTTTGAGATTTCTCAGCTCAGAGAAAAGCCTTCCCATAGGACACAGGGGATGTATTAGACTGAGTCTCACCTTCTATATAAGGTATAAGGATGTGTTAAAGGAATACTCCCAGCCCCTAAACACTGCTTCTTCCTGAAACACAGCCACAGTCAGACGTAGACAGAAGCCTAAGATGCTGGAGCAGAGCTCTGGAAACCAACACACTTCTTTCCTTCCCCCACACATTTTGACTGGCAGTCTGGGCTATGATATACAGTAAATGCCAACTCACCTAGACTTCAAGAATTTAGAAAATTCAATTCCCAAGGAGTGTAAAATACATATAACAAGAAAAAGGTGAATGATAATTAGTTAATCTCAGTGAAGCTGAGGCATCTGTACAGATCTAGCTCAACCTCTTCTACCCTTGTTAGCAATGTGCACAGACAACGTGTACTCGTAGTGGTTCAAAGTGGTCTCTGCCTGAAAGAACCCTTTGTATCCTCAGAGGAAGATTAAGTTATGCTTGCTATAGTTTTGGTTTGTTGCAGTCTAATTCTTTGAAAAGCAGTCTTCTTTGCTCAGTTAATGAAAACAATCAGATAATGAAAACTAACAATGAATGAGAAGTGAATTATTGCACACTTGGCCTTTTTCATTGGGTTTACTTCTAAAACACACTATCCACATTTAACACCTTTTCACTTGATGGCTGATTATCTGACTTTGCCGACGGCACCTCACTGTGGGAATCTCTTCCTCCATTCTCAGATGTGGTCATGGTCCTCCTAGGAAGGAATCAAATTGTATATTAAAATAGAGTGAGAAAAATGACACCAAAAGAAGAACAACAATGCTTAATGTCATCTGATTTTGCAGGAGGCTTCATCTCCTTTTACCCTGAAGCATAGTGATTCTTAGGAAGTACTAACTCATTTTTCGATGTGCCTCCCATGGTGGGGTGCAGTGTCGTGTGAATCTCAGAAGCACATCTTGAAAGTCTCTCTATCTTTTGTTCGTAGTCTTTAAGTGCTCTCTTCACTTCCTGCTGACTCTTCTGTGAAGTCAGCTCTTCACACAGTTCCCTCAGGACATCCATGTGGCAATAAAGCTGGTGCAGACTGCCTCCCTCAGAAAAGCAAGCCTGATTGAAGAAAGCAAGCAGAAATGTGCTTCAGATGAGCTTACATGATGATTCCATATGGACTAGAAACCAACAGATGTGTGTGGCTTTAACTTCGCATTCTAGAGGCCATCTACCGTGTGCTTGGTATAACAGGCACTGGAGGAAAAAAGACCTCGCAGTTCAGTAGGGTAGACACACAAATAACTAGCACACAGTGTGGCAAGTGCTATGAGACAGTCACCTCCTGCCTTCAGGAGTCAGGGGAGGCCTACCTCACAAGAGGAACCATCTGAGCCAGAGGCGGAAGGAACAAGTACAATTTCTCCAAGTAAAAGGGGAGAGAGGTCCCTTTAAGCAGAAGGAATACGAAGAGGATGGAAAGCACCAGATGTTCTGAAAGGACAAGTAGCCTGGTGTGGCTGGAGTGCATGACATGGGAGGAGGGACGGTAACGGGGTGTCCTAGGGCCAGACCGTAAAGAAACTGTGTGAGTCACTTCTTAGGAGTTTGGAGTTGTCCTGGGGGTCATGGGGAGCCAGTGGAGGGCCCTGTGCTCCAGGAGGATAACTGAGGTGACAGATACGGAAGATGAGGCAAGGATCACCTTACTGAGAAATAAGCCAGGCTAAGATGGAAGCAAAGAAACTGCTCTGAAGAGAACCAGATGGACTTGGCAACAGACTCAATTAAGGCCGACGGGGAAGGAACGGGAAGGGGAGGGCATTTGAGACAGCAATGGCTGTCATAACCAAGATGCAGAATGGAAGGGAAGGCAAAGTTCACTGCTTCTGCTTCAGACATGCTGGATCTGAGGTTTCTGAAGAACACCAGTGATGCCTACTCGTCAGTCAGAAATAGAGCACGGAGCTCAGGTGACGGCACTCAGCTGGAGGTACCGATTTAGGCACTACTATCACAGAGGAGCCAGTTAAACCCCAGAGGCATGAAACTGCTAGAGGAAACATGAAATTAGCCACCTCCCCCCCAAAACTAAAATATTAACAGAATAAAAAAGGGAAATTTGTGAAGAATACTAAAAAGAAGGATTCCCTCCCAATTGTTAATATATATAAGTATATACAAAATGAAGATACAGTGTATGTAAAAACAAGAGAGACTGATATTGAGAGAGCCACAGCAATAGAAAGTTAAAAAGAAATGAAAAGAGGGGTCAGTACTGTCAAATACATAAAACAGTCACATAGGATGCGGACCAAAAAGAGATCCTTAGATTTGCCCCAGTTGCTTCATATCCTCACTGGCTAGTTTTCACAAAAGCTGCACTCCAGAGGTCACCATGTCCTCACAAAAGCAACTGCGGGTGCTTCAGCAACAGTTGACACATATGTGACCAGAGTCTCAGGACAGAGGCCACTGTGACATATCAAGGGAAATCATGAAATGTTAACTGAGGGCTGAATTTTCTCAGTTTTAAAAAGTGAGAAGCACAGGCTGTAGTGAGAGCTTGAACCACACAAGTGATAATATCCAGGGGACGAGAGGGCTGAAGTAATCATCAGAGCAGAGTCCATCCTAGGCAAGGACACGCACGACCATTTATAATAAGCCCCCAAATAATCACAAAATTTAGGTGGAAACAGGTTGTTGTACCTCGTGCTCCTTGATAAGACCCTTGGTCCTTCCTCTACGAATAAGTTTCTTTTCTCTATTTATTTGCTTTTCAAGTTTTGAAATATTGTCATTAAGCTTTCCTTTTTCAATATCTATTTTTAGTTGTTGAATATACAAAGACAATTCATGATGAAGAGACTGCAGAAAAAAAAGAAACATATTAACCATGGGAACAGAATATACTGAAAAAGTATTGTAGTAACAATAAAAATGTTTACAGTAACAAAAAGATGAAAACAGAGCTTAAACAATATTCTGACTCATCCATGTATCTTTGGAGAGAATGATTTAAAACATACCACACCCATAAACATATTTTTTTTTTCTTTCTAACAACTAAATATGTGCTTTAGCTATGAAAGATACTGTTAAGATAATGAAAAGACAAACTACACACGGGGAGAAAACATACGCAAGACACATTTCTGAGCTTAAAAAGACATAAGTAGGGGCCGGCCCGGTGGCGCACTAGAGAGTGCGCCACTTGGGAGCGCGGCTGCGCTCCCGCCGAGGGTTCGGATCCCATGTGGAGACCGGTTCCTGCTCACTGGCTGAGCGCGGTGCAGGCGCAAGACCGAGGGTTGCGATCCCATTGCCGGTCCCCGGTACGGGCACGACACCGAGGGTTGCGATCCCGTTACCGGTCAGTAAAAAAGACAAAAAAAGGGAAAAAAAAAAGACATAAGTAAATGTAACATGTGTATCCTGGATGGTATCTGGAACAAACAAAAAGAAAATTAGGCGAAAACTGTGGAAATCTGAATAAAGCACATACTTTAGTTAATAATAATGTATCAATATTGGCCCATTAACTGTGTTAAAGGTACTATACTAATGTAAGATGTTAATAATAAAGAAATCTAAGCATGAGGTATACTGGAACTCTCTCTGTACCATCTTTGCAAAAATTGTGTAAATCTAAAACCATTCTAAGATAAAAAAAATTTATTTTAAAATGTGTTTTAGGAGGACCCTTAACAGTAGTTATTTAATTTAATTACAAATACATATTTAGACATAGATATGTACGCACACATTTTAAATATTAATGACAATTTAGTTACATATTTTAATGTTAATTACCAGAACACATTCTGTAGTAGATGCTTTATACAAATCCCTGCAACAACCCTGCCAAGTAGGTGATATTATTCCCTTTTTATCAGTGAGGCTCCTAAAAGTTCAGTACCTTACCCAAGTTATAGCTGCTAAATCTAGGTTGTCTGCCACCGAAGCCTATATCTATCTTGGTATGAAACTTTGTGTATGCATATATGTGTATATGTTGCTTCAGTCAAAATCCAACCAGGAAACCAGAAAACACTCTAGATACTTAATGCTGAGGGAATTAAATTCAGGGAATTGATTATGGAAGAGACAAGAGCGTGGAGAAGTCTAACAGGGCATAGTAAGGCAACCCAGAGATTAGCAACAGCAGAAAGCTGCTACCACCCCTGGGCTGGAGGCTTCAGTGGGGCCCAGGGAGCAGGGACACTCATCAGATGCTGGAACCATGGAATCTGGAGCCAAGGGGAGACACAGCTGCCACCAGAGACACTGCCCAACAAAAAAGAGGGAAAGAAATCCTTTGGACTCTCCTTTACTTCTCCCTCCAATTGCTGTCTGATCTCTGAACAGTGTTATTGACTGAAGGCAGAGAGAGGCCAGCTGATGCAGAGCCTGGGACTGCAGCCTGCAGGGGTCAGCCCATCTGCAACACGGGTAGAGAGGGGAACCCCAGGAATGACTCTGATGACAAGCAGGCCCAGGATCAGACCTATAAGCATAAGCCTCAGACACAGATCATGGTCTTACCTCCCACTTGGCACAGGCATCTCTGCTCTTTTCTTCCAAAGACAGTTTTACATCCTCAGTTACGTTATTTTTCAGTTCTTCAACAGCTTTCAAATACTTGGCCAGACTTTTAGTACTAAAAATTATTAGTGCTTCCTAAAAAAAAAAAAAAAAAAAAAAAAAAAAAAAAAAAAAAAAAAAAAAAAAAAAAAAAAAAAAAAAAAAAAAAAGCAAACAAGATCATGGAAATCTCATTGTACTGTCAAATCCTCAAAGCTCATTTTCGTAGATCTTTAACAGGTACAAGTAGGAAGGGACTCTCTGAAGACTATTTGAAGATTTATGGGAGACTCTCTTTATAAATTCATGTTGATAACCCTTTTGCATCTCTTAAATTCTTTTGAAAAGAATTACAAAATATTTATTACAAACATAGTTACACTCTTGAGGCCCAGATAAAGACCTCTTCATGATATTTAAAATGATTTTGATATACCTTTGATAAATAATTAAAAGGCTTATTGTACAGGGTCATGAGCCACTGGCAATGTTTCCTCTAAAGTTCTTAAGCATTGAGCAGACAACCATACTTCACAAGCAATCTAATATAAAGTGTATATCCACATGTATTAAAGATTAGTGTTGCAATGAGAAAATTTACAGCAGGGATAACACTGCAAATATTTAGTATTGTGTATAAGCACTGTTATACAGCAAGGAGGCAACATTTCCTGATCATCAACATCAAAGCTGTGCCCAGCGTCAACCATACTGGTCGTCCCCTCAGGGAAGGAGAGGCAGGAGACAGGGATGGGGACATCCTAGACAGGAATGTGCCTGCTCCTTATCTGGGATACTCTATAAAAGCAGAAACCTGGCCTAAGGTAACTAGTGAATAACAGAACAGGAAAAACAAAAACAAACAAAAAAACCCACCAAAAACCCAGGTCAGGTCTGTGAAAGAGGCAGAGAACCCACAGGAGAGAGAAGATGAAAGTATTCTTGGAGAGGAAGCAATTAGGTAGGGTGAGAATTCATTCATTCACTCATGACGTATGTATGTATTACGGGCATACTGCAGGTAAGGCACATGCTGAGCTCTGGATACCTTTTCTAAGGCCTCCTTGAGGACAGCTACATTTGTGACCTAGGGAGACACCCTAACCCTATGTGCTAGCAGGGAACTGTCACTGCCCGTGTATCCAGAGTCCCAGGGTCACAGAGCCATAGCTGGCGGGGCAGGGATCTGGCTTCTGCTGGGAAAATGTATCCACCCCACTATATGCCTGAGGCAAAGAGTGGGCAATCCAAAAGGAAGCAGTCAGGAAGAGGAAAACCGTGTGAAAACTGACGCCTCCAACTCTTCTGTCTGGTAGTGAAAGGACCTAGGAGCCTCTATTATTTTTGTCTTCTCCCTTTCCTGAGCAGACCATATCTGCCTTCCTGACATCCAGCCTAGCAATTATTTAAAGGATCCACTGATGACTCCTAAGGCCAGTTCAGCAAGCACTCTGGGTAACCTGGAGTCAAAGGGGGAAAAAGAGAGAGTGGGCATTGGTCAAAGCTGGGAACGAGCGAAGTGTAACAGCCTAAGATCAAGCAAGCGAGGCTTTTACGGTCGTGGGAAAAGCAACACTGAAATGGCTGATGACACGGCCCAGGCTGGCTAACGATCCAAAAGGCCAAAAGAGGGTGGAGGTGCAGAAGACAGATGAGAATAAAGAGAAGCTTGTGTGAGGGCACTTTTCCATAAAGAAGAGTTGGAGGGGTAGGACTAGGATATTGCCTTACTGCATATTTATCACCCCCAAAATGCCTGGCTCATTTTAAGTGTTCAATAAGTGTATTAAATGCTGAATAAAGGAATGAATGAAAGAACACATTTTCATCTACCTCTCCAATGTGTTCAAGCGTAGGGACCTTGTTTTACCGCAGCTTAAATCTCCCCAGCACCTCCCACAGCATTAACTAATAGTGAGTCCCTGGTTTGGTTATGTCTTAAGCTTCAACTACTGCCAAGCAAACCATGAAAAATCAACCTGAAACTGTCTCCACACAAAACAACATTATTAGGTCTTTAACTATAGATAAGTGTACATCTATGAATAACTTTTATCAGAGCCTTATAATCACAGTGGTATTCCCTTACATTCAGAGAATTTTAACTATGTAAAGTGACTTCACAGGCCTTACTTTCATTTACAGCATCACAACAAATCTGGCATCTAGATAGGGATGGAATTACTATGCCCATTTTACAAATTAAAAAGCCAGAAAAATTAAATTCCTTATCAGTGTTATAGAATCAGCTGTGTTCTTTACACTACATCACTGAGTACATTCAACAGATCCAAGATAAAATTAGAATTTAAAAAATTCTTCATTTAGGGCCAGCCCGTGACTCACTCAGGAGAGTGCGGTGCTGATAAAAAATTCTTCATTTGAATGTGTATTTTTAATAGCTTCAGGGGAACCATGCATAATACTAGGAAATTTTTAAAAATTACAGTAGCTCTGTATATAATTACAGTGAGGGAAATATCTTGACTCCAAACAAGACAGTTAGCTAATAATAAACACCCTCCATCTGATGGCTGAAAAGATTCCTACCTTGTATTTTGACGTGAGTCCACGGGGGCTCTCTCTTTGCTCCAGTATCTGCTCAGCCCTTGTAATGTAAGATTCAAGTTCCTTCTGTGATTCTTCCACCTTCAGCCTGACATCGACTTCTGGTGAAACATCAGCTGAGTTCTTCAACACTGCAACGAGTTTTATCATATTGATCTGGAAATACAAAAAAAATTCTCAAATGATCACTTGGTCCAACTTCTTAATGAATTCATAAGTTAATACATATTTTCTTAGAGGAGCAACTCATATTTTCCTACTAGACACAGGAATAGCTAATTTATTATATTTATATTTTCCAATATGCTCTAGATTATAAATAAATAAAATACAGTGCAAAAGAAATATTTGTAATACCACTTTTAATAAAACATACCCAAGCTCCAGGGCTATCACCCCCTTCACCACCCACCCACTGACCACTCAGTTGTAACAAATAAATTCACTAAATAGGGAAAATTAAAGAAAGACCTGGACTTTCTCTTTAGCTTCTTGAATCTTTGCCTGAAACCCAGCTGTGAGAACATGTTGGAGGGACTCCTGGCTTGAAATAGTTTGTACATCCATCTGTAAAGTATCTTCAGTTCTAGCTACAAGCTCTTCATACATAGAGCCTTTGGCAATAAGATGCTATGAAAACAAATGGAAGGAAGATCACAATAAACATCCTGATTATATGTTAAACATCAACCATAACAATCTCAGCAGGAAACCATAAAAAGTCAGTTATTAATCCAAAAATGAGGCAAACTTGTATTCTGAAAAATGTTTTAAAAATTCACTTTGAAGGCTGGCCAGTTAGCTCAGCTGGTTAGAGACATCATATTGGTAACACCGTGGTCCAGGGTTTGGTCCCCATACCAGTCAGCCACCAGGAAAAAACACATTTTTAAATAAATAAAAAAATTCATTTTGAAGTTTTATATTAACACAATCAGATTCTGAACAACATGGTCTTTTACAGATTATTCTTTGTACAGAAAGCACATCAATAAAATAAAGGCTAAGTAATACAATGCCAACAGAATGAAAATAAGTTGAGAGAACAGTAATAAACCTTAAAATGAAGTTGTTCTAAGTCAAATTAGTGGGGATGGGAATTTAGAAATGTTGTTGGAGAAAATAGCTATTGGAAAATAATCTTTTCAGAACCATGCTTTATACAACATAACAAAAATTAATTCTAGATAGATCAGAAAGTTTTATATAAAATATGAAACCACAAAAAGAAGATATACATAAAAATCGATCTGCTGTCTGGGTGTGGTGCGTCTTTTTAAGCATAAGAGTAGGGATAGACATAACTACATAGAAATCTTCTATGCAAAATAAAATAAACAACTTAAAAGTCAACAACTTGGTAAAAATATTTGCCCACAGAAATGAAAATGGATCATAACTCAAAGAGCTTGTATAATTCAGTTAAAATATACCAAGATTCCAAAGAAAATTCTAAAAAACACAAGAACAATGAACAGAAACAAATGCCTAATAAATATACAGAAGACAGTTCAATATTACTTGGACTCATGTAAGAAGTAGAAATTAAAATAATAATGAGATAACACTTCAATTCTCAGATTAGTAAAAACAATTTTTAAATTATTACTCAAGGGTGACATGGGTATCATAAAATGTAAATTATATCATGTGATATCAACTACGTAAACGTTGATCTCTTTTTATCTTAGGGTTTGAAATTATGGTGATTTTTATTTTCGGAAATTAGCACATTCATTTATAATTTTAATATTATCCTTTTTAATTATAAAAGTAACAAAATAGCTCATGTGAAAAAACTAAACAAAGAACAGAAAGGCACAGCATATAAAGAAAAAGTTCCTTCCTTCCTCTTTCCCCCCTTAGTTGCCAGTTAGTCAATCTTTCACACATTCACTTTTAAAATATTTATGCCTACTCTGTGCCAGGAACTGCAGTAGGAGCTGGGCATAAATGTAGGATCAAGATAGACAGGTATTTGTCTATTCTTACAGATATTTTTCTATGAATAGAAAAGAATAAACAAACATAAATACAACTTTGGTTTAAAAAACACAAATGAGATCACACTATCCACACTGTTCAGCAACTTGCATTTCTTATGTTACAATATATCTTGGTCCAATATTTTGATCCAATAGAGATCTACTTAAGTCTTTCTTAACAGAAGTATATTTCAGTAGGTTTTCATGTTCACTGTTTATAAGAGGGATGACCATTATCATTTTGAAAATATTTTTTAATATTAAATTAACAATATTTTAAAAATAATTTTATAACATTTATTTGTAAAATATGGAATTTCTATCTATTTTTCACTAAAATAAATACAAGATAGAGAAAATAAATAAATATAAAAAATAAAATTAGAAAAGCACTAAGAGTAAGTGTATGGAACATTTCAAAGCAATAAAAACTACCATTCTTATAAACAATAAAAACACAAAATGCTAAAATATATACTATTCAGAAATGTAGATTTAGAAAAATTATGTTGGTGTTCTTTTCTTCTAGGAACTTCCTATCTTGTAACTTATGACATGCTTCATAGGTTTTATAGCTGAGCTGGGACTCAGTAAAAACCTCAATTATAACTTCTTTCCCAGGAGAACTAAGTGATATTAAAACGCACTCTTGCCTCATTACTTTTCAATGAGTCAACTGCCTGAGAATAAAGACAGGATGGAGTTCTAACAACATCAGTCACCCTCCCTGCACCACGTAACGAGGGGAAAGTGGCTTGCTCAGTGGAGGACTTTCAGAGCACAGATTGTAAAGTCATTCATATTCACACTGGACTGAGCTATGTGAGACTGAACTCACTCTTCTCAATCTCCATCACTGCCCTCTGATGCAAGAGAATATTTTAATCCCCATTCTACCTCTGAGAAAACAGGTCAAAAAATTTAACATTCACAAGGTATCATTTGATCATGCCCTAATCTATCCTCTGTCTTCAGACAAAATCATGGCAAATGATCCAGAGCTGAGAACCTATCGATTTTTAAAACTCCTGGCAAAGAACATTAAAACTGTAGGCTTATTATTACTTACTTTAAAACTTTTTGTTTATCTTAAAACATACGTCCACATAAGTCTGCAACCATGAAAGTACTCTCTTAATACTTTCACACTCATACCTGCAAAGATTCTTCCATTGAGGTATCCACATCATCTTGATGTCTCAGAAGATCCAAAACAGATTTGGTTTCTGCCTCCCAGATTGCCACTTGTCCAATTAGTTTTTCAACCTCTTCAGCCATGTTTAGCTGCCCTATGAATTCTTCATTTTCTTTTTCATGTTCTTCTCTAGCCTACAACATTCAAAATCATCACAAAGACAATGTCGATAAATCATTATAAAATAATTTTCCATTTCAAAAAGTTATACCTCCTTTTTTTGTCTTTTTTTTTCCTTTTTTTTTGTCTTTTTTCGTGACCGGCAACGGATCGCAACCCTCAGTGTCGCGCCCGTACCGGACTGGGACCGGCAACGGGATTGCAACCCTCGGCGTTGCGCCCGCACCTCGCTCAGCCAGTGAGTGGCCGGTCTGTATGTGGGATCCGAACCCTCGGCGGGAGCACCGCCATGCTCACAAGCGGTGCACTGTAGCAGTGCGCCACCGGGCCGGCCCCAAGTTATACCTCCTTTCCTGAAGAGTCCTGATTCAACATATTTTAATAATATAAAATCTAGTTTGGGGACAATGACAGCAACACTTTACTGTAGTGTATATATATATATATATATATAAAATATTATATATATATATTACTTTATATAGTATATATTACTTTATAAATTAAAAGGTTTTCTTAATTATAATATACCTATCAGATAATATTATCTCCATTTTACAGGTAAGAAATTAAAGTTTAGAATATTAGGGCACTGATTTCTAAACACAGTTCTAAAGCTCACGTATAATTTAATTAAATATAGCTATTAGTAATAATAGTTGTGAAATATCAAGAAGAGACTCAAAATCAAATTTCAACAAAATGAAATCTCCTCCCATTAACAGTTTCTCAGTATTTTATGGGCTGATAACGCTATAGCTTTACATGATAGACACATCCTCTTTTTTATTATTATATATTGAGAAAATATAATTGCACATATTTATTGGGTACATAGATACACTCTTTAAAGTTATTTTTAATCAGATCACATTTTAAACACATCAGAAGACTACGGTATTTTAAATCATATTTCACAAATTCAGATCTTTTCAGATTTTCTCTGAGCAGGCATTCTTATGGTGGGAAAACACCAGCATTCCATCATGGCAACTGGCCAAAGCCAGTTTAAAATTACTTTCTTAAGTAAAGTTGTTATTCTGAAGGAGGCACATTTCCAAAACCATAGGTATTATTATATCTTACATGTATATATGATTTTTAATTTGCTTTTCTGTTCCTTTTCTATATCTTTACCTATGATCTAAAGTCATACTCCAAATTACCCACCAAAATAATAAAGAAAAATTATACTTCTCCACATTTCACAGAAAGAAAGCAAGAAACAAGAGGCCAGGGGAAAGTCTAAAGCTAGACAACTTCTGAGCACTAGTCAGAAGTAATCTAAAGAAAATATCCGCTCAATTCACAATGCTGAGAATCATGACTGATTCTGTGTGCCTGTGGAGCTCCACGGCAGAGTAAGAAACAGTAGTGAAGCCAGTAGATTTTCACGTAAAAGACTACTTCATAAAGGGAACCACTAAGTCATTTTCCTGGAAAATGATCTTACTTTAAAAGTTATCTAGCAATCCATACATTTACTACCATTTCAATAATTTTTTTTTTAAATAGTGAAGTTAAATTCTTACTATATGCAAATGAAATACACCAAGTATGACTATTGTACCTTTATATTCTCATTGTGATTTTCAGGAAGTTCTATTGACATTTCTGTTGAAATATAAACAGTTGGTTTTTCCTCATTAGATAGTAAAATATTTTCAGAATTGTCAAAAATGGGCTGTTCTTTTTTCTTTATAAGAGGCAAGTTCATTTCCTATAAAAAATTAATTTCATAAAATTTATGCTCATATTTGTATTTTTATGCTAATACATATTACAAACAATAAGTGGGCATAACATAGTTTCAGAATTTATCAATTAGCAAAGTCTCAAATTGTTAAGAATAAAAAAATAGAATAATTTAAGTTCAAAATTATTAAGTCTGCTTTTATGAGGCACTGTGCGAAATATCAAGATAAATAAGGCTCAGTGTATGTTCTCCAGGAGCTTGAAATCTATTAGGCAAGACAATGCTTATGTTATTTTTCAATGGTAAATGAATTTCAACTAGAATGCTGTATATCAGAAAGAGTTCAAGAATTAAAAGCTCTCTTAGGTACATACCCAAGAGAAATGAGAACATATGTCCATACAAAAACTTACACATGAATGTTCATAGCTGCATTGTTCATCATAGCTGATAAAGTAGAAAGAACCCAAATGTGCATCAACTAGTGAATGGATAAACAAAATGTGGTATATCCACTATTTTATGGACCAATAAAAAGGAATGAAGTACTGATACATGTTATAATGTGGATGAACCTTAAAAACAGTGTGCCAAGTGAAACAAGCCAGTCACAAGAGACCACATATTTCAAGATCCCTTAAAGTGAAATGTCCAGAATAGGCAAATCTATAGAGAAAGAAAGTAGATTGGTGGCTGCCTTGGGCTGGGGGTTTTAGGAAGAAATGGGGAGTGACTGTTAATGGTTACAGGGTTTCTTTATGAAGTAATGAAAATGTTCTAAAATTGATTATGGTAATGACTGCACAACTCACTGAATATACTAAAAACCAACGAGTTACACACTTTAAATGAATGAGTTATATGATACATAATTATATCTAAATAAAGCTGAAACCAATAAAAAGAATTTACCAGCTGAGTTTTTGTAACAAACTTTCTCCATCTTTTATTCAGCCTCCTTAGTTCTTTAGAAATAAACGATCCAACTGTATCATTGCTGACTTCAATTAAGAAATTTCCCACTTCATTTAAAGTAATATGTACTAGGTTCCACTGCGATAGTGTCTCGAAGGGAATCTACACAACACATAAGGAACATTGTATTTAAATAACAAAATATCTTTCTATCATCTATAATAGATCTTTACCGACACTAATTCTAAGCAAATGTGTGTGATGGTTTCACAGAGACTTTGAATCTTCCTAGATGATTCCGACATCCCTGTTGGTCTAACTCTTCACCCCTAACTGTTGATTGGCAGGTGACAGCTGTCCATCAACACTCCCGGTCCTGGACATTTGAGAGGTATCTGAACCATCTTTCTAAGTGGCTGATGAGATTACAGCAGACATTTCCAAACTTGTTCAGTTCATGGAGCTCTTAATGTCTCTGTCGTTTTTTCACAGTCTCTAGGCCAGAGAATTATCTAACAGTTCCCATTTTTAAGCTGTCAAGTCCAACAATTTAGTAGTAGCATGGTGTCCAAGAGATAGGAGTTGCTGTGCCTCCCTCAAAATTGAGAGTATCCTGAAAGTTCTCTTTGGCAGCCTAGGGCATCTCAGCAGAGTTGGGGACTTGCAGGCTTAGAGTGTTATTTTTCTCTGAGTTTTTTTTTTTTTCTTGGTGGCTGGCCAGGACAGGGATCTGAACCTGTGACCTTGGTGTTATAACACTGCACTCTAACCAAATGAGCTAACCAGACATCCCATATACTTTAATAGACAAATATTAAAGATAGAAGAACTGTTGGGAGCCAAAAATTTGAATTTCTATTAACAATATAAGAGACAGGGAGAAGTGATGACTTAACAACCCCCAAAATTCTCTTTTTTGCACTTATCGTGAAATCTGACTTTCACACAAATAGTTAATTTTCTGTTCAGTAATTTTAGTTTCCACTTAGAAAATATGTAATCTAAAAAGTTATCTATATCCATTTGCTACAGAGGAAAACGAGTGAACGAAAAACTACCTCAGATGAACATAAAACAGAATATTACGTGTACAGCAAGTGAAAAAATAATGAATTACATTGGCATTTCTTCCACATCTTTCCATAAAAGCCAAAGGTATTTTGACTTTTCTCCTCTAGAAAAAACTCAGAAAAGTTACAGAGCTGAAAGATTTCAACCAAATTGGAAAATAAAACTTTTTGTTGTTTTGGCTGCAGGCCACTACAGGAATTAAACCCTAGACCCTGGTGTTATGAGCACCACACTCTAATCAAGTGAACTACCAGCCAGCCCCCAAACTTTTTAAAACAGTACTTTATTTTAAACATGTCTATAAGCTATCTAGTACTTCAAGTCTTTTATTTCCTCTCCAAAGAGCTTAGCAATATATCTTCCAAAAGCTATATTGTGTATGTAAATTATACCTCAATAAAGCTCTGTGTGTATATATGTGTGTGTCTATAAAACCTGTAATGCAGAGAAAACTTCCTTTTGTCAATTATACTAGAAGAAACTAGATTCTTCCCAAGACCTTGGAGAATTTTCCAAAAGACACGTTTACTCTTATCTGGATTCTCATCTTTGGATCGAAAATGAGGGTCTCCAAAGAAAACAAAATAAAGAAGTAAAATTGAGCAGGTGTCATTCTACTGCAAGTACCTCTTTAATTTGTTCCTTCTTTGTCTCCTCAAAGCAAGACTTTAGGAAGCGAAGGTTTTCTACATAAGTTCCCCAACATTCCAGAACTTTTTGTAGAGTAGACTTCACATTACATATATATTTTCTATACACATGAACATTGTATTCCACCATTATATATTCTTTATCAATATTCTGACATTCTCCAGCTACAGAATTAACAAAACAAGAAAATAATCTTAGAAAAGTTTGTTATTAATAAAATAATGCTATTAAGAAAAATATTTGCATATTGACAGTGGCTAAATAAATATGTACTCTAAGAACATTAAAAGTGAAAGCAAAGATTTTCCAAAGAAAACATGCATGTGAAACTAATTTCTAAAACACTAGAGCATAAAGAAAGTAAAAGAGATAAAATGTCATTTTTAAGAGACAAAATGTCATTTTTAAGAGACAAAATGTCACTCAACTACCTTACCCAAATTCTTATAAATTTCTTCACATTTTTGAAAAGAAGTATCAAGTTGAGCTAGAAACTTTTTCTCTTCAATAAATTTCTGAGGGGAAAAGGGGAAAAAAACATATTGACAATTTTTACTTTTAAAAATGATCCAAAGAAAATAGAGAAAAAAATTAACAAAAAAAATTTTAAAAGAAAGAAAAAAAAATGTTCCAAGAAATCCAGATAGTGACATATAGACACTGATAAAACACATGGTTGCCAAAATTTCTTGAGGGCTTTAATACAACATATTTGGGTGGGAAAAGAGGAAAAGCAGCTCATGAAGAAGGATAGTTAAGATCCAGGAGACTTATTAGTGTGAATTAACATCAGATACATAAGACACTTGATGAAGTTTATCTTAATACAGTGATATGGTTCTACAATGGTTTTCTCTTGTAGAAAAAGGAAAATTAAGCTTAAACGGAAAAAGGCAAGTTAAGCTTTTACAGGAATTTCAAAATCTCCTACTTCACATATTTTATTAATATTGTACAATAGTATCAGTTGCTCTTATTTCACATGTTTTACTAATATTCAGTAATTTTTTATCATATATATTAGTGTATATTATAAAAAGATACCATCCATATACAAAAACATTTGAGAAACTACCATTAACCAAATTCTGCTATGGGAAAATACCGAGCTAATTCAAAACTCATATTTATTGCAAACATTATGTGCCAAATGTATGATTATTTAAATGGAAAAATAAAAATTCAAAAAAGGCAAAAGAAAAATATTCAAAACCTAGTCTAGTTTAGAATGATGCTTTCTTTTTGGGAATGCAAGTGTTTAAACCATAAACTGTAAGTAAATTTCTCTTTGTCATTTTTTTTTGATTACTGAACTGAAATTGACAATCTTGGATTTTTCTTTTTTTCCTCCTCATTTCCAAAAAGAGGGAAACAGAAAGAAGAATAGGCCTAAGTGTAGAAGTGATATTTCTGTGATACTTTAGTTTTAATTTAGACATGAACTCACTTATATTTAAATCACCTGAAACATTTTTTCCTATAAATTGGAAGAGCTAAAGCCAAAAAAGAAAGCCTCAAGACACAACAGAAAATATACTGTTTTTCCTACTATTAAAACATGAGAGGTTAAGATCAAAATGTTCTAAGAAAAATTTAATTAGTGAATGAAAACATGAATATGAAAAGGAAAAAATATTAAGCAAGACTTCAAGTAAATGAAAGAATTTTTAATGGAAAAAACATTGAAACTTGTATTTTACATTAATTGGCCTTGTTACGTTTTAATCTCTCCTGGGGCAATAAACAATGCTGTTTTCTGTTTCTTACTTTTCCTTTTACCTGCTGCTATTTGACTAGCCCATAATTCTTTTCTCTAGGCAAATTTAAGCTAATGAAAGCTACCAAGAAAACCCATCTCAAAACCTGAAAAGTTAATGTAAAATTGCATAGAGGAAAGATGCAAACCCAACATTCAGACATGGAGAATAGCTGAATTGCCTGAGATACAAAATAAAAGAGCTTACATGCCAGTCTTCCAGCAATAATTCCACAGATTCCTTGCTCCCATATTTGATGTTCCAAACATCCAATTTTGATTTCACTTCATCTAGCAAACCAAGAACTGAGCACTTATAGTAATGAAATTCCAGAAGTGGAATAAAATTTTTCGCCAAAACGTTGTTGATTCTGGAAAACAGTGCAGGATTTTAGGATTTAATATTATTGACTAAATGTGAGAAATCTGTTTAACATTTTTAAAATATTGAGGCTTTAACTTTTTCTTTAAACACAAAAAACCCAGATGTATCCTTAAGTCTTTTTTTTTTTTTAACCTTTTTTAAAGGTTAGGTATAAAACAACTATTTCTAGGGTGAACGCATGTTAACAGAAATTTTCTGAAAAAAATGATTCCCCTGTTGAGAAATCCTATAATAAAATGTTGACCTACAAAAAATTTTACTAAATTTGAAAACTTCTACATAACTTCATGCAGCCATAATTTGAAAATTTACATATTAAAATAGTTTTCATCATGAAGGCTAACACCCTTATTATTCTAACAAGTTGCTTACAAATAATGAGAAAAGAGAAGATGACGTGGACAACCATCAGTTAGTTAATTTCTATATTTACAATATTTGACAGTTTATAAAGTACTTTCAAATACCTCCTCCCATTTGATCCAATATCCTTCTGAGACATGGACAGGGTGATTATCATTATCCTACATTTACAAATGAGGAAACATGCTCAAAAAACGGAGTAACTCAGCCAAAACCAAGATACAGAGCTCAGTTTCTAAGTCCAAAACTTTTTCCATCACCATATTCTCTCAATAAAAATGGAAGCATGTTAGCAGGATATAATGTTACTATTACATAAAACAGGACAGTATTGTTATCAAGATTTAAAGGAAAATATTTGTCAAAAATTGTCTAAGAATCTGTATTTTGTGGTCCCTGTAGCACCACGTTAGAAGTTGTGAAACAGTGTTACAAACCGTCTTTTCATTTCCTCCAATTTGTCAGGTGGTACCAACGGCAAATGTTTCTCATCTTTGTTTTCAAATGCCAGGAGATTGTCTGAATGACAGTCAAATCTATCCATCAGACTCTGGAAAAAAATTTAGCATGACACAAACCAGATTTACTGCCAAACACTATAATTGGGGGTTTATTAATCTTGCTTGCATTTCATCTTTTCCAAAAAAATCATCTTTTTTTTTCTTTTTAACTAAGATTTTGTGAATAAATATTTTCATCATAGATATTTTAAACTGGAACATTTCACAGACAGGCAGACTGCAGTTTCTTTGGTAAAACCATTATCAAGCTCTTTTGTCTTCTGGTGTATTTTCCCTTTCTTTGTGGGCTCAAATGTGATAAATCTCACACATCAAATTCTTTCATGCCGCGCCGGCCTGGTGGCGCACTGCTACAGTGCGCCGCTTGGGAAGCACGGCGGCGCTCCCACCGAGGGTTCGGATCCCACATACAGACCGGCCGCTCACTGGCTGAGCGAGGTGCGGGGGCAACACCGAGGGTTGTGATCCCGTTGCCGGTCCCGGTCCAGTACGGGCGCGACACTGAGGATTGCGATCCGTTGCCGGTCACAAAAAAAGAGACAAAAAAAAAAAAAATTCTTTCATGCCACCTTAGTGAGAACCCTATTTCCCACATTTTAAACCAGCACCCTCCTCCCCTGCAGCTTTTTTTTTTTTTAATCAGACTTTACGGCTGCAGTAGAACTTACTGGACTCTATCCTCACTATTTCAACCTTATACTAGCACAATGGTCATACACGTGAAAATATCTTCTGGGTCATGAAACCCCCCAGGGTAATCATTCTAAACCATCTTCAGATACCCACTACATTTCCTTCTCTTCCTTCTAGAACAAAGTCTTCCTCAAGAACAGTCCCTAACACAGTATAGATTTTTCTTTTCCAACCTTGAATAAAGTCATTTTCTCTTGTGTCAGAGTCATGGCTTCAGAGTGATCCTGGGAGGCTGGCAAGTCTGCCTCCAAAAGCTCCTCTACCTCCTGGAGCCAAGCTTCGACGTGATGCAGGGGAGAGGGCAGGTCTTGATTTAGCTTTGTTTTCCATGCATTAATCTGAAGGAAAAAAAAAAAAAAAAGACGTCCTTCAGTAGAATGTTCTGGTTTATTTCCTCACATACAGTATTTTTAATTCTTTAAAGTTTCTCTGAAAGGCAAGACTGATAAAATGTGATCATTAGTCAAGGAAATCTTTATCAATGGGTAAACTTCATAGTCCTAAATATCATTTAGCTATGTGCTGATCAGTAATATAGTAAGTTCAAAAGCTGTAGGAAAAGAGGGTACAAGGGGCCGGCCCGGTGGTGCACTGCTATAGTGCGCCGCTTGGGAAGCGCGGCGGCACTCCCGCGGAGGGTTCGGATCCCACATACAAACCGGTTCCCGCTCACTGGCTGAGTGAGGCGCGGGGGCAACGCCGAGGGTTGCGATCCCGTTGCCGATCCTGGTCCGGTACGGGGGCGACACTGAGTGTTGCGATCCGTTGCCGGACACGGAAAAAAAAAAAAAAAGAAAAGAGGGTACAAGAAAAAGCAAATGTTTTGCTAAATCCATAATAAGTTATGATGGGGAAATTCAAAATTTTTAAATCATCCCTCTCAGCAGGGATAGACTATTGTACTGAACTGAATGACCATTGTTTGAAATGCAGTATGCCCTTGTGTTTTCTAATATTACAACTACACCTTCCACACAAATTGACAGATTATTTTAATTACTAGTCTTAACTGTATATTCACATTAGATATCTTTACCATATTTCCTGAGTATGTGTCTTTCACCAAAGCCTCCCACAATCCAGGCACACTTCCTCCTTCCTCAGTCTTCCCACCAAGCACACTCATGAGTCACACAAACCCTGACTGCTTGTTTCCTCAAATACTCACTGTACTCTCACGTCTTCATCCCACTGTCCCTTCCACATGGATTTTTCCCCCTCCGAAGCACCACTAAAACTCACTCAAATAATCATTCATTCACTCATCCATTCATTGAGCAAACATTTATGAACAACCTATTGTGCTAAGAGCTGGGAATAAAGACACAAATGGCTTCTGGAGAAGAGAGGTGATGTGGGATGGTCACCCACCACAGAGTACTGTGTGGCAGTTAGAAGCAAATTAGATGCACACGCGGCGACACGGAGGCACCTTAAATATATCGTGCTCAAAAATAAAAGTAAGAAACAACACACAACCTCAATTTACACAATTTAAAAATGCATGTGCACATAAACTCAATGTGTTTTGCAAAAACATATAAAGCAAAAAGATACACATTGAACACATCAAAATGGTGGCCTAAGGAGAAAAGGGAAGGGAAAGTAGGTATGGGTATAAAACACAGAAAATACAAAAAACAAATGAATAGAAAGAACAGGGCCTTGCCCAGACCCATGTGCTGTGTATGAGTGGTAAAGTAACTTTAACACAACCCTGTACATCAGAAGGTCAATCAGATAAATAAAAGCCACAGCTCTTTCCTGAACTGCCTATCAAGAGAAGCAGACAAGTTCACAATTACAGTAAAGTATGATGAGTGATGTAACAGAGCCAAGCAGAGGGGCTGGGGGAGGACCTTGGAAGAACGCCATCTCCAGACTGATCACCAGAATTCTTTAGTACAATTAAAATCCAGTTCCAAGGCCATCTCCTTTCCTGATGACCCCCTTAAGAATGTGACTTTTTACCTGAATGCACACAACTCTTGCACGTGTTTGTAATATTCTTATTCCAAAAACACACCCATGAAGATCAAGCACAAATCAAAACTTGTTTCACTCAAATAACTTCCTCTAATGAAAGTACTAGTCTTAAGTCTATATTTTCTCTTTCTGTGATCTAATTCTACTAAGTGAACTGTTACTATTCTTAAATTGTTTTTAAACTGGAGAAAGAACAGGAAAATTTTGTATGTTACATGGGTTATTTGATTCATCATTAACTCATTAAAAAACATTTACTGAGTGCCCATTATATGCAAAGCAAATATCTAAAAAACATTTAACCAAGTACCCAGGTATATACAAAATGAGGACAAAGCTAGGCTCCTTTAAGGCAGTCAAATGCAACTGTTCATAAAATAGAAGCATTAAATATTATAGTTTTTCCATTTTGTTTTGCTTTTCTTGCTTTGCAAGTTTATTTTCTCAAAAGGCATAAGTCAAAGAAAATTCTACAATCTTAAATCATTAATTATATGCAATTAAGTCTCCAGTTGGAAAGAGAATGAAATAAAATTTCATTATTATGAATTTTTAATAAAAACAAGTTAGCATATGCTTTTATTATATCTAATTATTTGTGCATTTGGCAAAATATTAAAAAAAAGATAAACAATTGAGTTAAAGAGAGGTTAAGAATGATACCTCTAATTCCACTATTATTCTTTGCATGTCTAAAAGAAAGCTGTATATATTTTGAATGAAACCAAACCTGTGCTTTCTGACTCAGCGTAACACTCAATATTTATATAGCAGTCAGAAGAGGAAAAACAGAGGGCAATGTTTACCTTTCATTCCTCCCCTTTCTCATTTAACATAGAAAACTAGTTCCATAATTCCTTTCTCAGACAATTTTGAATTTGGCTCAAATTTATAGAAGATCTTAACAGGTCAAAAGAACAAGATGATGTTATTTTCTATAGCAAGCTTAAAATAAAATCATTTACTATAATGCTTTGAGATATCTGTGTTCTCAAACTTTGAGCCAGAAACTGTCTAGACAGTATTAACTCTTATATACTTGATGACTTTTAAATTAGTGTGTCTCATTTTCCCACACTGAGAAAATGAACTGTAGTCTACCTGACTAAAGAATGGATTTCCAAGCTACTATCAATTTGCAGTGCTTAATCTTGCAAAATAGTTCTTTTTATGGTTTTTGTCATTATTTTAGGCAATTTTTCCAAATTATATTCAGCAAAATTAGGCCAGGTCTCTGTGGCCTGAATCAGCCTGACCTATGTAGACAATATCTTCCTCATCAACTTCTATTTTGTTGAGGACCTGTCACAAACAGCTCTTGTCCTTTATAAGAGTCCGTTTCAAAGCTGTGATCAGAACAGGAGTTGACAGCGCAAGGAGAACCATCACCTGACGGGAAGATTCTTTGAGCTGCACTTATTCTTCAAAATTGCATCTTCTTTTTTTTTGTTTTTTGTTTTTGTCCTTTCTGTGACCGGCCATACCACGCTCAGCCAGTGAGCGCATCACACCAGCCATCCCTATATAGGATCCAAATCCACGGCGGGAGTGCTATCGCGCCCCCAGCGCTGCACTCTCCCAAGTGCGCCATGGGCTCGGCCCAAAATTGCATCTTCTGAAAGGGTGGCACTTTTAAGCCACTGGACTACTACTTAACATGCTTAGTATATAGTTTGGAAAATGTATTCTGAAAACAGTCTGCCACTCCTGATAGCCAAGTGGAGGTCAGTAAACTTTTCCTGTGCAGGGCCATAGTATTTTTGACTTTGTGGACCATACATTCTCTGTTACAACTCTGTAAATTCATTAAAAATCATTTTATTTATCCATTTAAAATGAGTAAATTTATGATATGTAAATTATACCTCAATAAAGTTGTTTTTAAAAAGAATGAAGGCAAAATAAAGACATTTAGAGATTAAATAAACAAAATAAATTTGTCACTCATAGACCTACACTATAAGATCAGTTAAAGGAAGCTTTCAGGCTGAGGCAAAATGACTCAAATCTGGAAACTCAAATCTCTAAGAAGGAACAAAGAACACTGGAAATGGTAAATAGCTATATAAATATAAAAGACTAATTTTTTTCTGTTACTTTCTTTTAAATGTATGGCTATTTAGAGCAAAAAATTATAACATGGCCTTAGGGACAAAACATGCTTGTGTCATATATATAGCATATACATGTGTCACATATATATAAAACAACAATAGCATAAAGAATGGGAAGTAAATGAACCAATTTGATTGTAAAATTTCTACATGTTACAAGAAGTTGTACAATAATTTAGAAATTGTAAAACTCTAAGTAGACTGTAAAAATTTTAGAATATGTACTATAATCCCTAGAGCAACTACTAAAAATATTATAAGACCCCATAAATATGTATAATTATTATGTCAATAAAAATAAAATAAAAATATGATAGAAAGAGGTAGAATCAAAAAGTCAATAGAAATACTAAAATGGAATTATACAAAAACAATCCAAAACAAGACAAGAAAAGAAGGAGTGGAGATACAAAAAACAGAGGGAATAAACAAAACAAAGAGTAAAATGCTATACCTGAATTGAAAAATATCACTAATTACATTAAATGTTAATGGACTAAGTACTCCAATTAAAAGGCAGGGAATGTCAGAGTAAATAAGAAAGAAAGAGCCAACTATGTACTGTTTATAAGAGATGGATTTTAAATATAAAGACCGAAATAAGTTAAAAATAAGTAAAGAAAAATATGTGCTATATAATCAGCATCAGAAGACTAGAAAAACTATATTGGTATCAGATTAAGTAATTTTGTCAAGAAAAACAGTATTACTAAAGATAAACCAGAATATTTCATAACGGTAAAAGTGTCAGTTCATCAGGAAGACATAACAATCATAAATATGTATACAATTAATGACAAAGTTTTAAAATACATGTGAAATTGGACAGAATTAAACAGATTTTTCCACAGATTTTAATGCTCCTTTCTCAGCAATTGACACAACTGGACAGGATGTCAGTCAAGACACAGATAATCTTAACAACACTGGCAACTACCTTGTCTTAACAGATATTTATAGAATATTGTACCCCATAACTGCAGAAGATAAGTTCTTTTCAAGTACACATGGTCATAAACTATATGCTGAGCCATAAAGCAAGTCACAATAGTTTAAAAGGATTCAAATCATACATATATGTTCAGAAACTTATGTATGAATTCATTCTTACACATTATCTCTGGGTTTGTCTCTACCCCCATTAAGCATCTATTGATATTGATACATAATGGTAGAGAAGAGGCTGCAAGTCAATCGAACTATGGATAATCCACTGTGGCAAACCAAGAATTGATGGCAAATATAACTCTGGATAAGTCTGCGTTTTCTCTAAACAGAATGAAGTAAATCCCTACTTAAATCTTACCACTACACAAATGACACCATGAAGAAAATATAAGAACTATCCCATTTCCTTTCAAACCATCTACCCTGCCTTTTACAGAATTTCTCATGGAAGTCTAAAGTAAAGTCTTCATCCAACAAAACAAAGCTGCCCTGTGAAAATGTTCTTCCAATCAACATAACCTGATAGTTCAGGCCATCCCAGGCTTCTCTCAGTTGTAACTGATCTTCATTCAGCTCATCTAGATTCCTTTTTATCAACAGGACGTCCAAAAAAGGTTTTTTTTCTTCATTGAATGACTCCATAAAGGACAGCAGGCTCTACAATTAGAAAAGTATTTTAAAGACTGAAACACATAATTCCATTTATAAAACGTAATCTGCTATTTTAAGGTGTATGGCTATAGGTTATATTTAAATTTAAATTTAGATAAAGGTAAAATTCCCTTAATCCAGGCTCCTCTCTCAGATCTGGCTTCTTTCTTCAGTACACCCTAATAATTTGGGTCCCAGCATAATGATAAAGGTCTCAGCTGGTGTTTCGTGTCAGTATTGTTGGATTTCTAGTAGAATGGAGCTGCAAGGCCACCTGGCTCTAGAGAACCAATAATGACACCACATGGAATGGCAGTTTGTCTGTCCTCCTCAAATATATGTTCACAACAAAATAAGCATGTGTGGACATGAGAATTATGTGGCAGCAGTTGTCATGTATAAATGATTTATGAAATGTTACGATGAACTGAGCATAAGCCAGTCCTCCCCAATTCATTTTATACAGACTTTAAAAAACATGTCTCTACCCTAAAATATTTAATAAGTAACGCTTTTCTTGGGTGCACTTGTGTGAAATATTGGTGTTTATTTATTTATTTATTTATTTATTTTTCCTTTTTGTCTTTTTTCGTGTCCAGCAACGGATCGCAACCCTCAGTGTCGTGCCCGTACCGGACCGGGACCGGCAACGGGATCGCAACCCTCGGTGTTGCGGCCGCACCTCGCTCAGCCAGTGAGCGGGAACCGGTCTGTATGTGGGAGCCGAACCCTCGGCGGGAGCGCCGCCCTGTTCCCAGGGCCGGCCCGAAATATTGGTGTTTAAGGGTTATCGATTCCATAAGTATTATTTAAAATGTTATTCGTAATTATTAAAAGCATTTTAAATTAAATTTTATGATCAAACCAACGGGTAATTAATTTACTTTAATTACTCCTGATCATTAATAACTTCATTAAGCCTTGCATTTAAGAACCCCAAATCTGTGCTACATTACTAAATCAAAGACACAGGAGAACAAGGCACTTCCAGGGAACACTGAGCATCTTGTTAACAAAAAATCTCAGAGCAGAGCTGAGAGGGAAAAAGCACAAGAAGCCTATGCAGTTCTGACCAGAGGAATATGAGCATGTCTGATCCCTTCCTTGCCAAATGGCTTCAAACCACAAAGGATGGTATAACCCACAAGTCATACAATCCATTGAACACTAGAGTTGGAAAGGCTAGACTCATCCAGCTCCTTCTCTTAACAGATAAGGAGATGACAACTTAGCCGTGCTAAGTGCTGGACAGGCACATGACAGTGTCTCCAGCTTATTCAGAACAGAGAACTGGTGGAGAGCACAGAGTTGTATAGACAATGGGTTCTAAGAAACAGGACTGTGGAACCTTCACTTTGGCTCCTTTTAGTCTCTTTCAAGATTGTAAAGGGAATAACTGCATACTCTGGAGAGGCAACAGGATGTACGAAGAGCTAGGACTTTGAAGTTAGACTTTGATTCAAATCCTTCATCTACCTTTCAGTAGCTACATGACCTTAGATATGTCATTTAGTCTCTCTAAGCCTTATTATCTTCATCTGAAATAACAATACCAAATTCAGCAAGATCTCTTAACATATAAAATGCTTCTTAGCAAGGTGCCTCATACCCAGCAAACATTCAATATGTCAATAACAGTTGTCATTATTCCCGAAAGGACTCCTTGGTGGAGGCCCTATACTGTAATTCTGGGATGCCCTATTCCTGACTTCCTGATTTTTCTTTCATTCAATATTCATTCTGAAAAGTATGTTCTACTCTAAACCAGGGATAAGATAACTTTCACTGTAAGGGGCAAGATAAGAAATATCTTAGGCTTTATGGACCATTTGGTCTCTATTGCAACTACTCAACTCCGGGGTTGTAGTGTGAAAAATAGCTACAGACGATACTTAAATGGGAATGGCTCTGTTCCAATTTTATTTACAAAAACAGGTGTCAGGTCCATGGGTCACAGTTTGCCAACCCCTGCCAATCTTGCTGCTCAAAGTACTCCAAGGACCAGCAACATCAACATTACCTGGGACTTCGTTAGAAATGCAAAATTTCAGGCCCTGCCCCAGAACTACTGAACCAGCATGTGTGTTTTAACAAGACTACCCAGTGATTGATATGTACATTAAAGTTTCAGAAGCACTGTCCTAGAGTTCAGTCCTAAAACCTGGAGTTAATTTAATATTTAAATAATTAACTCTGAAAGAGTTTTCTAAAAATGTACTTACTACTCTTCCCTAAAAGAGTCAACCACAAATAAACTGCTGTTTAAAGTCATACTTACATGATATTTTTTAAAGTAGGTCTCGTCTGCTGAATCCTTTAGTATCTTCTGCAGTTTTTTCTCTTGCAGAGTTACCCAGTCCAAAGCATCTTTCACCTTTCCCTGTGATTCACACACACACACATTTTAACTATAGCTTAAATAGATCTGGTGATTTTTTTTTTTAAAACGTAAAATTAACAACTTGAAATATCAGTGAAATAATGCCATTATTACAAACCAATGACTCATTATGCCAAAGAGTAATTTTCCTTGTTCACATAACACCTTAACTTTTAAAACAGATTGAAATTAGCATCTGAACATAGTAATGTGCTAAAGAAAAGGGCAAGCAGCACCCCACCTTTTTTATTTTTTGGTTTATCCATTTCCATTTCTTCAATTTTAAAGAAGATTTTTCTAAATCGCTTTTTTATAGTAGGCATTTCACAAGTCTGCTTTGCAATAAATCTAAATGTGGGGCAATTCAAGAGATGTTCACACCCAGCAAAAACACTAACATCAATAACATCTTGGGGCTGGCCAGTTAGCTCAGTCAGTTAGAGCACAGCCTTACAACTAAGGTCATGGGTTCAGATCCCCATACTGACCAGCTGCCAATAATAATAATAATAATAATAGTAATATCTTGAACATCTGAAAGACCTCAAAAATAACACTATTAAAGGTTTTGGTTATGCTATCATATAGAAGTGAGCGACAATTATTTTTTTCTTAGATTCTTGCTTAGGTGGTAAGCTTGCTTATATGTGGAAGCAGATTTTACTGCTAGAGGATAAACCAGAAGTTACAGCTTATTTATATTTTCTTTAACCCTTACTTAATTTTTTTCTATTAAGCAAGAGTGTTTCTGATATTTCTGTATCCAATTTCATGGATAGTTGCATTTTTAATTTTATTTTTTAATATGAAAATTAATTAGAAAAGTGTAGCTCCTCAGCAGGTCAGAAATAAGTGAACTGAATTATAAGCCTCAGTCTCAGCTTGGGTCTGTCTTCCAGAGTCAGCAACAATCTGGCTTATTGCCTCAAACATAACAGCTGGAAAAACAGAGGTCCAATTTGCCAAAAAATGCGTGTAAACATGCCTGAAAAAGTAGTTTAAAATAAATTTTAAAATATTCTAAACATTTTACTAAATTCACAACACTCATTTATCTTCACAGAAGCAGAATAAGTTTCTTTTCAGCTCAGTGATTTTTAAGACATTTCCACTCACAATATTTAGTGTAATTGACTGTAAATGAAAGGGAAAAACTGAATAATCAAATGGCAGTCTAATAGTAATTCAAGATTATCTCAACAAACAGAGATAAACAGTAAAATACAATGCTTCCATTTATATTAATTATGCAATTCCATTTATATTAAGCTAAAGAACAGGCAAAATGGAAATGTGCTAAAATTAGGATGGTGATGTTTGCACAATCATGTAACTATACTAAAGACCACTGAACTGAATACTTCAAATAGTTGAATTTTATGGTATGAGAATTATATCTCAATAAAGCTAATAAAAATTACAAAAGACAAAAATTTCATATTTCCAGAATTTTTTAAAAGCCAGATTAACTTGGGCCGGCCTGGTGGCGCACTGCTACAGTGCGCCGCTTGGGAGCGCGGCGGCGCTCCCGCCGAGGGTTCGGATCCCACATACAGACTGGCCACTCACTGGCTGAGTGAGGTGCGGGTGCAACACTAAGGGTTGCGATCCGTTGCTGGTCACGAAAAAAGACAAAAAGGTAAAAAAAAAAAAAAAAAAAAAAAAAGCCAGATTAACTTAATTTGTCCTATTTAGTGCCTATCTAAACGTTCTTGTAACTAATTCAGCAAAGTTTAATAAATTATCACTATTAACTTAAAAAAAAAAAAGAACAGGCAACACTAATCTACAGTGAAAGAAATTAGAATATTGGTTGCCTAGGGCGGGAAGTAGAGACAGGAAAGAGGCACAATGGAATATTATGGGTAATAGAAATGTTTTACGTCATGATTAGAATATGGTTTACATGGGTGTGGGCATTTGTCAAAACTCAAACTGCATTTAAGTTCTATATGCAAATTATACCTAACTTTTAAAACTAAACCATGAGTAGGATACAACAAATATGAGCTTGATTTGTACTCATAACGACATACCAAAGCCTTATCTTTAATTTCAGGAGCATCCTTCGAATATTGCAGAAACTGTGCCACGTAGGTCATAATTGACTTTTCATCAGGATCAACCACATCCACATCTGCAAGATAGACCACACTATTAATCAGCTGTAGATGGGATTTATTATAATACTCAAGAACAGTCTATGCCATCTGCTTCATAGGCTCTTGAAATGAACCAAAGTAGTTGACCAGCCATGCAATCTCTGCTCACTCACCCTTGCTCCAAGGGTTAAGAGCTTAGATCTAGAGTCTGACAGATCTGGGTTGAATCCTGGCACTAGTACAAGCACAGCCTCACTTTCCAAATAATGAAGGGTCACTATGGGTGTTGTATGTATGAAGGCATAGGTAGACGGGGAGGGTAGAGAGGAGAAAATACAGTATTCCTCTTTCTGAGACACAGTACAGAAATTCCTCTGGGAGCACAGGAACATACAGCAACTGGAATCCATTCCTGACACACTGGTCTCAGTGTTCGTGCAGTAAAGCATTTCCAAAAGTATATATTGTATGGAAGACTTGTCCAAGACATCCACGGAGTTTATTCATTTATTCACGGAACAAATACATTTACATGGAGCCATCTAGGGGTAAGGATTTGTGTTGCATTAAAAGGGTCCATGGGGCTGGCCAGTTAGCTCAGTTGGTCAGTTAGTTAGAGCACAGCCTTGTAACACCAAGGTCAAGGGTTTGGATCCCCATACCGGCCAGCCACAAAAAAGAAAAAAAGTGTCTATGGTGAAGCAAAACACTGAATCAAAGTTAAAAAGTTTATACATTCTTTAAGAGCAGAATTTTCCAGGCATTAAAATAAATTAGGTAGATCATAAAATCACAAAGGAGATGCAATATGTCACAGACAAAATGAACACATTATTTGGAGATGTCTTTTGGTTTACAGCCAAAACAACAAATGAAGATTATTGGAAAGGAATTCTTCTCTATTTATTAATTAATTCAGTTAAACTCAATGCAACAAGTATTTGTAGAGCCAACAAATGTGGGTCATAGGCAGGGCCTACAAGGATATGTAAGGTACATCCTTGCCCTTAGGAACATGTTTCATCCCTTTATTCATCCAGCAGGTAGATGCTAGGTGCGTTAAAACATTATCTGCCCCTCAAGGAGTTCATAGTTAGGAAAAAAAAACAAACAACAAACAAACGCAACATAGCACTGTGCCTGCTTTAGTGAACATGTTTACAAGGCCCAGTAATTGCACTAAGTTGGTTGAGGTAGAAAGTGAATCTAATCCATAAACAAATAATATAATTCAAGGGAATAAGAATATAAAATCTCTCAATAAAAAGCTGGGGGTGGGGTTTCAATAAAGGAAGGCTTCCTAAGAGTTGAGTTATTTTCTTTGAGAATGATGTAAATATCAAAAGAGATATAAAAGAATGATACTGGCTTAACTAGATGTTTCTTTTACAAACTTCTCATTATACATGAAGGCATGCGTGATGATTAAATGTTTTAACAAAACTGTGTCAAAGGATAGTTCCCTTATTCAAATATGACTACAGTATTAGGTTTGCATAAATAATCATGATGCATTTCACATTTCTGAGCTATTATTTAAGCTATTTATAGTGAATTATGGGCCATCATTCATACAGCGGAAATCTGCTTTTATTATATTGTCTATTCCATTAGTTGCCTAATTATTTGCACATAGAGTCATAATATATGGTAAATATTTAAGAAGCACAGTAATCAGAAATAGGGAATTAGAACAAAGCATGGGGAAAAAGAAAAGAAAAAAGATAATAAAAAGCCAAAAAGGGAAGAGAAAATACAAAGAAAAGTAGAAAAAGAAGACAGGAAAAAAGGAGAGAAGAAAAACAAAATGGGGGTAAAAAGTTAACAAGAAAAATTAATAATAACGAACATGAAACCGGACCAATTACAAAACTGATATACAGAAATATAGAATCATTAGGCTAACTATGAACTTAGAAATATAACCTAATTAAACTCTTATGGGAAAAAAAACCCTGAAATCCTCAAAAGGCTAAGTACCAGTAGCAAAGAGCACGTCTAGTATTCAGATCTTGGCTTCTAATGCCATTCTCCAATAAAAGGAACCAGAGGTCTTTGAAGAAATGGCTGATTCTAAGATTGGGGCAAGAAACACACAAGATGAGCCTGGAGCATCTTGTCTTGCCACAAAGCAAGGAAGCACTCAGAACAAGCAAGCAAACCTCACATTGATGGAGGTATGTCAGAGGAGCATAGGAGCAAACTGAAAGCTCTCAATGGCCAAAATTTTCAGCCTAAAAAAAAATTTTTTTTAAATTTTGACCATTAAAATAAACACAGTAGTACTGGATTGCATCATACATAAAAAAAGAAAAAGAGTCTATGATGAAGCAAAACACTGAATCAAACAAGGTTAAAAAGATTCTTTAAGAGCAGAATTTTCCAGGCATTATAATAAATTAGGTAGATCATAAAATCACAAAGGAGATGCAATATGTCACAGACAAAATGAACACATAATTTCAGCCTGAAAAAAAAACTTTTAAAAAAATTGTGAGCATTAAAATAAACAAAATAGTATTGGATTACAACTAAAAGTATAAAATAAAATATCAATAAGCCCATACTGATATACATAAATGACTGAATAAATAAGTAAATGAGAGAGAACAGACAAATATTCTGTGCAAAAGAATTTCACATAATTTATGTAGATAGATAATCTGCCATCAAGGAGGGAGAGCATAGCTCTTTTTTTTTTTTTTTCCTTTTTGTCTTTTTTACTGACCGGTACAGGATCTCAACCCTCGGTGTCGCGCCCGTACCGGGGACCGGCAACGGGATCGCAACCCTCGGTGTCACGCCCATGCCGCGCTCAGCCAGTGAGCGGGAACCGGTCACCACATGGGATCCGAACCCTCGGGGGGAGCGCCGCCACGCTCCCAAGTGGCGCACTCTCCAGTGCGCCACTGGGCCGGCCCATAGCTCTTTTTTTTTTTAAAGAAGTATTTTTTAATTGAAACATATTGATCGTACATATTTATGGGGGACAGAGTTATATTTAAAAACATGTACACAATGTGTATGATCAAATTAAGGTAGTTAGTACATTCATCATCACAAAAATTTTTCGGTTTTTGTGATAAGAACATTTGAGCTCCTCTGTTCTAGCCATTTGGAAACATACAATAAATTCAATAAATTATTGTTAACTATAGAAAGCATAACTCTCCTGTGTGGGCTGTGCATAGTAATTTCCCCCCAAAGAGCACAGTATGAAAAGAGGGGAAAAAAACAGTGTAACTTCACAGCAAAGAAACCTGACAAACTTTACCTCAGCCAGGTGGTCAAGGTCAGCATCGACAGTGATAAATCATGTTGATATTATGTGCTCTTGAAATTATGTGATGAGAATGACACTATTTCTTTGTGATCTGCCGCCCAAGAACCCATAAACCCAGACTAACCATGAGAAAAAAAGACAAGACAAATTCCAATAAAGGGGCATGCTACAAAATACCTGACCAGTCCTCCTCAAAACTGTCAAGGTCATAAAAAACAAGAAAGTCTGAGAAACTGTCACAGTCAAGAGGAGCCTAAGGAGACATGAGAACTAAATGCAATGTGGTATCTTGGATAGGATCCTGAAAAAGGTATTAGGTAAAAACTTATAGAAACCTGAATAAAATACAGCCTTTATTTATAATAATATACCAATATTAATGGTTCATTAATTGTAACAAGTGTACCATATTAATGTAAGATGTTAACAATAGGGGAAATTGGATGCTGGGTATAATTTATTGTGCTATCTTCTTAATTTTTCTGTAAATCTAAAACTGTTCTAAAAAATAAAGTCTATTTAAAAATAAAAAAGGAATGAAGTAGACATATGCCACAACATGGATGAACCTTGGAAACATTATGCTAAGTTAAAGAAGCCAGTCACAAAACATATATTATATGATTCCATTTATGTGAAATGTTCAGACCTAGCAAATCTATAAAGACAGAAAGCAGTGGGGTGTTGGGAGGTTGGGGGGAAATGAGGAGTGATCGCTAATGGCCACAGGGTTTCTTTTCGGGGTGATAGGAATGTTCTAAAATTGATTGTAATGATGACTGAACTATTTCTCAATAAAACTGTTTAAAACTAAAAAGGTCAAGTGATAAACCCACAGACACTTAGTCAGTGGTGTGCTGGAGCCAGCTGGCTCCTACCAGCTTAAGAGAGCTGATTCTTAAATGTTCAGCAGTTTTGAAAGCTGGTTGTTAAAAACAGACCTCATTAAAAATTAAGTTATATAAATGTACAATTAAATTATATTAAAAACAAAGTAATAAATACTTAAAATGTATCACTTCCCAATTATTTTACTAAATTTTACAACTACCTACGCAGCTAAGGTTAGTTATGTCTATTGTATCTGTATGATGGAAATAATATATGATGGTATGCTACCGAGCTCCTTTTCCCAGTTCTGTCTTCGGTAACTTTGCACTGATAGCTTGAAATCAGCCACAGTAGTAGCAGTCACAACACAAAAATCTGCAAAGGAGGGCTTGATCTGTTGTTTTGTTGATTGCTATAAAGGGGATGGAGAAATTGTTAATAATGCAGATAAATCTTTTTTGTTGTTGTTGTTGTTGTCTTTTTCCGTGTCCGGCAACGGATCGCAACCCTCAGTGTCGCCCCCGTACCGGACCGGGACCGGCAACGGGATCGCAACCCTCGGCGTTGCTCCCGCGCCTCGCTCAGCCAGTGAGCGGGAACTGGTCTGTATGTGGGATCTGAACCCTCGGGCGGGAGCGCCACCGCGCTTCCCAAGCGGCGCACTATCCAGTGCGCCACCGGGCCGGCCCCTGCAGAGAAATCTTAAAAGCATGCCTTGTCTGTAGCTGCTAAATTGCAAATAGCATAAAAAGTTGAGGAAATATTTTTCTAATATTCAATTTAGCAAAATAATCACTCACGTCAATTAAAGAACAAGTGAAGTTCTGACATCCTTCTTTGCTGTTCCACTTACTCATTAACATAAAGGAAATGAACAACCAACATTCATGCTGGAACTATACTTGTTCAGCAACTGCAACCCTACTAAGTTGGCTATAGATAGATACAAGAGTCTGACAAAAATAGGGCTGCCCAGTTAGCTCAGTTGGTTAGAGCATGGTGTTGTAACACCCTTCGGATCCCCAAACTGGCCATCCACCAAAAAAAAAAATGTTTGGCAAAAAACAACAAAAGTATTTTGGGGCTATATGGAATTTATAATAAAGCACCTCACAAATTTTATTATTATTTGTAAGTTGGGTGCCACATATTCTTTAAAATAAAATTTATAATAGACCAGTATATGTGTGTGTGATTCACATTGTTTTGGAGAATTGGTCATTAAACATTTATATATACACCCCTGGATATACAACTGAGGCTAGAATTTATATGTCTTGACCTGTTAGTTCATTATAATTTTCAATAAACCTATATACCTCTTTTACGACCTTAATTCTTTAATAGCTTTGTTTAGAATACGAAATAATATAATCCAAAGTAAAGCACTTTTCAGAAAGAATTAAATTATTTTAATATTAATTTCATGAAGTTAAAATAAATTATAATTTGATGATGGTCACTGTGGATATAACCAGTATTTAGGATTTTGTTGTTGTGTATAATTCAACATAATTGATTAAGCAGAATCAATGGGCAAAGTTTGGCCAACCATATAGGAAGAAACAGAGAAAGCAGCAGTTCTGTTCCCACACAGGTTCAGCTTTAATTAGGAGGAGGGAGTGGAAAAGGGGAGATACATATAAACGACTTTAATTCAAGATTCAAAAAACATCTTACGCAAGAGATTTAGAACAGAATAGAACTGAGGAAACACAATGTTGAACACAAAAGAAGAAAATTAAGACAAAGGCTCAAATTATTCCCTATAACAGCATTGCTTGCTTTCAGCTGTGGCTTTACCCCAATAATTAATGAAGTTAACTAATTGGTAGGATTCTTAATTTCATGAAATTCAATAAAGAGTTTAAGTTAAACCCTCCAGGACTAAAATATATTTGCTTGTGTATAGATGTTATTTTCAAATCAACTTCATGCTGGACCTTAAAATTTAAAAAGGAAGAAGCGTCTTTACCTTCTGGTTCCAGCAATTTGGGGATTTTTAATTCTCGTTCTGCAATTCTGAAGGCCTCTTTCAGATTGTCTTTGTTGGATCTGTGCTTCACACTCTTCATGTCAATTAGGTCTGGTCTCAAGGCATGAATGACGGCCAAAAACGCCTTCCCATTTCTCCAGCTTGACTTAAAATCTGTCACATGAACAGACTCGTACCTATCACAAAAGGACAAAAACATGATAAACACTCTCAAAGATAAGATGTCAAAACACTTCCATTATATTTGATAGTGATTAAAACAAAATTCAGTGAATCAAATAAATGATATAAATCATTTTAGGTAAAAATTTTAATTTAACTACAAGATTAAAATAAAGTATGAGGATGCTCAGAATACCACAGAACACTGGTTCTCAAAGTGTGGTCCCCAGAACAGCAGCATCAGCATCACCTGGGCTGCAGGTATTAGAAATGCAAATTCTCGGGCCCAACCCCATACCTACAGAATCGGACTGTGGAGGGGGGCCTGAAATCTGTGTCTTTAAAAGCCCCCCAGTTGATAATGATACTTGCTCAAGTGTAATACTCTTCATTCAACAATCTGTTGGCTCAAGACCAACTTTAGACCTCTACATAAAGTTAAGGTCCTTCAATAGAGCAAATGATTTTCTTTCTCATTGGAACAAGTTAAATGATATATTTTGCCAAATCAATGGCCAGTAGCTCACTGGACAAACAGACCTTGTCACTCCTCTGCTTAAAACCCGTCATCACGGATGAATGGAAAAACAAAATGTGGTATTATACTTGATACATACAATGGAATGTTATTCGGCCTTTAAAAAGAAAGAAATTCTGACACATGCTACAACGTGAATGAACCTTAAAAGATATTATGCTGAGTGAAACAAGCCAGTTACTAAAGGACAAATACTGCATGATTCCACTCACATGAGGTACCTAGAGTAGTTACATTCATAAGAGGAAGAAAAGAATGATGGTTGCCAGGGGCTGGGGATCGGGGGCAGGGAGTTAGTGTTTAACAGGTGTGAAGTTTGAGTTTTACAAAATGAACAAAGTTCTGGCCATGCATATGATGACAGCTGCACAACAGTGTGAATGTACTTAGTGCCACTCAACAGTACACTTAAAAGTGGACAAAATGGTAAATTTTACACACTTGAAAGCTATAAGATTATTTATGTTTGTGTCTCTCATAACAGAGAGATGAATAACAACTAAAGAAAAGGCTGAAGGCAGAAGCTAACCTCTACCTCGTAGCCTTTTGTTAGGCAGGACTGACGCAGACGTCTCACATATGAAAGGGCTTAGCAACTTATTAACGACTCCACCTGGACCATGCTATGATAGGGCAAAGAATGACTTTTCAACTCTCCAGTTCTTCCAGTAGAGAGATCTCCCACGCTCAATTCTTTATTCTTCCTAAACTCCATCTCAGCCATTGGTTAAAATGAAAAAGTTAATGTCTCTCAAGAGCAGAAAACATCTCTCTCTGTAAAAAAGAAACTATGAGCCCTGGCTTCCCTTCATTATCCCCACTTTTTTTTTTTGTCCTTTTTGAGACTGGCCACACCGCGCTCAGCCAGTGAGCGCTGTGAGCGCACCAGTCATCCCTATATAGGATCCAAACCTGCGGCGGGAGCGCTGCTGCGTTCCCAGCGCTGCACTCTCCCAAGTGCGCCACGGGCTCGGCCCATCCCCACTTTTTAAACATGCATACTCTCTTGTCTCTGTTTCCTAACTGAGCTGAGTTTCTAAATAATGAAATGGTTAGAGCATGGTGCTGATAACACCAAGGTCCAGGGTTTGACCCCTGAACCGGCCAGCCATCCCCAAAATTTTAAAAATAAATAAACAAACAATGGGGACTGTGGTCTTATAATTATTTACAGTGCCAAGACATAATTTTACGTGCTGGTTACATGTTCACTCATTTGTTAACTCATTCAACAAACACTGAAGGAGCAACTACCAAGAACTCATGACGCAAGGTCCCAGAGATACACAGAGCGAATTAAGACATAGCCCTGGCTTTTCAAGAGCTCACAGTATGGTAAAACTTTTAAAATCTAAATCCACCTTCCAGATGCATAGAAAAATTGTGTCTTAAAAAAAGGACATTTAAGTGCCATTTATTTCCACACAGTAATAGGCCACCTCACCATGGCAGTAGGGGGTGAGTTAGTTGACCCAGATGATAGCACCTTCTGGCCTTTGAAACCAAAGGTGGCTGAGCTCACAGACCTCCACATTTGGACAGGAAGGGAGAAAGCAAGAATTTTCTTTTTATGAGAGGGAGGTGTTTGGGTGGACCTGAGTTTCAGACCTGGAATGGAAGTCAGTGAGGTGGTATTGGTGGATATACCTGTCCTGTGTGTCTCTTAGGTTCACAGCAAACTACTTACGTGGCACATTGTTCTTGAGCCCACAAAAGAAGAGCCTTCTTTGCAGAAATCTGCCATCTTGCTTGGACTTTGGAGCATTTCTTAGCTGGAGGACTTGAGGTAGGAGATGCATCAACCACACCCACATCATCCACAGAAGGTTGATTATAATTGCAAGAAAGAGTCCGGGCAAGCTCCTCAATCTAAGGAATGAATAGCAATAGTTAACATGTACAGAATCATAAGTTAACAGCATTTAGCCATCTTTAGCCAAAACAAGACCTAAATAGTATCCTATGACAGGGACAGTCTACTCCTGATGAAATGAGCACTGGACAAATGCTTGAATAAAGCATTCACCATCTGGGGCTACATTGTGGCCTTCTTTCAGCCTGGACTTGAATTATTCTTTACCCTCGCCCAGACATGGCAGCCCACATTGACAGCAAACATCTATTTATCTCCCTAAAGTGCTAATAGGGCACTTTACTGCAGCTCCACACCCATCCAACCAAATTGAACTGAAATAAATTGAGCTCCTAGTCTAGAGTATCTTTAGAGACTCGGTCAGTTGAAAGGCATCCTTGATTATAAACCATTAGGAACAAATGTACATACAAAAGAAAAAAAAAAATCGAACACACTAGAAGTCCCAAGAAATTAAAATTGCCATTAAGTATATGAAAAACAACCTCCTTAGTAATTTAAGAAACCTAAATGTATACAGCAAAAGTATAGCTTTTTCTAGAATGAAATACTGTCATTCACAGCAACATGGATGAACTTAGAGGAAATCATGTTAAGTAAAATAAGCCAGGCACAGAAAGAGAAATACTGCATGTCCTTGCTTATAAGTAGGACCTAAAACAAAACAAACAAAAAAACAAATAAGAAAAGAAAGGAAGGGCTGGCTGGTTAGCTCAGTTGGTTAGAGCACAACCTTCTAACACTGAGGTCATGGGTTTGGATCCCCATTCTGGCCAGCCACCAAAACTAAAAAAAATTTAAAAATTAAAATTAAAAAAATAAAGAAAAATACAATAATCAAAATAATACGTTGAACTTTCAAAAGAAGAGAACAGAATGGAGGTTAACAGAGGTGGGAAAGGGGGAAAGAGAGGGAGGTAATGGAGGAATTGGCAAAAGGCCACAAAAATCTATTGCACTGTATAATACTGAATATGTTAATTATCCTGATTTGAACATCACATATTGCACACAGGTATTGATAAACAATGCTGTACCCCACAGATATGTACAATCAACTATGTTCCCATAAAAAAGAAAGAAAAAGAATACCTGAGGACTAGAGGTACAATTAATTCACCCTTGTATCTTCATAAAATACAATAAATGACTTTCCGTTAATAAAAAAGATAGCTTTTTCTATATAACACAGGCAAAAAAATTTAAAAGATAACATCCAGTGATGGTGAAAGTATGAGAAACTAGATATTTATATATTGCTAGTAAATATACAAATCGGTTCCAAGTTTTTAGTGGGTAGTGAGATAATACCTATCTAAAACTGTAAAAGGTAAATCCATAAACATAGTAGAAGTATTTAAGACACTTCTTTCAATAACTGCCAGAATAACCAGATAATCAACAATACTAGATGTTACCAACACAATTAATAAACTTAATCTGATTAACATTGATTTAATAGGCACTATACCTACAACGGCAGAATCAACATTCTTTTCAAGTACACACAGAACATTTAGTAAAATTGAACACGTCGTGTCATAAAGCAAGCCTCAACAATTCTGAAAGACTGAAATCATTCATATTATGTTCTCTGACCAAAATAAAATTAAGCTAGAAGTCAGTAACAAAGATAAAGCAGACACATCCTCCAAATATTTGGGAATTAAGTAATAGGTTTTTATATAACCCATGACACAAATAAGAAATCCTAATAAAAATTAGAAAACATTTTGAACAGAAAGATAATGAAAATATTATATTCATGGATTGGAAGACGTAATATTTTAAAGATGTCAATTTTTTCCAAATTGTTCTATACATTCAATGTAATCCTAATGAAAATCCCAGCAGACTCTGTGTGCGTGTGTGTGTGTAAATTAACAAGTTATTCATAACCTTTATATGAAAATGCAAAGAGCACAGAATAGCCAAGATCATCTTGAAGAACAAAGTGGCCAACTTATACTATAAGATATCAAGACTTAATTTATAGCCACATAAATTAAAACAGTATAGTACTGGTGCAAAGATAAATGATGGAACAGTATAATCTGAAAATTGAGCCACAAGTATATGGTTACTTGATCTGCGAAGGTGATGCTACAGTGTACTAGGAAAATGATGATCTGTTCAGTAATCAGTGTTGGGTCAACTGGATAGCCATACGGAAAAAAATAAATTTTGATTGCTTTAACATAATATACTCAACAAATCAATTAATTTTTGAAAAACCGTAGATCTAAATGTAAAATGTGAAACAATTAAGTTTTTAGAACTGTGCTGTCCAATATGATAGCCACTAGCCACATGTGGGATATAAATTTAATTAAATAAAATTAAAAATTCAGTTCCGCTGTCATGCTAGCCACATTTCAAGTGTTTAATAGCCATAGGCGGCTAGAGGCTACTGTTGTGTACAGTGCAGCTATGGAACATTTCCATCACTGCAGAAAGTCCCAGTGGACAGAACTGTTCTAGAAAATAATGTGAGAAAATATCTTCACGATATTGGCCTAGGGAAAGATTTCTTCAAAGGACATAAAAACTACTAGCCAAAAAGAAAAGAAGTTGGTAAATTCAAACTAAATTAAAATTAGGAATGTCTGCTCATTAAAAGATTGAAAAGGGAAGCCACAGCGTCAGAGAAGTTATTTACAACTTATATATATCCAACAAAGGACTTTTATCCAGAATACATTTTAAAACTTCTATAAATCATTTCACACAACAGCAAGACTAAAATAAAATTTTTTTAATGACAAGTGTTAATAAGGTTTACAGCGAACTCCGGTGAGAGTGTAAATTGGAACAACCACTTTGACAAACTGTTGGTCAGTATCTACTAAAGCTGAAGATCACATCCCCTAAGACCATCAATTCCATTCCTTGGTATACACAGTGGAAATGAGGGTTTGTGCCACTAAAAGATACATGTAAGAATGTTCCTAGCAGTTTTATTCATAATAATCAAAAACTGGCAACAAATGAAATGTGCATCAATAAGAGAATGGTAAGTATATTCTGGTGTATTCATAGAACTGTACATTCATACACAGCGATGAAAAAGAAAAACTGTACTGATACCTGCTACAACAGGATGAATCCCACAGACATGATGTTAAGTGAAATAAGTGAGACACAAAAGAGCATAAAGTATATATAAGAGAATACACTTATAATTCCATTTGTATGGAGTTAAAGATGTCAAACTAATGGATGATAGAGATCCAAGTGGTGGTTACCTTTACAAACGGAAGGCAGTGACTGGGAGAAGGACCTGGAGGACTCTGGGATGCTGGCAAAGTTCTACGTTTTTATCTTGGGTGGTGGTTACATGGGTGTGTTTAATTTATGAAAATTCATCAAGCTTTATATTTAAGACTTGTACATTTTTCTCCGTGTGTATTATGTACTTCAACAAATGTGCTGGTGGGACTGTAAATTAGTACAGCCACTACGGCAATCAGTATGGAGGTTTCTCAAACAACTACAGATAGAACTACCATATGATCCAGCAATCCCACTACTGGGTATATACCCAAAGGAATGGAAATCATCATGTCAAAGGGATACCTGCACTCCCATGTTTATTGCTGCTCTATTTACAATAGCCAAGAGTTGGCACCAGCCTAAATGTCCATTGATGGATGACCGGATAAGGAAAATGTGGTATATATATATACAATGGAATACTACTCAGCCATAAAAAAGAATGAAATTCTGCCATTTGCAGCAACATGGATGAGCTTCGAGAAAATTATGTTAAGTGAAATAATCCAGGCACAGAAAGGGAAAGGCCACATGTCCTCACTTATAAGTGGGAGCTAAAAAAATAAATAAGGAAAAGAAGGAAGGAAGAAAGGAAGGACCACCACAATAATATGTTAAACTTTCAGAAGGAGAGAACAGAACTGTGGTTACTAGAAGTGGGAAAGGGGGATGAGAGGGCCAGCTTGGGAGAGTGTGGTACTGATAACACCAAGGCCACGGGTTCAGATCCCTACATAGGGATGGCTGGTTGGCTCACTTGGGAGAGGGTGGTGCTGACAACACCAAATCAAGGGTTAAGATCTCCTTACCAGTCATCTTTAAAAAAAAAAAAAAAAAGAAAGAAAGAAAGGGGGATGAGGAGAGGGTTAGGGAGCAATTGGGTAATGGACACAAAGAATAATAACATTTTGTAATGATGAATATGGTAATAATCCTGATTTGATCATCACATATTGTACACAAATACTGACAGTCAGCTCTGTACTGCACAAATATGTATAATCAATTATGTTTCAATTAAAAAAAAAACTTTACTTAAAATATTAAAACAAAACCAAAAAAGAAAAAAAGCTTTAAGTTTGCAAACCCTATAGCACAATTCCACTTCTAAGAATCTGGCCTGTGGAAATAATTAAGATTATATGCAAAGGTTTTATCTTCAGGGGTTCTTCTTTGGTATTACTTATAATAATAAATAATTGTGAGCATTCTGATTGTCCAATAATGAAATACAGTACTTTACAATGAATACCATGCCTCCATTAAAATATACACAAATTCAGAAAGATGTTCATTAGAAAAGGTTGAAAACAGTATATATAACATGGCCTCAATTTTTAGTATACATATGAATATATATTAATTCCTGCTATATCATGAAGACTTACACCAAATTATTTATCTGTGAGTGGTGGATTATAGATGACTTTTATTTTTCTTATTATCTGTATTAAAATTTTTAATTATATTTCAAATACCCATAAGAGAATGGGGGAAAAAAATAAAAGCCCATGAATTATCAAATTTTAACATTTTACCATATTTGTTTCATATTTTTTTAAAGAAATAAAACACAGATGGAGTTTAAGCCTTCTGTCCTTCCTTTTCCCATCCCATTTCCCTCCTTTTCCAAAGGAAAAAACCACAATCCTAAATTTAGTTCTCCTCATCCTCATGCATCGTATTCTATTATAACTACAAAATGTATCCAAAACCAATATATAGTCTGGTTTTGTATGTTTTAATTTTTACATAAATTAGTTATACTATTTTCTACTTTTTCCTATAATAATCATTTATTTTCCACATAATTTTTAAAGTTTTTAAGGTAATTATGGAAATACAGAAAATGTAACCTTTTAGATAGCGTACAAAACCTGCACCAGGTCAGAACTTCAGGCTCGAAAGAATGTATTTTTCGGTCATAAGTTTCGTAACGTCGGGACTATAACCAGCACTTTATCCTGATGTCCTAGCACAACGCTAGCAGATGGTATATGCTCAAAAATATCTGTAGAATGAAATGAATTTTTTTTTTCCAGTCATGGGACAGAACAGATTTGACAGGGGTTTTAAAAAATGGGGAGATTTTACAAAGTTTAGTGGTTAGATTTTAAGCATTTACTCCAGGAGCTTCCCACTCTCTCCTCTGCCAGGGTAAACAAACAACAATAAGCAAACATTTACCACGACAGGTTCTGGTGCTAATATCACAGATAATTCAGGACACCATGATAATTCAGCACTCAACTTTCAATTGAAAAACATCAAGAAAAACGGCAAGAAGTCTGCTACATATTCTGTACAAGATGTATATATTTTTCCTGTTCGAGATTTCCAGAGACCCTATTTTTGAAAGTTCAGGACTGAATCTAACATCAAGTCACACATTACATCACATCTAATTCATACTGTAATAATTAGAGTGTAAATAATTTTTGTATCATCAAACTACTTACATGAAAGTGCAGTATAATTGTCCAAATTAGGCCAAGAATAATCGATGGGTTTCCATCTATAATATCAGTAACATGAATATTTATGAGCTTGATCTGGAAAAGAAGAAATGCAGGTTAAAAGGGGAAAATATTCCATAGTATTAATCTCTCCTACAAATTTTCAAGTGAAATTTATACTCACTGATTGGTTTTGTAGAAATGTCAGGGCATGTTCTATATTGATTCTACATTGGAATGTATTAGATCCTTTATCCCGAGGCTATGAAATTCAAGCAAATATATTACTCAGAAATATGAAATACATTTTTTTAAAAATCAACAGAAAGTTTCTTGGTGTCATTTATACATCTTACCAACTGTTGTCCCGAGAGTACTTCTAACAGATCCAGGAGGACATGTCCCTTTTTAATGTCTGTAAATAGGTCTGATATGACTGAGGGAGGACTGTGCTGCAAAAGGTCACAAGAAAAATAATCATTCAAACTTTGGTCCAAAAATACAATACCTTTAAGAATCTCAAAAAAATGTGCTTTGTGTCTTCAAAAAAGCTAAGATTCGGTAGTAATTTTCTTTCTTTTTTTTTTCTTGTTTTTTTTTTTTTTCTTGTTTTTTTTTTTTTTCTTGTTTTTTTTTTTTTTCTTGTTTTTTTTTTTTTTCTTGTTTTTTTTTTTTTTCTTGTTTTTTTTTTTTTTCTTGTTTTTTTTTTTTTTCTTGTTTTTTTTTTTTTTCTTGTTTTTTTTTTTTTCATTGTACAGTATATGGAGTACATTCTTCTTAATTAATAAAATAACAAAGAACATACAAAGTTCCATACCAAAACATAAGAAAAGCAGTGAACTTAATTTATCTCATATAATACGGTAATACCGCACTCTTTCTGCATGGAGCTTTCACTGAGAGCTTAAAACCTGGGCATAGAAGTGGAATTAAAGACATTCAGAACCAGCCAATAGTGACCCATCTGGAGAGCAAATTACACTTCTGGAGTTACCTGCTTATGTATTTACTCTTTTTTAGAATTACAGACATTGTGTTGGGATGGGCAGATAGGAAACGGTGAGCAGCCTGTGAGAAGAGAACCACTCATCGTGTATCTAGGTTATTCTAGGTGTTAGGCGTTACTGCAAGGTAGAATGGCCCCGCAACTATGACCAAGGCCTCTGGGTCCATGCTGCTCGGGTCTGTATCCCAGCATGATCACTTACAAGCCGGGTGAGCGTGGGCAAGTCACATATGTTCTCTGTACTTTAGTTTCCTTCACTTTCAAATAGGAATGATACTATCTACCTCACAGGGATGTTGTGAAGTCACTTAAATGTAGTCACAATCATTACATTTAAAGAGTGTAGGGCAATGTCTAACACATAACACTCAATATCTACAAATCATTACTACTATTATTTCATTTGATGAGAGAGACGTTACTGCTTTCAATATTTTTATAGCACTGCCTCATATCCTTAACAAAACTACCCTTTATGTATGTTGAGAAAAAATAATACATCAAAACAAGATAAAGGTAATTTCAGCACATTCTTTCGAGAAGATATTCCACAACCTTTTACATGTCACCAGTGCCATTTTTTAATGGCCTCCTTGGGGCTAAAACTGAGAGAGTTAATGTCTGTAAACTATTATAAAAACATATTTATAACAATTTGCTCTTTTTTTCCCCCTCACCTTTGCCAATTGTGAGTTTATCCAGCATGTGAAGGTTTTCTTCTGGGTGTCCTCCTGTTCAGCTATGAAGAAAGGACAACAGCAGTTGTGAAACGAGAAGCCTCAGAAGCCTTTGGGACATATCGAAGCTTCAAAATTCTATCGCTCGGGGTACGTGCATATGTTTCACAAACTTACAAACTTTCTAGGACTTAGTCCAAATTTCAGATGTTCATACAAGTAGTGTTTTAGAAACAGCACATTAATATGATTTTTTTTTAAAGCCACAAGTTGGCTGACAAGAGACCATGGTTTTTAATATTTTTTAGTGACAGAAAACTTAAGTCCCCACACAGCCTTGACAGTACTGTACAAGGAGCTGTGAAGACAGAAGAGTTCCTAACCCAAAAGGACTTGTGTCTAAGCCCAAGCCATGCAATGGTTAAAGACAACCTCAGAACATCTGAAGATGTTTTAAAAGGTTCATAAAGTCACTGCAGTTCAGTCTTGACATTTATCACAAAAAAATTTATCATGAAGAATATACTGCCACTGAATTAACTGTAAATGAGCTGCCATTAGAAAGACCTGGGTTCAAATCCTGTTTCTGTTACTGAGTAGCTGTAAGACTTCAAGCAGTGTCCTCATGTAATAAGGGAGTAATAAGCACTCGCCTCTAGAGATTGTTAGGAGAATTTAATAGTTCGCTTAAAGCGTTCAGCATAGACCTGGCACATAGTAAACACATTAAAAATGCCAGCTGTTACTCTTATTAACCAGGCAGGAGTTAGGGGGAAGACCTAAACACTCAGAGTGTATCTCTCCTCCCCTGGGAAGGAGTGGGCCCCACACCTACATCATGCTTCCCCCGGCCTTCTACCCCCTCAGCTTCAGCAGATCCTCAACTCGGAGGTCACAGATTAGCCCTGCACACAAGGACTGACCTTCCATTTCTCTAGACCTCCTGACCCTGACGGACAGAGATAAGGGTGAGCCCAGATACCCACTCCTCCCTGCATTCAATGCTCACAGCCTTACCCCTACCATTGCCCTCAAGATTGCCAGGTCTCATCTCACTATACCTTTGATCCCTGCTTATGTCAGTCAACACACACACACACACACACACACACACACACACACACACACACACACACACACCAGACTCCCTCTCATTTCTCTCACTCTAATTCCCATCAGCTCTGCACATCTCCCAACTTTTCTCATCTCCCACCTCTCCTTTACTCCTGAAACTCTTCCACTGATGACGAAATCCATAGTGCACCATCAGCAAAACCTCCTACATGCCCCAAACCCTCTCTGGTGTTAAGGCTTTGCCTTCTTGCTCTTATTGAAACCTGGCTGTCTTCTGAGAACACTGCGTCCCCTGCAGCCCTCTCAAGTGGTTGTTTTCCTTTCTCCAGCAGCCCTTGTATACTGCTTCCTTGCTCCTCACTGCTATCTCCAAATCATTCTCCACCCTCTGTCCCTAAAATTCTCTACCTTTGAATATCATGTCATCAGACTACCCTCACTGTTACAGTCATCTCCTATCTCTGTCATTTCTCATTTCTCAAAGATTTTAGCTCCTTCTCACTGTCACTCTCTCCAATACAACTCCTGTCTAATTCTTGGCAATTTCAATATGCCCACTGATGAACTTCCTGGCCTCTTGGTTTCTTGAATTCCTCTTCTCCATACACTTGTCGTCTGTCCTGCCTCAATCACTCACTGTCATGGTCATACTCCAGATCTTTTCATTCCTAATTACTATAGTTCCTCCATAATCTCAATTTCATGCAACCCCATCTCTGAACATCATCCCTACCTTCAGTTCACCCCCTCTAGTGCCCCAACTCCAACAATCCTTTCAGCCCACTGGCAACGCCAAGCCACTGAGTGTGTCTCTCACCCCTTGACATCCTTCCTTTCATCCTTATCCATTTTTAATTCCATGGTCAATTATTGCCCATGCTCCCTCGCACCTCACCCCTTCTGTTGTATTTGCTTCGCACGTCCTGACTACTCTCTCTGCACACTCCATCCCACATGCGTGCTGCTGAACGTGGCTGGAGAAAACCCCCAACAGGGGGGGATCACCAGGACTCCCCAGTGGGCCCTCAGTGCTGGCCAGGAGACACACTATATTGCCCTCTCCCACTCCCCAGATGGCAATTTCACACCTTCTCCTTCTTCCTCAAATGTCCCGTACCTCCCCCATCCCGTACCCTCAGCTGAGACCTTGCTTCCCACCCCTCATCTAACAACCTCCCAAAGCGCTGTGCCTCCAACTGTAGCACAGATGAACTAGCCTTGATCACACCAAAAGCCAATCCCTCCACTCCCACACTAGATACTGTCCCTTTGTACCTACTCAGGGACATTTTGCTTCTTTATCTTCTGTATCATCCTCTTTTTTCCCTCTCTTGGACAATTCCCACCAGTATAGATCCATACTTTTAATTCTCCCATCTAAAAACAAAAACAAACCTCTCCTGACTCCAGCTCCCCATCAGCCATTGCTTCATTTGTCTGCTCCTTTGTAGCAAAACTCTTAGGAGTGTATGTTCACTGTCTCTGCATTCACCCTTAGCTGAACTGTATCAACCATGTCCTCACTGTTCCACTGAAATGCTCTCTCATCAGGGTCACCAAGAATCAAGGTCATTAGTGACCCCTCTTGCTAAAACCAATGGTCAGCTTGCAGTCTTCATCTCCCTGGATCTATCAGCAGCATCCGATAGATGACCACTCTCAAATCCTGCTTCCAGGACCCAACTCTCAGTTGGCTCCTCTCTTTCTCGCACAATTCATATCTAAAGCTTCAGGAAATCCTCTCATTCCCACCTTCAAAATATGTTCAGGATATGAGCACTTCTCACCATCTCCAGGACCACCCCCCAGCCCAAGTCACCACCCCCTCCATCTGGATTACTGCAAGAGATTCCTAACAGGTCCTCTTCCTTCCCGCCTTGCCCCCAACATAATCTTCTCAACACAGAAGGCAGAGCGATGTTGCTAAAATGTTAATTCAGATCAGGAAAGTCCTCTGCTCAAAACCCTGTGAGGGCTGCTTGCTTCTCTCCTCGTGGTGGCTACAAGGCCCAGCGCCATCTGGCCCCCACTCTTTCCCACCTGCTCATCCCACTCTAGCCACTCTGGCCTCCCGTTCTCCTTAAGCTTTCCAGGCCCATTCCCGCCGTAGGGCTTTTACACTAGCTGTCCTTTCTTCCAGGAATGCCCTTACTACAGACATCCACAGGTAACATCAGAGGACACCTTATTCATTAGATCTACCCTGACTACTCTGTTTAAAAGAATAACACTAGCAAATCCCAAATTGTCCTGCTCTATTTTTTTCTCCAGCACTTATCTCCTTTTATTTACCATTCCATATAAGTCATTTATGTAGTATGTTTATTATTTAAGGTCTCACTCTCCTCCTAATAGAATGTAAGCACCACACAGGCAAAAATGTTTTGTCTGTGGTATGTCCCAAGTGTTTAGAAGAGCCTGGCCCAAAGCAGGCCCTAAATAAATATTTGATGAAATAATAATAACAATGTTATTAATTACTATAATTATTGTTGTATTTTATTACACTGAAGTCAAATCTGCCTTTATGTGTTTAGATTCCTTTCTTTTTAAAGTTTTCTGTTCAATCTTCCCATGCATTGTCTTTCTTTGACTCTTCCCATTCTCTCTTATTAATCTTTACCTAACACAGTCATAACAGACCAAAATTGTTCGTATCCAGCCTACAAAAGTGTAGGAGTATGAACACTGAATTTAAGTTCTTGAAAATTTTTGAAGCAGATGAGAGTTCTGGTTGAGGAATATAAGTCAAGCTGAGTAAATGAAATTTTAGGGTGTTTACAGTTGTTTACTAAGTACTGTGAAAGATTAGAGATTAAAGATGCACTTAGCCTCATTGGCATTTTTTCCTTTTTTAATCTATCTCATTTTTATGCATTGCTAGTTTAAATTATAGTCCAGTGACTTATGCTTTATATAGTACTCAATAATTGTTAGCTGAACTAAATTGAGTTCTGACAAGCCAACTGGAGAGGTGAAGCTTTTGAGAGTTATTGCTGTTTTATATGAATTTCACTTAACAAAAGAATTACAGAGAACCACAATCTTGTCCTATAATTCAAAATGTTACTAAATCTCCTGGAATCTTTGAGATATGTTTTCATTGTTTTTTTCCCCTAGTAGCAGTAAATAATAAGACACCAAGTTTTAAACATGTATTGACACCAAAAAAAAATGTATCAAAGGCTAATTTTGTTTCTAAATAGAAAAAAAACTAGAGAACAAGTTGTTATGATTCCAGAATCAAGTTAGATGCACACAGTGTACATTAATCAAGGTCACGTGTAAAAGCAGGGAGGGAACTATCCATTCCTAACAATAAAGCAGAAATTCAAAATAAAAACAAAATAAACAATTTGAAAAAAAAAATACTCTCTTTCTTATCCTTAAGGGACAAAAAGAGAGTTGTCTTTCTAGGTGAGAAACTGTAAAAAAGAAACCAATCAGGAATATGACCCGGTCCAAGAAATACAGTCTGTACTAACTTAAGGGACTTGGGGATGGGGATGGAGAAGGTGGGCATCATTAAATAACCGTGAGGGAAATGAAATGTATCACAAAACTGAGTGTAAAAAGAGCAGGATGTGCCTAAGGAGTTTTAGTACTCCAAGTGCACCTGGAAACCTCAGCCATTTGGAACTATTTCCAAACAAGATACTAGACAACAAAAGTGGTCTTGGTCCTCAGCAAACTGTGGACTACAAACTTGCCCAGGCTGAGAAAACAGGCAGCAAAGCCCGGGCTCTCACTGGATTGTTCAAACTGGAGCACTGAATTAACATGAGGTTGGACTGAGGAATATCCCCAACAGAGATATAAACTTGAATTTAAAAGAATCGAAAATTTTCTAAAGAAAACCTGAGGTTATCCTTGTCTGAATCTGATTAAACTCTAATAGAAACAAGGGAAAAAACAACAAGAGGAGCCATCAGAACAAATCCCCATAGGTACTCTCCAGTTAGCAAACGAAATAGCGCACAGATGAAAT